TTTCCCACGCTGGTCTTGAATTTACACTCCTTCTGCCTCAGCTTCCCAAGTGGCTGGGAATACAGATGAGCACCACAGCACGGGGATTATCATTGTATATTTTAAATGTTTTGTCCCAGTGTGCTGCCACATGGACTTTTGTGACCTTGTGTTCATATTCCTCAGAGAGGACTACCTGGATGGAACCTTAACAGGAGGATTAGTCTGAATTGACAATTGCATCCACAGATAATTGCACACCAATGGAAAGGATGCAACTCTGGGGATTGGGGCGGGGGACAGGTTCTGACCTGGTTGGTCAAAGAATCCTTTGGCCCCAATTATCAATACTTTCTTCTCCCCTTCCTGCATCTCTTCAACTTCTGTTCTTTTTCTTGTAGAAATAGGAATTGAACCCTGGGGTGATTCTATTGCTGAGCTACATCTTCAACCCTTTTTACTTTTATTTTGAGACAGGATCTCCCTAAGTTGCCTATGCTAACCTCAAATTCACAATCATCTTGCTTCAGTCTCAGTGGCTGGGATGGTAGGCATATGCCACTATATGCTGGACTTGTTTTTTTTTTTTTTTAATTTTCATTCTGAGTGCTGAAAATTGAATCCCAGACCTGATGCAGGATAGGCAAGCTCTCTATCTCTGAGCTACATTCCCAGCGCTTCCTACTGTCCTTCCAACCTTTTCTTTCTTTTTCTCTTTCCTTTCTTTCCTTCCTTCTCTCCTTCCCTCCTTCCCTCTGCCCCACTCCCCAACCCCAGCCCTCAGTACCTTTCTCTCCATCCTCAGTGGCGTGCTCCACCACGTCCTTCACCGCTTCCCCCACAGCATCAACTGAAAAAAGGAGACCAATTCAGAGGAATTCAGAGACAAAGTCACCATGCAAGCCTGCTGCCCTTCCCAGCACCTGTGGCCACCCAGGGTGGAGCTCCATGATGCCACCCCCAGCCAATTCAGGCTGGCACAGAAGGGCCTGGCTGCTGAAAGGGAGCTGAGGAAGCCCAATGAGGACACAGGGCCCTCCATGCTCCTCAGTCTGGCAGGGACTGAGAACAGGCAGTTTGACACAGAAGGTCTCCCAGGTCTTCAGAGAAAAAGATTCAAACGCCAACTGCTCTCCAAACACCTGTGTTCCTCACTTGTACCCAGGAGCCTCATCTGGCCTGTCCTCTCTTCTACCACGGATGCTGGATTAGTCTCCACAGGTAGAGAGGGCTGCTTGGGGCATGAGGCTCTGAGGGCTCCACCCTCAACTGCCCTCCCCAGCATCTGCAGCCCATAGCTCCATCTCTCCTGGTGGGGTGATAGGCCAGGGTTCCCAATGGGCCCTCAGTGGGCCTCAAGGCCTGGCCTGATTCCTGGGATCAGCTTGGGACAGGCCCAGTCGAGCCTGCCCTGACCCCACACATGGGGAAAGAAGCCCTAGGTCCTTATCGGCTTCCTCAGTGGCCTTTTGAGTGCGACGGGCCAGGTTGTCAGCCGCTATTTGCCCCAGGAGTCCCAGCATTGTGCAACAGCAGGCAGTGACAGACGGATGCTGGGGACTGAACCAGTGTGCTTTTATATAGGCCTCTGATGTCTCTCTAAGCACCAAACCCTCACCTGACCTGTAGGAAGCTGGGCAGGTGAGTCACTGGAGAGGGCAGCAAGAGGAAGAGGCTGGGTGGGGCATGCCAGTGCTGGTCAAGCACCTCTTGTATGAGACACCCCACAGTGCCCCCACCCATGTCCTAGGATCCCTGTGCAGCAGAAGGACAGGGATCAGTTCTGAGGCTGGGGAGGAGAATTCAGCTTGAACAGAGGCCTGGGTGCTCTAGGGGAGTACAGCACTCAGAGACAACTGTCCTACAAGCTCAGACACTCCTATGTAGCTGGTGAAAATGCCCAGGATTCCCTGTCTGCTAATTAAGGTTCCGAGTGTGGCCTAGTTAGGATTTTGGAGTTTTTAGGGATGTAGGGACTCAGGCATCCCCTGAGGTCAGGCACACAACAGTAGTGGCAGGCTGAGGTTGTAGCTCAGTGGAACAGCACTATCCTAGCATGTGTGAGCACTGAGCTCAATTCTCAGCACCACATAGAAACAAATAACAACAAAGGTCCATCAACAACTAAAAAATATTTTAAAAATAAGTAGTAGTCACCAATACCCTTTCCATTCTTAAGGACCTTGGCTCTGCAAAACAAAGGAGGTCACAGCCTTGAGCTAGGTAATCACTCTGACTTTCCAGTCAGTTGATTATCATTCACTCATGCTCCTGAGTGGTGCAGTACTGGGGCAGCCAACATGTGGAAGAATCCTGGCCTGTCTGCACTAGGGGGATCAGTCTGTAGGGGAGGTTCTGCAAGGTCAGAAGGTCACCTTCTAGGTCCTAGAGTAGACCCAGGAGGTTCTTGGGACCTAGCTGGAATTCCACAGAAAGCAGCTTCCCTGGCACCTTACACATCACACATGGCACAGGCCAAGTTGCTGGGAGAGGTCAGAGCTAAGGCCAGCCTCCCTGGGGTGGGTCAAATATGCTGTGGGCAGCAGCACCTCAGGATCCTGAGGCCACAGCCCCACATGTATCACTGCCACCTCCCTTGGGCAGAGGTGGATCAAGGCTTAAACAATTTGAAAGAGGCCTCGTTAACAAAAGGATTACAATAATTCTCCGCTTGCAAGTTATCCAAGTAGATACCTATGACCCAAGGACCTGGGAAGAACCATGAAGGTGGGGACTGTGGAGCTTAAGCAGATCCAGATGACCCTATGCTGCCCTTGTTACAGCTCCAGAGGCCACCCAGGGCAAGGGTGGTGGAGGTCGGGGAGCCAGGGAAGCTGATGGGACCCATCAAACCCCTTTTCTGTTTCCTTGGAGGTTGTGTGTGACTCTCACCTCCATAGTGGTCCTCTCTGCCCCTCCCCTGAGAAGTGATACCCACCCGCTTCCAGACCCCACCCCACAAGCCCCAGCTAGTGTGCTTGTCAGAGATCCCCTCTCAGGAGCTCACCAGCCCTGACAGACCCTCCTCAGAGCTCAGCCCCTCAGCAGGGCTCTGTCCACAGGAGCCTGCCTGGAGCCCTGCCCACTGCAGCCTCTTTGAACAGCTGCCTTTTCCCCTCCCTCTCAGATACTGCTGGCCCTTCCCATACCCTCCTGTCCAGGAGATCCTATCCCTCTTTAATACACTACCTCAAGGTGACCACTCCAGTGAGGATGCTCTATGGCCCTTTGCCTAGATACAGGTTCCAAATGCCTGATACAGAGAAGGCAAGGGACCAAATTCCAGGACTGGACGTGGCCACCAGACTTCTGCTCTGGCCTGGGTCTAGTCCTGCTTGGTTTCCCAGCTCCAGCTATAACCAGCCCCTGTCCTCCCAGCCCATCCCACAAGCCCCAGCAGACCCTCTACATTCCACCCCAAAGGCTGCATAACCTCACCAGCAACCCTCCTAACCAGGAATGGATTCTGGTCTGAGGGGCTGAGCTCAAACAACTCCTGCAAGAGAACAATTTCAAGTGTCTGGATCAAGTTGAAGATGATTCAGGTGGGGCCCACCCTCCACCACCTCATCTTGGAAGAGGGCCCCAACAGAAAGGCCTTGAGCACAGGTACCCATGCTAGCATATCCTGAGTCAGAAGGACAAGTCCATCTCCCTTGGACAGAAGAAATCTGGCTTTGACAGGAGTAGACTAATTCTTCAAGAGGAATTTCTACAATAACTCAGTCTGGCAAAGAATCTGTAGGCTAAATCATCACGTGAAAGAGAGCCAATTTTTCTAATAGCAATTTGCAACTTAGCTATCATCGGTTCCCTTTTTAATGTTTATTTTGTTTTCAAATATGTGAGGCTCTCCCAAATGTCTGAAGCATGACTTTTATTTGTTTGTTTATTTTTTGGATAGCTGGTTTGAACCCAGAAATGCTTAACCAGTGAGCCACATCCCCAGCCCCTTCTATGTTTTATTTTGATACAGGGCCTAACTAAAGTGCTAAGGGTCCTACTAAATTGCTGAATCTGAATTTGAACTTGCAATTCTCCTGCCTTGTCCACCAAGTCCCTTGGATTATAGGCATACAACGCAGTACCTGGCTAAGCACAACATTTTGTTGTGTGGTTGGGGCTATAGCTTTCACAAACATCAAAATTTTGTGATGGTCCATTTTCCCTAGGCCTCCTCCTACTTCTGCTTCATGAATTTGAGCTCATAGTATGTGCTGTGCCCACAGATCCTGTGCACACTGACCCCTCCCTGCCACAGGGGATCCTCTCTCATCCAGATGCTGGACACTTGGCTTTTTAGTTAGCAAGGGAAGACGTGCCCAGCATAATGACTACATACATCCATGAGACAAGCAGGCTCCTGGTGCCAATCAGAGGACCCAATCAGAGGGCTAGAAATTGTCGTTCACATTGAGCAGTCTGGACACCCTCCTTAAAACCCATTTGCTGTACCTCAAATTTTGAACACTAAGTTTAAAAACCATCAATGAATCTTAATTTACAGTAATTATTTCTGTTATTTTTCTAGTGGTCATATTCTCTCTCTCTCATATATATATATATATATATATATATATATATATATATATATTAGTTGTAGTTGGACACAATACCTTCATTTTATTTTTTTATTTTTATGAGTTCCTTAGGATTGAACCCAGCATCTCGCACGTGCTGGGCGAGAGCTCTACTGCTGAGCCCCAGCCCCAGCCTGGTCATTCACTTTTGCTCTCTGCCCTTCCACAATTACAAGTTGGAATTCTGCTGTAAGAGCTGCTCCTTCTTTGTATTTATTCAACCCACTCCCTGTTTATATTAGTTTGGACTCATAAATATTTATTTTATTTTGTAGATTATAATCCAGTACTACTATGGTTTGGGATGAGTGTCCCCCATTGTCATGTGGCCTTTGTCCCCAGGGTGGCACTATGGGGAGGGAGTGGAGCTTGTAAGACATTGGGTCACATAAGAGGTCTTCAGGTCATTGGAGGCATGGCCTTGAAGAGGATTGTGGGACACTGACCCATTTCTCTTTCTCATTTTTGCATCCTGGCCTTAGGTGGTTGGTTTTGATCTGCCATGTGCTCCCTGCCACTGCCATCCAGAATTCCCCACAGGCCTAAAAGCAATCATGGACTACAAACTCTAAAACTGTGAGTCAAAGTAAACCTTTTTTTTTTTCCTTATAAGGTAATTGTCTCAAGTATTTGTCATAGCAATGGAACTCTGACTGAAACAAATACTATCATTGTGGACTTTTTTTGCCCAAAGGATTTCAACTCTGGTTCTAAAGCATTGCTCATATTCTTTCAACAAGCATCAACCTTTCAAAAATTATTTATTTGGCTGAGAATTTAGCTTATCTAGCATGTGCAAGGCCCTGGGTTCAATCCCCAACTCAGCAAAAGCTTAAAAATAATAATAAATATATGTTATTTGTTCATTTGTTTTACTGTTTCCTGCCTTAATGACACTACAAGTTGTTTGAGGTTCTTCTTGCATTTCCTCTGCCCTTGCCCAACCCTCAACTACTTATCTTTGAAAAACATGCTTAATATGCAGGAGGCCCTGGGTTCAATTCCTAGCATAAAACAAAACAAAAACACTTCTTCTTGGAGTCCTGGTCCCATTTATTAGAAATGGTACTTGGTCACCAATATAAGACTGCTAGACATATTCATTGTTCCCAGGAGTCATCATGTCTAGGTACTCTCAGCAAACAGAGGAAATGCAGGAAAGTTATTCCAGAATTGCTTACCCACTATCCTATGAGAAATGCCCATTTTTCTGACTACATGACCAAATATACACATAGTGCTTTTTACCTTTAGACCTATGGAATACAGCCAATGCTCTTTCCCTGGGTTACTGTGTTTTCTCCCCACCTTCCCTCCATTTATAGTAGAATGAGGTTGATTTGTTAGTGTTTGGACTCCATTTGGGTATGTCCCACCTCACATTCTAATTGGTTCTGTTTATTTGGGGGAATGAGAACATTACTATGATTTTATAAGTCAGAACTACCAAAAACCAACCAACCAACCAACAAAGATATGCTCAGAGAAGTGTCACTTCTTATCTCTGGTACCCTGTTCCCATTTGCCCCTTCTTTCCACCTCTTCTCTACGTGCCCCACTGTAGGCCACAATATCTATTTCTATTGCTCGCTTGCTCTCTCTCCTTCTTTCAGTTTTCCTATTTAGTGACCAACTTTATCATGAAAGATGATTCTAAATATAAACATGCTGGGTAAAAGGCCACTTAGGGGGAATTCAATAAGCATACTAATTTAGATCTCAGCAAGAGCACCTAAATAGCAAACATAATGATATATACTACAAATCAAATATTCACAATATCTATGTTAATCTGAGAGGAAACAGAACTCTGTATTCTAATCTTGCTGTAAAGACTTTGGCTTCATGAACTATGTGATCTTGTTAAAGGATTAAAATGAATGCAACATTTCATTGGTATGTACTTAAAACTAAATAAACAACATGCCTATGACTGCAAACAAATGAATTCAGTGAAACAAGACAGACAGCATGGACTTGTCGATGTCATTTTTTTTTTTTGACGCCTCTAATCCAGGGAAAGGCAGATAGTAAGATGAGTAAACGGGCTTTGTATATGTGAACTCCCAAGGGGTTCAGTCTGTGCTGAGTAGTGTTAAGAAACTCAGAAACTGGGGCATCTGCAGACCTTGCAAGTGTCTAAAGGAGATCTCTCCCTTCCATTGTCTCCTCTATGTCCTGCTTCTCTGAAATTCCACTAATACTTTAGCATTTGAGACCCTCAAGTCGGGAAGGGAGAAGATGGAGAAGAAAATTATTTCTCAGATTCTTTTGAAGAGTCCCCTTCAACCACTGTCCTGGTTGAGTCTTCATCAGCTGTCACTGAACCATTCACAAATGACAAAAAAGGGCTTTCCATGGAATCCCATCCAGAGACATTTTACCCCAGGGGCCACAGATGTGCCCTCTCTCTTCATGGAAGGCTGTCTGAGCCAAATATGCCAGCAGTTAAACAGCCACAATCACACCACAAATATTTGTTTCTTGGGACACAAAATGGGGAGTGGATTACCAAACTGGGTCTAGGATTATTAAGACCAGATTGAAGACTGCCGTGGCCATGCTTGGGTAAATATCACTGGAGTACAATAGTGAGAAGATTGGGGTGTCATCAGCTGCCCTTCAGAACTGACACACATGATTTAACCACAAGCAGTACTTCATGAAGTCTTAAACTGTAACACGAAGAGAGGTCACCAATCTCTTTAGTTTTTGAAATAAGCAGACTTGTATATATTTTTACGACCTCTTTATTTATTGCAACAAGGATAGCACACAATAGATATGAATTTTTGAACTTCATTTCAATAAAACATTCTTTAATTTTTCTTATTTTTGTTTTCTTTTTTTATATATTTTTGTTTGTTTGTTTGTTTTTCAACAGGGATTGAACCCAGTGAGCCATATCCCCAGTGCCTTTTTACATTTTATTTAGAGATAGGACCTTAATTGCTGAGGCTGGCTTTGAACTCGTGACTCTCCTGCCTCAGCCTCCCAAGCTGCTGGGAGTACAGGTGTGTGCCACTGGCCATTGCACCCAGCCATGCTTTCATTTTATATATGTATTCTTTGAGATGAGGTCTTGCAATGTTGCATTATTCGCATCAAAATTGTAGAATTGTGATCTTCCTGCTGAGCCTCCAGGGTAGCTGGGAATACAGATTACACCATGCCTGCCTGGCTCAAAACTTACTACTTTTAAATATAAGAAGGGAAACCAAAAGCAACATTGCACATGAAGAAATCCTACCAAGCAGGGCATGGTGGCACATACTTATAATCTCAGCATTTTGAAAGGCTGAGGCAAGAGGATCACAAGTCTGAAGCCAACCCAGGCAACTTAGTGAGGCCCTAAGCAACTTGGGGAGACCCTGTCTCTCAAAATAAAAAATGAAAATGGCTGGGATGAAGCTCAGTAGTAAGGCATCCCTGAGTTCAATCCCCAGAACAAACAAACAAATAAAAAAAACCCTAAAAATCCTACTAGAAAAGTTTACTTCAGAAAAGACACATGAAAATGTTTACACAACCTTCCAACATGAATTTTCAAAAGAACTGAAGACCATTTATAAACAATAATAGTTATGATGGAAATATGAATTCAGAAATATTAGAATTCGGAGATGAGATGGCCAGACAACAGGAGTAACAGGACATACATAATTCATGATGAGAATAGAAGAAAAACAGATAAGACATGCTGGGCATGGTAGTGCATGCCTGTAATCTCAGAGATTCAGGAGGCAGAAGCAGGAGGGTGGCAAATTCAAGTTCAGCCTCAGAAATCTACTGAGACTCTCTCTTAAAATACAAATAAAAAGGGCTGGAAATGTAGAGCATTCCCAAGTTCAGTACCAAAAAAAAAAAAAAAAAAGAGAGAGAGAGATGAAGGGAGGAAGGAAGGGAAGGAGGGAGGGAGGGAGGGAGGAAGAACTTTTTCAGATAAAAAGCATAAGAAAGTGGGTAACACAGTAGGTATTTAAGGAAAAAAATTAAAATCAAAGAAAAAAGGAATCATTAAGGAAATGCTACGTGTTTGGGAGAAAATGCTACATATGCAAACAAAGTAGGAAAGATCCCCCTACCCATACTTGGAATTCCCAAAGAAGAAAGCCTGGCAATGGCACATAGTTAATATTTTAAAAGAGTGTTAAGTGCATATATGAAAAGACGCTCAGTGTCATTCATCATCAGAGAAATGCAAATTAAAACCACAAGGAGATAGCATCTCACATCTTCCACTTAAAATAACGGGTTTTCTTTTTTAAAATCAAGAGAATAAGTGTTGGTAAGAATAGGAAGAAATGGGAACCCTTGAACACCGTGGCGTAATGTACTGCCATTATGAAAAATACTATGGGAATCCTTAAAATATTAAAACTAGAACTACTACTTGAAACTGCTGAACTATATGTGACCAGATGATGTTACTCAGTTCTCCACTTTCCAAAAGAAAGATTTCAGTTGAGACACAGAGAGAAGAGGCATAAAGGTCTTATTTAGTGAAATGAAAGTATGCTTCAGAGAATGTGTAGCAGGCTGTGCCAAGAGAGCAGAACGTGCCAAGCTCTTGTTTCTTCATCCTGGGCTTTTATGGCCTACTTGGCATTTTCCCACCTCGTGGATTATGCATTTGGGGAGGTTACAGCCATTTCCCGCCTCAGTTAAGTGCACCTCTGTCAATTTCACCATTTGGCAATTTCCCCAGCATAGACTGTATCCATTTTCTCCAGGGGACAGGGAGCTGTCTGACCACAGGAAAGCAGTCCTGGGAAGTGTAATGGCCAGTTGGGTGCCACCCAAGGACACAGCCTGAACTTCCTTTCCCTACCTTCTTTGCTCTAGCTAGTGCCTACTCTAACCCTCCTGCACCAGAAGGCAGAGTTCCAACCCTCCCAAGACTCAAGAATAGAACTGTGAGCCAGAGATTTCTAACCCAGACAGGGATAAGTAGAAAAGCTATAGATTGTCAAGAACAAAATTACAACAACTCATCTTAATGATCTGAATTGGCTTTATTGTCTCTTCTAGAATAGAGTAACACTATTTCATAAAATATGAATGCTCTAATGAGCTGAGGACTTGAGTTTTCGTTTTATATACAGAAAAGGACTTGAAGAAAGAAACAAAGAGCAAAAACCAGATTGGCCATTTCAAAGTTAACTTTCCTTGCTAGGATTGAAAAGGACATAGAACAATACAAAAATAATTGGTTAACATCAGATTATTTCAGGTTGCCTTTTTGTGGAAGGGTTAAGGCTGAGGCACCTTCATCATCATGCCAATTGAAACTGGCCTCTTTGGTAATTTGGCAGTCTCTCTAATCCTGATTTCTGGGCAGGTCAGACAATCAACTGAGTGTCAGCTTGGTGACTTGGAACTTCAGCATGAAGTTTCCTGTCACAGGAAAGCAGGGAGCTGAAACTCCAAACCTTGGATCTTGGGTTTTGACAGAAGAAACTTTAAAGTCAGACACCAAAAGCCATGGCAGAGAACTTTATTATCAGTGAAAGTAAAGAGAAAATGAGGTGAAAAGAAAGTAAAAGCCGAATGAGTTTCAACCAGAGACAGAGAGAGAGAGAGAGAGAGAGAGAGAGAGAGAGAGAGAGAGAGAGCCATCCCAGAGCAGAGAACCAGAAAAGAGCCAATGCTGTCTCCAAATTTAGTACTGTTTTATGGTTGGCTTGAAAATTGGGGTCCTCCTTCAGCAACTTGCTCCAATCAAGTGCTTCAACTCCGTCCTATGGGGTGATAGAGTATTTGATTTAGTTGGTCCTCTCCAGAACTGTCATGGTGGCCATCCTATTTAGGAGGGCTTCATCTACAAGTCAATCCCATGTCAATGTGGACACTTCCACCTCTTCTCCTCTTACCCATTCATGCACTGAAACTCTGGAGGAGCTTCTTCCAGTCCCTCCCACATACAGGGAGGCCCCTCGCTCCAGGCAACATACACTTGGTCCACAGATGGCTCCTCCTTCCTTCAGGAGGGAGTTCCTCCTGCAGGGTATGCTGTAGTCTCTCCAACCTCAGTTGTGGAAGCAGCTCCCCTACCCAATAATACATGCAATCAGCAGGCTGAACTTGTTGCCCCCATCAGAGCCTTCACTTTGGCAAAGGGAGCCTCCCTCAGTGTCTACACTGACTCTAAATACACTTTCCACACACTTCTCTCCCACTCTGCTATTTGGAAGGAGCATGGATTCCTTACCACCAAGGGAACTTCAATTACTAATGCCCCCTTCATCTCCAATCTCCTTCAGGTCTCAAAGCTTCCCACTGCTATTGGAACTGAAGGATGACAGCTAAATAACCCCCTTCTCCACTGGACACTTCCTTTCCTGACCTCTCCTTGTCATAGGCCTTTGGCTATTGCTTAACCCATGCATCATTAAAGTTATTCAAGACCAGATTCAAAGGATCTCTAACCAAACCATGAACCAGCTTCTGCTACAGGACTTCCAACCCCTCACCAAATTTGGGGCATCCAGAGTCAGCATCACTGGGTCCTAACCATTGCCTCAATAACACGTTGAGCCCCTAACAAGGGTGCAGACACCTCCCCTTCCAAGCAGGAAGAAGATGCAGAAGATCTATCTACCCTCATGTCCCTTAAGGGGCCCAATAACAAACAAAAAAAAGAGGGAATGCAAGGTCCTTGCTTAGCATCTTGATGGCCATTTTTTTTAAAAGGTTTTGCTTTTCCACTCAAGGGCCTTTCTGAGAAAGGCTCCCCACTTCCTCATACCACCCCCACCCTTAACTGCCCACATAAGAACCCACCAGCCTCTAATCCCTGAGCTTCCCCCATAAAAGTCTCAAACCCAAGCCCATGTTGCACTCTCCATCTACGGAGACAAATTTGTCAGTTCTGACAAATAAACTCTCCTATGTATATCTGCCTGGCCCTTCTCCAAGTTCCTCACTTTCCTTTCAACTGTCACCATTTGATTTCTTAAGAAAGTTTAAAGAAAGACCCTAAAGTCATATAAACAACACTTTATGACCTTACCATATATTTCACTGCTCTTGCTAGCCCCTACCTAACAACTCCATTTTGATCTTCAGCCCAGTCTACGTAGGAGCTTAGTTCAAAACAATGGCCTCTTCTACTTTATTTAACAAGACCAGAGTATCACCCAAACATCTAAGAGCTCAGAATACTGTTCACATAATCTCTTCTTTTTACATTTTAAAATTTTTGCCTTTTTAAAAATAGAAAATGTCATGCATAAAATAGAATATTATACACCCTTCCTGACTCATCACCCAGCTATCAAAATAATCATCCCAGATCCTGGTAGTCTTATTGTTCACCTGTGAACATTTCATGCTTGAGAAAACTTCTGGAAAAATCAACTCTAACCAATCAATGGGTAGCAGAAAATATTTCAGCAAAGGAATAGCATAGAGCTGTTAGTATTTTCAACTGCACATCTAGGAAGAAGACAAAGGTGTGACTGAGTGGTGGGGAATAGAATGTAAATATTACATGTCTTCTTTGAAAGTCGAAAAAAGACAATTAAAAGAAAGAGCGAGGAAAATCAGAAGAGGAAGTGGAAGTAGAAAACTCGGTTCCTTGCCCATCTGGAGTCTGATGAGAATCAAAGCTGAAAAGCCAAGTGCTTGAGGTTGTGTCTTCTGCTGGACTATGAAGATAAATACAAAGAAGTCTCCTCCTACTGACTGAAAATTGCTGTGAAGAGGAGGAGGGAGGAAGGAATACAAATCAAAGATTTAAGGGAAAGGTTTCCGTCCTCAAATGCAGCACTTTGTAAAGTTAAAGGGTGCAATTACAACTTACTTTGAAGATCTTCATTGGCTTTATTTATTTATTTATGTATTTAGTGGTGCTGGGGATTGAACCCAGGGTCTTGCACGTGCTTGGCAAATGTTCTACACCTGAGCCACATCTCCAAGCTCTGGCTTTATTTTTTATTCTAGAAGGAGGCAATGCTTTATTCCATAAAATAGGGTAAGTGTTCCAATGGTTCAAGCAAGTTGATTGGTTTTCCAGACCAGCAAAAAGAACAAAAAGCAACTGTAACCCCAGCAACTCAGAAGGCTGAGGCAGGAGAATCAAAAGTTCAATGTCATTCTGGAGAACTTGGCTAGATCTTGTATCAAAATAAAATGTAAAAAGGGTGGGGAATGTTGCTCAGTGATGGAGTGCCACTGAGTTCAATCCCCTGGCCCCCACCCCCCAAAAGCAGATTGGAGTGCAGGTAACAAATGGAACACACACACACACACAGAGACACGCTCCCCACTCCACCTCATCTCCTCTCTCTGTCTCTCCAGGGGAAGAGGAGGCTCTGCTTCTTTCCTTGTCTTATTCATTTATTTACTTACGTATGATCACCAAAAACCTGGCTAGAAGCCTCTTGGCTCCCTCTGATCTGACCTCTCCTAGGTCAGAGCTAGGTCCTGCACCTATGCCGAAGGCAATCACTCAGAACTGGAATTTATCCTTGAGTCACACAGGGCAAGGATGCGCACCAGAAAGATTCTGGGGCTCTCCTGATCCGCCCACCACCCAGCCTCCTGGTGTGTTTCCATGCCATCTCTTCTGATCAGGTGTCACCTTTCGCAGGTGGGGTCTCCTGGGGATGCTGGTGTTGCCTGCAGAGACCTTTCTTTGAGCTGGAGGGAACCATCCTTGGCTCATTTTGCAGACTTGGAAAGTACTCCTTAGGGGACAGTTAGCTGCAAGGACCTGAGCATGGAATTGGGCGCCACCCTGGGGTGCGGATGGCAGAGATCAAAGCCACCTACAATTAGATCAAGGAGGGAGCCAGGAAGAGAACACTGCCATCTTCTGGCAGGCAGGGGAAGGCCCCGCGGAGGAGGTGGGTGGGGTGGCCTCCGGTTCCCGGGCTAAGGAAGGACTCCGTTTTCCTCCAAATCTTCCCAGAACTGGGAAGTGTCGGATAGTCACTTGTTTTGTTTTTTTAGTTAAAACGTAAAGTCCTAGTGTGCGCGCGGCAAGGATAGATGATGGGTGGACGGAGTTACAGTGCAAAATCATGGAAGTGGGAAAGGGGAACTCGGGAGTGGCGTGCCAAGGTGTAATGGGCATCGGATGAAGAAGTCAGCCGCAGCCCGAGCTCGGGGCCAAGGCCGGGCCGCATCCTGTGGCAACTGTGAGTCACCCATTAGCAGGGCTCACCCAGGGCTGAGGTCGCGTGTATAGACACGTGCTGGAGGGTGAGAAGGCACTGGGTCTGGGTAAACCTAGTTCCATCTGCACCCGCCGGAAGAAAATGTCCTTCGTCCTTCGCCAGATGATGCAGAATTTAAGGGAGATCTGGTGCACACCAGCAGGAGGAGAGACCCCCGCACCACTGGGTCCCGCGCTCCAAGTCCACGTGCTCAGCCCAGTACCCGGGAGGCCCCTTCCTAGGGGGCGTGGTGGGGCGGGCTCAGCCCGGAGGCTGCGTGCAGCGCTTCAAAACAACCCCGAGGCCCCACCCCGTGACTCACCGCCGGGTGTGGCCCTGGCCTAGACTTTTCACTCGCGAAGTGGACCGGAAGCCCGGCTCCCGCGACTCCGCGTCGCCCCTGCATCCTTGAGGTTCCTTGAGGTTCTCAAGGATGCGGGTCCTGGGCTCCCTCCCGCCCCCGCTCCCATCCTCCTGGGTGCAGCCGGCTGGGAGAAACTCCCTAGTCCCCTCTTCCCCCCCCCCCCCCCAGCTCTTGCAACCCCTCGTCCCCCTCCAGAGCGGAGTCCTTCTAGATCTGGGACCGAGTACCTCCCGTTCTAGGAGGGCCGGCTTCCTGTAACAGGGCCAGCGCCTTTGAATTGGGGGTGGGGGTGGGGCGGATAAGGGAGCCAGGGGTTAGGAAGATGAGAGGATGGAAAAGAGTGCTCTGGACGGTCAGTCTGGAAAGTCCAAGGCTGGATTTCAGGTCTTGGGTTTGAGGTTGCCCTTACCGGGGTCCCGCTTGGCGCTAAGCACTAAGTAGACACAGTGTGGAATCATGAGCTTTAATGAAGGGCAAACCAAAGAGGTAGCTGCTGAACAGAGCTTAGGGCCAAGTTCTGCTGAACAGGTCCTGGAGGGAAGTGCCCATGTCTTCCGTCATTTCTGAAGGCCAAATTTCTTCCCTAGACCAGAGACGCTGTCAGAGGCCTGGTTAGCAGCTTTGTCTATGGCTTCCTGGGTAGACTTGCCAAGATTGTCCATGGCTGCGAAAGGAAAGAAGGGTGTGTGGGTAAGAGAAGGGGTCTTCCTCCCCAGGAAGTCTGCCTGTGGTCCTTGTTAGGCAGAGAATCCTGCAGAGGAGAGGATGGTCCAGGGTTGAAGCAGGGTTGAGAAGTGGCTGGGGCTGCCCATCATTCCTCCCCGCCAGCCCTGCCAAACCTTTCTGTCCAGCCTCTGTGGCCTGATTCAGTACATGCTGCCCTGCTTCACCAACTGCTGTCACTGGAACAGAAAGACAGGAAGTTTATCCCCTGTTGAGTCACCACTGACCACAGGGAGTCACCCCACCACCACTTCCCTGTGTTCTCTATTCTATCCTATAGGCCCAAGGGACTGATGCCCATTGAGATGAAGTCCCTTGCCCAAGGCCACCCAACCATGTCACTTGGGCATTCTTGTTTGTTTATTTATAACTCTTGGCCCTCGCCTCTTGCCAACCTCCCGTCCCATCTCCAGAGTTGCTGAGAAAATATTCGAGGAAGGAAGGCAGCACAGAGCCTAGGTTAGGGATCCAGTGACTGTGGACAGGAGAGGGGCACACACACCTCCTCTCATCCAGTGGGTCCGACCCCACCCTCTTCAATCCTGGGGATCCCCTGGCTGGAGATGGCACCTGAGCTATGGCTACTGTTGGTCTTGGTCCAGGATGACCCTGTCCACTTTAACAACTTCTCCCATAGAAAATGCCTGATGTCCCACCTTTAGTGCACCTGACTCTAGGGCGTCTACTTTCATCAAGACCCCTTCCTACCTCCTCCCCCTGTGGCTCCCCTCAAAGAGCACACAAACATGGATGTCGGTGCTTCAGTGGGCAGGCAGCTTAAGGCATTAGGAAAGGAAATGCAGAAAGGAGGTGGAACTTCCAAAGTAGAGCTATCTCCTTGCCACCAGAGTATCTGCCTCCCCAGGAAACCTGAACTAGGTGCTGCAAGGAGGAACCCAGTGAGCCAGGGGTCTCTTCATATCCCTTACTCTCCATCTTCAGCTGTGAAGCCTCTAGAACAAGGAGAGGACTTCAAAGTAAGGAAAGTAAGGATTTTTTTTTTTTTTTACCCCAGAGAGGGTCAAAATCAAGCCCAGTGAGGTCTGGAGCAGCCTCCCTGATCCCATTCGTCCTGTGCTCAGAGACCTGGCAGATGGGAAGTGAGCCAGCGTCCTTTCTTTGTGGAACTTTACCCACTCCTGAGGGCATGGGTGGGGACGCTTAGGACCTGGGTAAGACTTGGATGCCTGCCTGCTCCCCCCCAGGAGGGGTGACAAAGCCCAAAGCACAGCCTAGGACCCCTGGGGCACCACTATCCCCAACATCCTGTCCCTCAGGGCATTCTTTGCAGGCGCAGGTGGGGGGTCCAAGGCCCCTACGTCTCTGGGAGATGAAGTCCGCAGACATGTGGGCTGCGCAGACCCGTGGCTTCTGCCAGGTGCATCCAGGCGGGTGGCCCCGCTGGTGCCCAGGTAGAATGCTGTCCTCACCTGCTTCCTGGGCTGTCCCTTCCGCCTGCTGCTTCAAGTCCTTAAAACTCTTGCTGGCCATAGCTTCCAGGGGTATGCGGGGTAGTCAAAACCTCAGACACACAGACCGCTGGAGTTTGCTCGCCGCTCTGAAGACTGGTGCGCTAGTTTGTATTTTTAAAGCGTCCCAGGGACGGCCCAACTCGCTGGGGGGGCGGGGGGGGGTGCATGGGCGGTTCCTGGCTGGCTGGCGGACTCCTGGCATGATCCCGCCCTGTACCAAGCTTCTCTTGAGGGGCGGGGGAGGGAGGTTGGGAGAGAGAACTGAGGACATGCTTGCCCCTGGGTACCTGCAGTGGGAAGGCTGCCACTAGAACCAGAGTAAGAAGAGAGACTAGGTTAAGGAGTGACTGGACAGGAGAGAGGCACATACACCTTCTCTCATCCAGCCAGTCCGACCTCACCCTCTTCAATCCTGGGGATCCCCCGCTTCATGAGCCTGAAGTCAGTGTCAAGATGGGAGCTGGATACCGAAGCCAACATTAATAATAGCAGCTGGCTTCTATTAAGCATTTATCTTGAGCCAGGAGCTTCCTTAATGTTTTACAATCTCTTGTATAATTTTTACACCACCTGGTAAAATAAGTGTTATTAATAGCATCAGTTTATAAGGGAAAACTGAGGCAGATAGCGGGTGAATAGATTTTACCCAAACCTCTGTGGCAGGACTCTAATCTGGGCTGGTGTGCTTTGAACCCCCCCAACCGCACCCCCCACCCCTCCGCCCTGGCAATCACGGAACCTTTTGTTCCCACACACCAGGGTGGTGCTGCAGACTGGCTGTCTGCTCTGGGGCTTCTGGTTGCAGACTGGAGAGGATTCAGTAAAGATCAACAAGAAGAGGAGCCATTGGCATGAGCACTTGCAAAACGAGCAGCCCCAAGTAAAGAGTGAGGAAGCTGCCCCCTTGTGTCAGCTGGAAAGGAGATTGTCACAGGTCACCAAATTTTGACCAGTAGAGCAAGTAGCGCTGCTCAGGGTCTGCTCACTTTCCAAAAAAGTCCAGGGACTTGAGGATCTCTTGGGGCACTAGAAGTCAGGAAGCTGCGTCTAGTTGGGGAGACAGGATTCCAGAAACAGCAACACATACCCATCCCCCACTCTAGAGGCATAATGAAGCCCCCACCCTCCCCAGCACACTCTGGTCACACACATCCCACTGCCCCCTCTCCAGGTCTAGTGTTGTGACCTTCACTAACTTTCTCTGCACACTTGGAGTTGCTCTTAGATTTCTGGGAAGCCCCTGCCTACCCAGGCCACTGTGCTGTCTTATATCCTCCTTGTAGCAGCAGAGGGTCAACCACTGGCCTGGAGTGTCTGGAAGCCCAAATGTGCATATGCATGTGTAGACACACACACACACACACGCATGCAGACACACACACACAAAGTATAGATTAAAGACGATTAAAACACTAGGCAAGAGAAAGGGTCAGGTGATGATTAGTGGGGGAAGGGAGAGAGCACATAATGCCCCATCCCTACCCCACCCCCTTCACAATAAGGTGTTACAGGGAGGCAATCCCCTAGGCAGTGGTGGGGGACTTCTGGGAGCTCAGCCCAGCCTCTGCCTCAGCCTTTCCAGCCCTCCTGAAACCCCTCCCACAACACCATGTCTTTAATCTGGAAGGCTTTTGTCACTGGGCTGGGCATCACATGGAAGCAGATCCTGTTTGATACCCAGTCTCAGCCCCTGTGAGTAGCAAGCAAAACACGAAGGCAGCAGCTGCTGTCCGGAGGGCCAGCCAGCCTTCAGAAGTGATGCAGAGACCGCTCAGTGTGGCTGTACAGCATCAGGCACTGCAGTCAGTCCTCTTGGGCTCAGAAACCCCTAGAACAAGTCTCTTTACCTCTTTGAGCCTCTGTGTTCCCAACCTTGAAGAGAAGACACTAACACAATCTTCCCAAAGTATTTTTGTGAGGATTAAATGGGTTGGAGTGTGCCTGTTACCGAGCCCAAGTCCATCTCCTTGCCAAAAGAGGGGCCCAGTGAAGGTAGGACAAATTGTTGGGTAAGGAAAAAGATTTATTTGGAATGCCAGCAAAATTAGAAGATGGTAGTCTAGTGCCCTGGGCGGGAGGCGGGGAGACCATCTTAGCATAAGTTTCAAACTCTTCTCATCTCTAGGCAGGGGGGATAGAATGGGGTCTTAGGTTATGATTGATGACTGAAGACTTCTAGACACCTCTCCAGTGGTCTAGAAGGTGTTGTTGTGAAACCTGTGATTGGCACACACATAATCACAAGATCATGGTGCCCCTATAAATCTTGAAAATATTACTCTCAAATTGGTGTCTTCAGACCTGAAAGGGGAGAAGAGGGATTAGGTAAATTTGGGGCAAATTGATTTTCACTGTTAATCCCAAACATTCCTTAAGTGACCAATATGTGTATGCAGAGTTAGAGTCTGACCCCAAGGCCAAGGAGACACACAATATGGAGGCAGAAATGCCAAGACTTTTCACCCTGTTTTAGTCACCCATCTGACACTGGCAAGGTTTCAGCAAAAGTGCTTTGCAAGTCCCTGAAAAGTAGACTCAGCCACTGCCATCATCATAACCCTCATGTCAGAGGTGTCATCTACAGCAAAGCTAGTGCAGGACTAATTATATACTACTCAGCTGAGTGACCTACAGAATTTTGATTTTTTTTTTCAAAATTAGTGATTTTTAAAGCCAACTAAAGACAAATGAATCTAGGGGATTCATTTAGGTTTTCCCTTGGGTACATGCCCAACTCTCAGTGGAGGGCCTTGTAAGACAAGGCAGGGCCAGGGGCCTCTCAGACAAGGAGAGGCATAATGCAAGAATAGTGCTCTTCTGGAGAAGACAAAAGCAGCTTCTAAGGGCCCAGAGCACATGACAGGGCATTTAAAAGCAAAGAGTACTGCAGGTGTCCCTCAGGTGGGGAAGGAGCTTGCTGGAATAGGCTGACCTTGATGTTTGGCACTTGAGTCCAGGACAGAACCTCCGAGTGTGTGTGTGTGTGTATGTGTGTGTGTGTGTGTGTGTGTGTGTGTGTGTGTAGCATCAGCAGGGACACTTCCAGACTGCTTACGCAGATGTAGAGGGGCACTGGGAGGGAGTCCCATGGAGGCTGTGCCCAGGGATCAGGTCTAGGTATCCTCTCTCCCCACACCCAGTCACCTGAGCTCAGCTTGCTCCTCCTTGTTTTCCCTTACAGTCCAGAGAACTCTCAAACACACCCAGGCCCCTGGGGCATGCACAGGCCTGCTCATATGCCTGTGTCTGAACCAAAAAGCAGGAACACCACTGCCTGCCCAGAGCCTCCCCCAGACCCTTCACTACTGCCCATGGGACCAGCAGCCTCTGCTCCTTTCTGCCTCTTCAGCAATGGACATCCGTGACCAGCTGACCAGGAGTCAGCCTAGCTCAGCTGTATCTGACTGACTCCCATCCCCCTGGGCTGCCCTTGACCCTGACCCCTGTTGCAGAGGCAGTATAGACAGGGTAGTATCTGGAATGATGCGTGGCCTCCAGCTCTTACTCTGAAACCAAGGACCAGAGGCTTAGGGAAAGTCACTTCAAAGCTTGAAGTTTAAATTGGCTATCAAAGGAGAGAGCCAGGTTCCCAAAGAATAAGACCCCAGGCAAAGCGGGACAGTGGGACACTGACCAGCCTGGTGCTGGGGTCGCTTTGAAAACTTGGGGGGCGGGGACTCTGCCAAGAGCACCCCAGAGCCCAGGCAGTCTCACTGTTCGTAGCAGAACAAGGAATCAATGGGGTGCCCCTGGGGCAAGGCCCCTGGTTTGTGCCCAGTTTCATTGTTAGCTTTTACTATTTTTCTCTCGAGGTGTGGCTCAATCTGATGCACCTTAGCTGTCATGTTGTTTAATGACACCTGACAAGTTTCTGGGTGCAGGAAAAGAGAGCCTAACCCTAATTTTGGTGGGGAGCTTGTGACTGGCTGGGTTCGGGTGAGAGGTCACCTCATGGCTCTGCTGGGGTAGGAACTGTCCGTCCTTTGTGTTTAAGCTTTGAAAGTTACCCTCTGCTCCAGGGAGGGTATCAGGTGTCCCTATTCCTTCAGGACAGTTGGTGCTAAAGACATATGCAGCATCCTCAACTCCAGCTGACCTCAGGTTCTTCAGCAACGCTGAGTAGGCAGGTGGGTGGGGTTCCCCCTAGGGGGAGCTGCAGCTCAACCTGGGGACATCCAGCCCTGCACACTTGGACAGTGTGAGATGCCCGCTGTGGGAGCTGGAGGAGCCGCTGCCATCATGCTAAAGGGATGGCTGTGTATGTGTTTGGGGGATGGTTCCCGAAGGCAACAGTTCCAGAAGCACTCTGCGTATCCCCATAGTGTACCTGGTCCCATCAACCTAGTTCCTGTCCCTGAGACCTCCCAGGGGGCTTCATGAACAGTAACAGAAAAGAGAGGAAGCATGGTGGGGTGAGGCTCAAGTTTTATTTGAAATCATTAAAAAAAAAAGAAAAAAAAATCACAGCAGCATCTGTTCTATGGGTCCAGAAGGCTCAGGGGGCCAGAGAGGATGAGGGTAGGAGGTGAAGTCGGTGGCAGCAGCATAGAGGACAGGTCTCTGACAGCTGGGCTTGGGTGCGAGGAGCGTGGGCAGCCCGCTGGGCACGCTCCGGGGCAGGGCACACTCCAGGGCAGGGCACTCCTTGTGCCAGGGGGGAAGGGGGTTCAAGGCAGAGGGGTGTCCCTCGGGGACTCTGCAGCCATCTGGCAACATTTTAGTTTCCGCCACTCTTGGCCTGGGAGAGAGAGTGTGACTCTCACACCTGCTCCAGGTCCCCAACACTCAGTGGCTGCCCTGGGACGGTCACTCATGAAGGAATCTCTCACTCCAGACCAAGGTTGGCTCTACCCACAGTCCCTGTTGGGGGCTGCAGAAGGCTCCCTGACAGGTTCTGAAACCCCCGGAGGGAAGCAGGAGTCTGTGGGGGCTGGGGTCCCTACCCAAGAACGCCCCCAGTGTGCCCCTGGAGTCCAGTTCCTACCTCCTCAGCCACTTCTTCCTCTTCAGCTGCCTGGTCCTCCTGTTTAGGGGCAGGTTGGTCCAAGTCCTCCTGCAGGAGATCAAAGAGGGACATGAGGCAGGGTGCTGTGGCATACGTCTGTAATCCCAGCAGCTTGGTAGGCTGAGGCAGGAGGCTGACAAGTTCAAAGCAATCCTCAGCAAAAGCGAGGTGCTAAGCAATTCAGTGGGACTCTGTCTCTAAATAAAATACAAAATAGGGCTGGGGATGTGGTCAAGTGTCGAGTGCCCCTGAGTTCAATCCCTGGTACCCTCACCCCCAAAAGGGAGACCATAAGGAGGTCACAGAGGCCCCCAGCTACCTGCAGCTAGGGTCTCATCTATGCTGGCCTCAAAGATGATCAGAGGTCCCTACTGGAGGGGCTGGAGGGGTGACAGCCCACAGCTGGAGTTCTGTCTGGTGATGCCAAGACCTTCTGGAACCCAGCTTCATACACCCCAACCTCCGCAAGCGGATCCCAAATCCTGGGTACCCTCTGCTGGGGTTCCTTAATGAAGAAGGATGGGAGCATGGAGAGAGGGTGAGAGTGGACAGATGTTCCTGAATCACATTAGCATACACCTTTGCACTCCTCTGAGTCCCCAAAGAGCCCTAGGAGGAGAGTTGTGTCATCACTGTATACAGGGACCCTGAGACTAGGAGGACTAGGTATCCAGGTCAAGGCCTCAGAGCTCAAAGCAGCGGAGCTAGTCTGCATCAGGTTCAGCTTGCTGTCCGTCAGGCCATTTCTGCCCACAGGAGCATGCTCTTTCTTCCTGCATCCTGGACAGGCTCTGGAATCAGGCCTGTCTTCTGTCCCCTATGCCCCATGCTAGTCAGACTCTTGCCTAAGTGGTCATGACAGCTGAGTGCTCAGGACAGAGTGGTGATTGGCCTGGTCCCTGCCCTCAGCTCCTGCCTTTGGAGGGTCCAGCCACTTCTGTGCTACCACATCCTGCCCCTTGGTGGAGTGGAGCATAAAAGGGCACAGAACTTTGTTGGCCAGGGAGGGCCAGGCTCTCTAGGTGAGAGGCAGGGGGCCACCTGCTTAGTCTGACCACTCCAAGGTTGGTGCACGAAGCCTGGGGCATGAGCAGTCACAAGCACTTCAGGCCTCTATGGTTCACTGGGGAGACAAGTTGATACTAGTTTTGGGGTGTCACCAGAAAATGAGTCTCCCTTGAGGCAGCTCCTCTAGGAGGCAAGGAGTGCCTGGGTAAATTCCTAGAGGGCAAACCCAGCCTGACACCTCCCCAGAGGCCTTTTGTGCTGTGGAGTGTGGAGGGGGGCCTCCTTGGATACAAGTGGGTCCAGCCCAGGGCACTGGTGATGATGATGATGATGATGACCACTCATTGGGCTTTAACCATGAACCAGGGAGGCCTACATTCTGGAGGTCATTTCTCTGCCATATCCTACAGCTCAGTGAGAAAGACACTCACTCTCATTTCACAGATGAGGAAATGGAGACCAGACAGGTTACACAGCTTCCCAAAGTCACACAGCTAGGAAGGGGCAGAGCTGTTGACTAGAAGAGGAAACGGCTGCCCACTCTGGGGATAAGGAGATCCTGTGCTAGCCCTAGAAGCACACATCTGGGTGCTGCTCCTGGAGCCAGGGACAGAGGGCCTGTATCTTTCTACCCCTCCCAGAGCAGGGATCCCCAGTACGGGCTACGCCCAGAGCCTCAGACTCCACTGACTGGGGTGGCCTGAATCAGGTATGGGAGATGGAGACAGCGTGTCTAAGGAGTCAGCCCCGGCCCCACTCTCAGATCCCTGTCATAACCTACACTCTCACAGTCTCTCAGGAGCCAGGCCAGCCATAGAATCACTACCCTTTTGGCACCGTGGGTATGTTACCTAATCCCTGGGCCTTGGTTTCCATGACCTATCTCATGGGATATTTGTACCCATTTTTTAAAAAATTTTATTTGTTCCTTTTAGTTGTAGGATATTTGTACCCATTAAATAAGTTAATAAGTGTAAAAAACTTTCAATAGAACTTGCTCTGCGGCAGGTGCTGGGACAGCTCATGCAGCTCGCATCTACCTTCTGCAATGCCTCCTGCTGCTGTGCCTTCTGCTGCGGCCCTCTTTCCCATGCACGCTCACACATTGCACGCACATGCACACACACACGCACACACGCATGCCCCCTCATCCTGGCACACACACTCAGCACATGCTGCACATCTGCTCACACACAAAGGACCCAGTGGAGGGTGGGGTCAGAACTGTTACTACTTTTTCACCATCAGGGGGCGATGACTCCTTGCTGCTCCTGGGAGGAGGCGGCAGCCAGGTCTAGGAGAGCAGCTGGACACTGGGTGGTGACTCTGCAGCTCCAACCTGATGTCCACTGCCTGGGAGGCTGCTTATCACCATGTGACCTGTTTTCACTGGTAAAATGTGGTGTATCCTCCATGCTGAAAGCCATGGAGCTGGCCTGGTTTGGGGCCTCATTTTCCTTGTCTATAAAATAAGCCCTAACTCTCCAATTCAGGGGCATTTGTGAGGATTCCAGATATGAATGATGTGAGGACACCAAGCACAACCCCTGCACAGACACACAGAGGTGATGAATGGGAAGGAGATTCAGTGCCCAGGTCTGTGAGTAACGTCCTCCACCCCCACCTTGGTTGGCTTCTCTGGACCCAGAGGAAGGATGGGAGCAAGGACTTACCTTGCGCACCACCCCGGTGGTGATCACAACCTTCTCTGCCTCCTCCACGGTCTTGGTGGCCACAGTATTGACGCTGGAGACCACAGCCTCACTCACAGCGTTGGCCTGCTCCTTGGTTTTCTCGGCCACTGTGGGAAGACTGGGGCTGGCCTGGACCCTGACCCTCCCCACCAAGTCAGGCAGAGAGGCCTTTCCCAGAGCACTGGGACTCTGGCTCTTTGGGACCCTCCGATCCCTGTTTTTGACTTCAGGACAGCTTTGACACTCATGGGTGGGAGTGGGAGCCTTACCCTGATCTAGTTCAGGTGTGCAGGGATCTGGATCCCCATAGGGATTTGGACCCCAGTTGATGTAAGGAGGACTTTGGCCATGGGCCCTTAGTACTAGGGTGCAGGAGTGCTGAAGCCCCGTCCCTCATGCCCCTGGTCCTGGGGATCCTCACCTGAGGTCACGCTCTGCACCACATTTTCCTTGGTCTTGGCTCCTGGGAAGGAAATGGAAGCGTCAGCCCAGACCCACCTCTTGGTGTTGGAGGCGGTCAGGACAAAGAAGCCACAGAACAGCTGGACAAGCTGGGGGTCAGTAGAGGGTGTCTGGGGGCCAGCTGCCCCTTCAAAGGACTGCTTCCTGCTATGTCTGGAGCTAGGGGACGGATGGGGAGGAGACAGGACAGGATGGAGGGACAAAAGAGAGTTAGGGACACTAGTGTACCCAGACTCTGCCTGGGTGTGGCCCGGCCTCCAGAGCAGCAGGCTGGTCAGGGATGATGAGGGCTGAGTCATTGCCTCAACCTCCCCTGCCTCCTCTTCAGAGGGAGCAGAGGGGCATTGGAGTGGGTTAGGCACTGAGCCAGAGTCCCACCTCCCCTGTGCACCTCTTCACCCTGGGCAGGGAGGAACCTGTGGCCTGGCCAGGCTGCAGCTCCATATGAAGAGGGAGGGAGCTCGCCTAATCACCAACTGCTCACAGCTTCAGGGTGTCCAAGTTCAGAGGACCCTAGGATGTGTTTGTGCATGCCTTGATGAATGCATAGAGAGGCGGTCAGCTGGGTCAGAGGTCTGAGTGGCACTCTGATCCTGTCCTAGAGACCCTGGGGCTCCAAGGAAGCCAGAGGCAAACACTGGTGTGTGCAAGGGACTGTAGATGCTGCAGGATCTGGAGACCCTGCCTCAACAGCCAGGTCCTCGCCCCCTCCCAGAGTGCCTCCCTGGAGCTGGGGAGAAAGGTCCTCCAACCAAAGGTACCAGACATCCCACCCCAGGCACCACACTGCCTTTCCCTGCCCCGCCCTGCCCCGCCCTGCGTCACTCACCCACATACATGACCCCCTCCTTGGTCTTCTCGGCAGCCTCCGTCACCCCCTGCTTGGTTTTCTCCACTGCGCCCACCACGCCCTCCTTGGCGATGGAGAAGCCCTTCTTGAAGACATCCATGTTGAGCAAGAACAGAACCTGACTCTCCCTGCGAGCTGCGGGCTGGAGCTGGCGCGAGTGCTGCCGCAGCCGCTGTCCCCGCCGCCGCTGCCTCTTATTGACGTGGATGAAATATTGATGTCGTGTTGGCTGGCGGGAGCCCAGCCAGCCCAGGCGGGGGTGGAGGTGGGGAGGGTGGAGGGAGGGAGGCCTTCCCCAGGGAGGTACAGCAGGGAGAGGTCCCTGGACCCCTGCTGGCTCAACTGTGCCCTCCTGACCCTTGTCCTCCAAGAAGGGACATGGGGGCTGGACATGTCCTAATTCATCACTGCCCCTCATTCATCGGCTGTCCTGCCCACCTGCAGGCTGCCCTGGCTGGGTGCTATCAGGCCTGGGGCTGTTGTTTTCAGTGCACAAAGAAGGGGTAGGCACTTTAGCCAGTGCTGCAGGGTCGCAGATAGGGCAGGGGTCAGAGCTACTGGCCTGTCAAGTAAGAATGACCCACCTCTAAAGTCAGCCTGGACTACCCAGCTACCCACAGCACCCTGGATGCCCTAAAGCCTGAAACTCCTGCCAAACCAGTTGGAGGAGCTGAGGCCAGGCACACAAGGTTTTTCCCCATGCCCTGGGCTTTGGCTGTGCTGTGTGACCCCAGGATAGCTCCTTTTCTTCTCTGAGCCTTCACCCACAGCCCAGTGGCAAAAGGTGCTGAGGAGGCATAGAGTGCCTCCACTTCCTGGCCAGCAGCATGGGTGGGCAGCAGGGTCTCCCCCGAGACTGATAAACCGCTTCCTGCAGCCCCACCTGGAAGCCTAGGCATTTCTCCTGACTCCCATGGGTTTGTAGGGCCACCCTCTGGGTCTCCCACACTCTAGTGTCCCTAAGCCAAGTCCTCCTGGAGCACAGGAACTGGTCTGCGTGGTTGGCGGTCTCTGTGGGGGCCAGGCAGGAGGCGGGGGTGGGGGCGGCGGATGAGACCTACCCGGTGGGCCGGCCCAGGCCACTTCCTCTCTTTGTTGTCCCGTGTTTTCTTTTCCTTCTGAGATTTAACTTGAGGACCACGTCACTAGCAGTTTCTGCAGTCATTTGCCAAACCAGCCCAAGCCTGTCCCACCAGCAAGATGATCCTGACTCTGCTGCTCGGTCTTGGAGGGCCCCTGGGCTGGGGGTTGCTGGGGGCCTGGGCCCAGGCCCCTGATACCGGGTTCTCTGATCCACACCACCCAAGGCTGCCTGGGGTCTGGGGTGCAGAGGCTGAGGACACCAGCAGGGACCCTGTCAGACGGTAAGGAGGGCCTGGACCTTGGCAGAGGTCACTGGGCAGCATCTGAGTCCCAGTTCAGTCAGAGCAGGGATTCTCTGAAGCCATCTGTGAAATGGGCTAATACAATCTACCTGCTGGGCTAGCCATGAGGCTACGCATCCTTCAAGGTGCTAGGCATCCTTCAAGGGTCTATGTTCAGAAAGCCTGTGTTGGGCACTCCAGAACTTCATCTAAGAATGACAGGGAGACTTGCCTGCCCCATAGCAGGGAATCTGAGCTGGGATTTGGGGGTGGGAGGAACAGCTCCTAACATTGATCACCCAGCATGGGGCACTGAGGGATTGTGATTCTAGTTGTTTCCAGCCAGTGAGGCCATGGTCCCCGTTCTTTGAAGGAAATCAATTCAGACAACTGAGCCCCAGCAAGGCTGATCCAGCCTAAGCCCTGAGGTATGGCCACTCCTGGGGATAAGGTTTGATCTGAGTGCCCAGGAAGCCTGTCCCTGACTGCCAAGCAGTGAAGAGAGAGGGCTCCCTGCTGCCAGAGCACAAGGAGGCAGGGGCATCCAGAGAGCTCTGCCACAGGGTCCTTCTGAAAATGAGTGTATGGTGTTACAGTCGCACCCCAGACACCATCCTCTAACACTCTATTTGTACAGAGCCAGGGACCCTCCTGCACATAGGTTCTGGTCCTGTGGGTTCCCCTCAGGGTATGAGGTGGTCCTGGAGCCTCATCTCCAGTGCCCCACAGGGCAACAGGTACCATCTGCTGGGCCAGCCTCTGGGCCAGGCATGTTACCAAGTGTCATCTCCGTTAACTTCTCTAACAGCCCCATTTATAGAGGAGGTGCCCCAGATAAAACAGCCCAGGACAGGTAGAACAGGATCTGCTTTGACTTTCCAGCTCAGAGCCAACCTTCTGAGTGGAACACTAAGATCTGGAAGTGAGGGGCCCAATGCACATACCCACCCACAGCCTTTTGTCTGCATGTATGGAAGGAGCCATCACATGTGCCTATAAGACAATCTGCCTGGGACAGGTCTTATCCAGCTTCTCCCATTTCTGGGTAACTGTTTGTGGACACTTCTCTGACAGCAGGTTTGGCCAGGGAGAAACAGGAGGGCACGAGTAGGCAGTATATACTGACCCTTAGAGAGGAAAGGGCTGTGGGAAGCAGAAGCCCCAGAAGTTGGATGTGCAGAGACTCCATTTCTGCCTCTCCCCTAGTTTGGCTCAGGGTGGGACGCAAAGGTGATTCTTGGTGTGGGGAGTCCAGCCACCCAATTCCAGTTTCAGGACCAAGGACCAAGCCTTCTCTCCTAAGGCCATCAGCTTCATGCCCAGTTTCTCTCTCTCCCTTTGATGAAAAGGAGGATGAGGGGACCAGGAGGAGAGAGAAGGAAACCACTCTTCTTTCTCCCTTTGTTTCTTTTCACAACCCCCTTGGTTGTGGAGAAAGAGAGTGCATTCCCTAAGACCCGGGTAGCAAGGGTCCCTCAACCTTTCCCTGGCTGCTATGAGCAGCTTGGGGGTGTGTGTGCACCAGTTCACCTGGTTCAGGAATGCCCAGGCTTCCCAGGCCTGAGACCCTTGCACGCCAGAGTTTCCTTCCTGCGCCTCCAGAAGCTGCAGACCCCACAGGCCAAGCCCAAGTTGTTGAAGCATCCGGAGGGGTGCTGGGAAAGGAAGGAAACATGCATCTTCCTGGGCTGATTGCGTCCCGTGCTCATGCTCCTGTGACTTGGGAGGTGGAAACTATTCCACTCCAGCCAGCAGGGAAGGGGAGGTGGACCGGGCACTTCACTCCAACAGTCCTGAAACAGAGGAGAGGCACCGTCAGCGACAAGCCCCTGGCTGCCAGAGCCAGGCCTCGTGCCCTGATTTTGCCTCTCACACCTGTTTCCAGAACTCCAGAAACAGGGCGGGCCCCGGACACAGAACCAGATCAAATGCTTTGGAAAGACAAGCTTGAACAGAACTACTCAGTGCCTGATGCCCCATATCCCCAGATTGCCAGATCCTCCGGTAGAGGAGGGACATGGTTAGCCTGTTCTTAGGTCCCTGGGACCCCACAAGGTCAGGGTAGGGGATCCAGCAACATGAATATTTGGACTCCATGAAGAGGAGGCTCATACCAGCTCCGTGGCTTGGGTGGGGTGTTTAAGAATGTGGGCTCCTTGGACCCTAGTGGGTGTGCTCTAGTCCAAGTAGGGATTGCGGAGCCTGGGCAAGGTATCCCGCTCTCCACAGTAATCATCACAGCTTGGAGGCCTAGGGACACCACTCAGGGCCTCAGGGCTCCTAAGTGATGGGTCAGAGTCAGGTTCCACAACAGCTGGGCTGCAAGCCCCAGGTGTCCTTTATTCTGTCCCCACAAGAGGAGTGGGAGCACAGGGGATGCCTCTCCCAGCCGCCCAGCTGGCCCATCACCAGCCTCAGGCTTCTGCCCATGGGGGGAGTGTTTGGGATTTTTGCAGTGGGATCTGGAGACCCAGAAAAGTCCAATATGTTGCTGGAGGTCCCAGGAGTAAGGTGGGAGCCAGGGTGGCCATGTGTTCCCACTCCTGGATACAAGGCCCTGTGTGGAAACTGGAAAGCACCCCCACTGGTCAGAGCTGACACTCCCAGGCCCACACTTAAGGAAGCCCAGATCCAGGCTGGCAGCCCAGTGGGCTTCACACTTCTGTGTGAAGTCCCCTCTCTGGCTCAGGGACAAAGTCCTTGAGTGTCTCCCCTGGGATGTTCATGCTAATGGCTGGACTCAGATCCTCAGAAAGAAAGGCTGCTGAGAACTCGCCCTCCATCCCCAGGAAGACTTGAGGCTTGGTCGGGTGGGGTTACTGGCTGGTTAAGAGGCACTTAAGTGCTCTGCTTTCTGGACAGCACATGCATTAGCAGATCCATTATGCAGGAAGCTCTGGCTCCCGGCTCTGCCTTCCCCGAGCTCTCCTCTCTGTGTCCCCAAGGATGCAGCTTCTGCACATTTCCAGGAGGAGGGGGAGGCCTTGCTCAAGGTCACCCAGTCCAGGAAAGGAAGGGGAGGAGAGCTCCATGCCTCCCTGCTCCTGTCAGGGGTTGGCTGCTCCTCCGGTTTAGGGCAGGCATTAGGTTGGGGCCATGGGCAGGTACAAACCAGGCCAGAGGAGCCCACGCTCATTCTACATTGGCACCTGCCCCTCAGTAGACCTTTGGGAGATAAAGGCACCCATAGGGCTTCCCAGGGGAGGTTGCAAAGTGGGAGCAGGCCTGAGACAGAGGGTCATGGAAACAATGGGGCACTTGTACATGTGGGGCCCAAGGCATGTGTGCCAAAGCCAGCCGGGGGCTGCCAAGAGCCAGAGGAAACCAAAGCAAAGGTTAGGAATGTTCCCAGGGCTTCAGGGCCAGCAGCCTGCACTATGCCAAGGGAGGGATTGCCAAGGGAGGGGGAGCACAGTAGGGGAATAGTGGCCTCTAGAGTCCAGGGTTTGGGCAGGTCAGAAGAGAAAGTTCCCGGGCAGGAAGGGTGGGCAGCACTGCTTCCAGTTCTAGGAGTTGTTAGAGGTATAAATTACCACTCACTTCTGGCAGACTGGACTAGGCCAGGCGCGCTCAGGGCACAGGCCTTCTGGGCCCTCTGCAATAGGTCAGAGGGTGTGTGAAGAATGTGACTTGTTTAGACAGGGTGTTTCTCAGCCTCGGCGCTCTTGGCATTTTGGGATGGATACTTCCTTGCTGTCGGGGGCTGTTGGAGGCTGTCCGGTGCATCTGGGAGTGTTGAACAGCATTCTTGGCCTTTGACCACTAGATACCAACAGCACCCACCACCCAGTTACAACACAATGTCCCCAGACCCTTGCCAAATGCAACTGAAGAATTTCCCCTGTACCCTACTGAAAACCACTGGTTTAGAGAGATATAGAGGCCATGTTCTAGAAACTTTTAGGAGGCCCAGGGTGATGTGTCTGTGACAGACAGCTCCTCACCCACATCTCCCAAGCACCTGAGCTCTAGGTCCAGCACTACCACAGTGCTTCAGCATTGAGGGAACACTTCTTCCTTTCATCCTGATTTTGATGTGCTTGCATTTTGCCATTTGCTCATCCCTCAGGGATGCACGCGCCCCTTTCTTGTCTCTGTACCTTTGATTGGTACGTCAAACGTGCAATGTCCCACTGTTTTCATGATTTGGCTTTTTTTTTTTTTTTGGTGGTGGTGGTGGTGGTACTGGCATGAATGAGAGATGCTACACCCCCAGCCCTTTCTTATTTTATTTTGTAAAAGGGTCTTGCTAAATTGTAGAGATGGGCCTTCAACTTGAGATCCTCCTGCCTCAGCCCCCCGAGTCACTGGGATTACAGGTGTGTGTCACCACATCTGTGATTTAGAGTGAATCATCTTATTTATTTTTCTCTTATTTGTTTTTATGGTGCTGGGTAAAGAATCCAGGGTCTTGGGCATATGAGGCAAGTGCTGTATCCCTGAGCCATGCCCACAGCCCTAGCGTGGGTCTTGATGGTTAGAAAGGAAACTCCTCATTCATTGTTCTCTCAAAATGTTCTTCCCTACTCATCTGCGATTTCTTTTACAGGTGGAAATGATTTTTTTAAAGTTTTATCCTTATTAATAATACCAGAGGCATGGGTCAGAAAACTGTGGCCAATGGGCCAAATCTGTCCTGCCACCTTTTTTGTTTCAACAAAGTTTTATTGGAACACAGTGGGACTCATTCATTTACATACTGTCAGTGATCACTTGTGTGCTACAATGGTAGTGTTGAGTAGATGTGACAGAATCCCTGGGACTTGGGAAGACTAAAATCAGGCCAGCTTCATGGGCATTCGAGGTACCCAGGCACATAAACAAGGCCCTGCCCTGGAGCCCCACAAGGACTCTGAAGGGCCCACATTTGGTTTGATCTCTGCTGTTGCCATCTTGAAATTCTTAATAGTTTTGAACAAGGAAATCACGTTTTCAATTTACACTGGGCCCTGCAAGTTAGTTTTTTTGTTTTCCTTTTTTGTTTGTTTGTTTTTTGGTGGTACTGGGAATTGAACCCAGGGCGTTTTACTACTGAGCTACATCCCCAGCCCCTTTTTATTTTTATTTGAGACAGGGTCTCAATAGATTGCTGAGGCTGACCTTGAACTTGTTGTCCTCTTGCCTCAGCCTCCCATGTCGCTGGAAATATCGGTACATAGCGCCATCCCTGGCTTGTAGCTGCTCTTGTGTATTTACTATTTGTCCCTTTAGAGAAGTTTGTTGACCCTTGGGTTAGAGTCAACCAGATCTACAAGGTTCCTTGAGCCTAATAAACGCCCTGCCCTCTCTGCTCTCTGAAAGCAATGACTTCAGTTGTTTAGCTGATTCTTTTAGCATTTATCTCTATATCTCCAAATAACATGCTATATTTCTACTCAGGAGATAGGATTACCTACGACTCAGCTCCCATTCCTACCCCACACCATGACCCAGAGGTGACTTGTGCGTGAGCACACAGCACCCACCCGCCACTCTCTCATGTTATCAATTTGAGTATTTATATCCCTACGACTAAAAAGGGATATATTTGGAGAGTTGGGTCTTAAAATAAACTATGAATCTTTTTTTCCCCTACATACTTTTAGCTTTCCCTGGAATAAAAAATTATCTTGTTTTTTCCTTCCTTGTTCTTCTGTGCCTTGTCATTAACTCGATCCCAACCCCTCAGCTACTGGTTCATGTTAGGTGTTTGACCAACTCTGTCCTTTTGGTGATGCCTCTCTCAGAGCTGCCTGGTGCGTTCCAGTCTAGACTGTTGCTATGTCCCCACAGCCCACTGTTGTCCTTCGTCATCCTTCTGGAGGCTCTCTCCATCCTGATTCTGTGTGGGAACCCGATTCCTGAACTCATGCTTTCCTCTGTCTTGGCTTCTCTCCTGTTTAGGTGGAGCCTTTCCAGTACCACAGCGAGACTCAGTCCTAGGCTGTACCTTGGCCATCTAGTGGAGCTCTAGATTTCTATGTTCAGTCCCCAACCTCAGAGAGTCTCCTTTAACTGGCCTGGGGTAGGAAAAGACCATTCCAATTGCTAATGTGTGTCTGCGTCTGTGTGTATGTGTGTGTGTGTGTGTGTCTATGTGTCTGTGTGTCTATGTGTGTGTCTATGTGTCTCTCTGTGTGTGTGTGTGTCTATGTGTCTGTGTGTCTGTGTGTCTAGGTGTCTCTGTGTGTGTCTATGTGTCTGTGTGTCTGTGTGTGTGTCTATGTGTCTCTCTGCGTGTCTATGTGTCTCTGTGTGTGTGTGTGTGTGTGTGTGTATGTCTGTGTCTCTGTGTGTGTGTGTGTGTGTGTGTGTGTGTGTGTGTCCTTGTTTTTCTCTGGAAGCACATAGAGCCCATCTTGTCCCCAGAATTCTAAAATTTCTTGATGATGTGCTTTGATATGACTTTGTTTCCACCTTTTTGCAGGTAACTGGTGGGCCTTTGAATCTGGAAACTCAAGTCCTTTGTTTCTGGAATATGTTTTTGATTTTTTTCAGTCAGTGACTTTTTCCCTTTGTTCTCTCTTTCTGGAACTCTTATTATTTGGATGTTGGATTTCCAAGACTGTGCTCTAGTTTTCTTAAATTTTCTCTCCTCTTTTACATCTCTCTGTTTGCTCTTGTTTTAGGAAAATTTCTTTAACTTTACGCTCTAGCCATGTCATTGTGATTACATTTCTTTTTCATTTCTAATGTTTAGTTTTTAATTTTTACAAGTTCCTTTTCTTCTTGGAATCCCCCCACCCTGCCCAGTGTCTTTTCCATAATTTCCTGTTCTTGTTTCTTGGATGAGGTCACTGTCTTATCAATCTGGAAATATTAGTACAACATTTTTGGAAAGTTTTCTTTTCCCTGCACACTCTTGGTTTACATCCAAGTTGACTTTATTCTATGAGCTCTTTTGGACCTCCTTCTGCCTTTGTTTGTTTGCTTTCAGTGTGGGGGATTGAACTTGAGGCTCCTGCATGCTCAACACATGCTGTTACTAAACCACATGCCTACTTAAGAGTAAACAGACTGAAAAACTGAGGTCCGGAGATGTGGCTTTCTGATCTGTTTTGTTACAGGATACTCTGGCTGGGTTACTTTACCGGGGGCAACCCTGATGTCAGCATTTTTATTTTTTTCCCCTCTGGGACTGGGTCATTTTCCTGAGAAGCTTTTCCAGCCTGCTTACTAGAGGGTAAAGGCTGGCTGCCAGGCTTCTGGGAACCAAGTGGGAAAGCAGGAGTCTTATGCCCATAATGGATGTGGTCTCTCGATGCCTCAGTCCCTCTCCTTCCCTAGCAATATCTTTGATGATGCAGAAAATAAAATCCCAACACAAACAGCAACTCCATCACCAAGGCCCCTGAAACTGCCTTCTAACATCTCACGGTGTGGCCACTCCTCCCATATCACCCAGTCCAAGTGATATGTACTGGGTGGGTCAGGGCCTTCCCCTCCCCACTAGACCCTGATACAACCACCTATCTCTTACCCACCCCTGTCTTTTCTGTTTCCAGGAACCAGGGTGGCCCTTTCATGTGACTTGCTTAAACCCCTTCCCTGACTTCCATGCCCTCAGGACAGCGTAGCTCCTCCACTAGCACCCACCCCCCTCCGCAGTCTGGCTTCCTACCTCCTTCACCTCCTCCTTTCAGCCCTTCCTTCCCCCTCACCCATCCCAGCTCCTCTCCCTTTAAGACACAGCCCCTTTATTACCTCCTCTCAGAGCCTCCTCAGGTTCTAGCCTTTGTGGCTCTAAGATTGCCTGCTCTCCCTGGAGACCCTGAAGGGAAGGTCTGTGCCTCTGTCACGCCATTGCAAGTGCCCAGCACCTGGCACCCAAGATTTGCTGAGCTGAACTGGACTGTGGAGGTCATTGTGTCTTGCATCTCTGGGGAGCTTTGCTAGCTGCAGGGGTAGGGTGGGGCTTGACCTTCCCACGGACCCCATGGAGCCAGCCACCTGGACAGTGAGCTGGGTCCCTGTCAGCATGTACATCTCACTGCTTCCAGAACCACCACAGCCCATTCTGTGAAGAGCAAAGATGGAGGCATTACCCCTCAGGTGTGCAGGATGCTGAGTGTGACTCCCCAAACCACCCTGTAGGAACACAAGGCAGAGGCCTTTCCCAGAGAGGAGGCTGCCCTGCCCAGGCGCCTCCTCCTACAATGACCACTGCTAAGTCCATTTCCATCAGGGTTCTAATGGGCAAGGTCAGGGAGCAGGAGCCCTCACTATGATGGGGTTTCTGGTAAGTAGGATCGGGCAGGCTGTCACATGGGGTAGGAGCAGCATTCACGGAGCACTAGTCTGGAGTTAGGCATTTGGTACTTGTCCACTCACTCCTGGAGGACATTGCCATCTCCATGGTTTAGCACAGAGAAGGAAACTCCCTACATGCCTTGCTGGAAGTACACAGCCAGAAAGTGTAAAGCATTAAAACCCAGGACTCTCCAGCTCCAACTACACACCATGCTGCCTCCCTCGCACAGGGGAAACAGCAAGAGTCCTCTGGCTCTGCAGGAAAATTCACTGTGTGATAGTAGATGAGCTCCCTAGCCTCTCTGTGCTGCCCTGGAGGAGGTTTCGAGAAGGCAGTGGAGCAGGTACCCTTGCAGGTAGAGTTTGTGGAGCGTTGCTTTAGAGCCCTGAGGATAGATAATGCAGAGCACCTCCTTATTAGGCTAATGGATTCCAGAGTCCCAGTACTGGGTGGGTCAGGGGGCATTATTGGGTGCCCTGCACTAGCAGTCTCTGTGGACCCCTAAAGGGGATTGTTGGGGCACCTGGGCATGACTCAGCAGCCTCTTCTCTGTTTATTTTCCAGTAACTGGTGCCCTTACCAGCAGTCCAGACTGGTCACCTATGTTGCTGCTTGCAAAACAGAGAAATTCCTGGTCCATTCACAACAGCCATGTCCAGTGGGGGCTCCAGACTGCCAGAGAGTCAAAGTCATGTGAGTTGGGGCAGGCGGGCTGTTTGCATGGCCCCTGTGGGCTCCCTTTGGAGTCGCTGAGCCACCCTCCTCCCCCAGGTACCGTGTGGCCCATAAGCCGATATACCAGGTGAAGCAGAAGGTTCTGATCTCCATGGCCTGGAGGTGCTGCCCAGGCTTCAAGGGCCCCGACTGTCAGCATCACGGTAGGGCTCCCCGCCTTCCTTGGCTCCAGAGGTCCTGCAGTTCCTCTGGCCTCCAGGGTCAACATTCCATGCTTCCTTCTGCAGATCCCACAGCAACCCCGGAGCCTGCAGAACCAAGGAATGACCCCCAGAAGCCGTGGGACCAGTTGGTCAACTTCGAACTTGGTGTGTTGCTTTCCTGGAAGGTGCAGGTCGGGCAGAGTTCATGTGTCCCTTCCTTCCTCCCCTCGAGACAGTGCCTTTTAAGGAAAACTTTGGGCCTGGAATCAGAAAGGGCCCCCTTATTCCTTGCATGCTCTTCCCCAGGAGGTGGGGCCTGAGCACACATCTCCTTTTCCTGGACCCCATTTTCTGTGAGACAGTGTTATCTGGCACCTTCCTTGACCTCTGAACTACACAAGCTCCTGGGCCTGGAAGACACCTCCTCACCCTCTCCCCTACCCTTAACCAGGGCCAGAAAGTTATGTCATCTCTGGTCTGTGCAGTCAACACAGGAGGGCCACCAAGAGATATCATTTGTGGTGTCTTTCAAGGCTGGGCCCAAGGGTGGGATGGGCAATGAGTTTCATCCTGTGATGAACTCCTGTCAATTGACAGGGAGCACAGAGAATGTCCTTGTAGCTAGGGAAGGAAATATGCTGGGATTGACTAGTCACGTCTGCTGTGGGTGTGGGAAAGAAGGTGAGAACTCAGTTGTCATGCATTTGCCTTTCTGGGGTTGAAGTCTTCTAAGTTCCAGCTCAGAGATTGTTAGCATGCACCTCCCCTCCCTTGCTTTTGGCTCCCAAATCCTCACTGGACTTCATGATCTGCCTAAGCCTGGCAAGTTAGGCTTCAACACCTGTGTCTGCTGTGTATTCAGGCCACCCCACTGCAGAGCTCAACGAGGTAGAGAAGGTCGATGTCCAGGTGCAGCATGAACAGCAGGAACACCTACTGGAAGATCTCCAGAATGATGTTGACCAGGCAGCAGACAGCCTCTCTGGGCTGTGGAAGGCTGCAACAACAGAGACATCTGCAACCACACAGGCAAATCAAACGGAGCTGGGTGAGTAGCAGGTTCTAGAGAAGGCCCGGATTTCAGAGGCCCTGCTAGTCCTCACTGGGGAGGGCTGTCTGTTGCTGTGGGCTTATGTAAACACATGCGTCTGTTGCAGAGTTTCCTGGCAGGTCCTTGGAGCAAGTGCTGCTGCCCCACATGGACACCTTCCTGCAAGCACATTTTAGCCCTATCTGGAAGAGCTTCAACCAGAGCCTGCACAGCCTCTCCCAGGCTGTAAGAAACCTGTCTCTTGATGTAGAGGCCAACCGCCAGGCCATCAAGAGGGTCCAGGAGAGTGCTGTGGGCAGAGCAGAGTTTCAGGAGCTTGGTGCCAAATTTGAAGCCAAAGTTCAAGAGAATGCCCAGAGAGTGAGCCAGCTACGCAAGGATGTGGAGGACCACCTGCACACCCAGCACCTCTCCCTGCAGCACTCCCTGTCTGAGGTCCAGGCTGATGTGGATACCAAGTTAAAGCACTTGCTCAAGATCCAGGAGTCCCCAGGGGCTAATGGCAGCCTGGTGATGGCAGCAGCAGGGGCAGCAGCAAAGCCAGAGCCAGAGAGCCTGCAGGCCAGACTGGGCCAGCTGCAGAGAAACATCTCAGCCCTGCATGTGGCCACCAGCCAGAGGGAAGAAGAATTGCAGAGCACCCTCAGGGGCATGAGGGCCACCCTGGCCCAGCATGTGGAAGAAATCAAGGAGCTATACTCTGAGTCGGATGAAACCTTTGATCAGATCAGCAAGGTGGAGCGGCAGGTGGAGGAGCTACAGGTGAACCACACAGCTCTGCGAGAGCTGAGAGTAATCCTGATGGAGAAGTCTCTGATCATGGAGGAGAACAAGGAAGAGATGGAGCGACAGCTCCTGGAGCTCAATCTCACCCTCCAGCACCTGCAGGGCGCCCATGCCGACCTCATCAAGTACATCAAGGACTGCAATTGCCAGAAGCTCTACTTTGACCTGGATGTCATCAGGGAAGATCAGAAGGATGCCACTCGCGCCCTGGAGGAAACCCAGGTGAGCCTGGATGAGCGGCGCCAGCTGGACGGCTCCTCGCTGCAGGCCCTGAGGAGCGCCCTGGATGCTGTGACTCTGGAGGTGGATGTGCACAAAGAGGAGGGCAGGCAGGCGCGGGCCGAGAGGGCCAGGCTCCGCAGCCAGCTGCAGGCGCTGGATGGCCAGGTGGGCGCGCTGAAGACAGGCGCGGACCAGACCCGCCGCGAGATAAGCCAGCTACACAGCTCCTTCGCAGCCCTGCTGGAAGACGCACTGCGCCACGAAGCTGTGCTGGCCGCGCTCTTTGGTGAGGAGGTGATGGAGGACATGTTAGAAGAGGCGCCTGGCCCGCTGCCCTTGCGTTATGACCAGATTCGTGTCGCCCTGCAGGAGGCTGCCAGTGGGTTGCAGGAGCAGGCGCTCGGCTGGGACGAGTTGGCCGCCCGGGTGGCAGCTCTGGAGCAGGATGCAAGTCACCGCTCAGAGCCTTCAAGGCGGGCAGAGCACCTGGAGCCCAGCCACGATGCCCAGCTGGAAGATGCAGGAGCCACCACCGCCCTGGCTGGGCTGGAGCAAGAGCTCCAGCGCCTGAGCTCCGACGTCAAGCGCGTGGGGCAGTGCTGCGATGCCTCCTGGGCTGCCTCCCTCAATGGCTCCCTTGAGGGCCTCCACCACGCCCTCTCCACCACTGAGCGTGGCTTGGAGCAGCATGAGAGGCTCTTCCACAGCCTCTTTGGGAACTTCCAAGGGCTGATGGCAACCAATACCAGCCTAGACCTGGGGAAGCTGCAGGCCATGCTGAACAGAAAAGGGAAGAAGGAGCAGAAAGGTGTGGAAACTCCCAGGAAGAGGGACAAAAAGCAAGTGGCATCTTGGGTGGATGCACATGCCAAAGGACTGGAGCAAGATGCCCCGGGCACAGAGCTCTGGGAGGCAGGTGAGTGCCTGGGTTGGGAAGTCTGAGCAGGTCTAGAGGACAGTGTTGTCTGACAGCCCAGCAGCTGGTCTACCCTGGAGAGGGACAGGATGAAAGAAACCAGGTTGGTCATCAGTCACCACCACCCACCTTCTCCTTGATTCACCTTCTTTCCTCTTAAGCTCTCTGGAGTACAGGCAGGTAAAAGTCATGAGAATAATTGTTGGTGTCAAAGCCCTTGATCTGGCGACAGTGCCACTTCCATGTTAAACCATTAGAGGCTCTACACACGGTTGGCTGAGTCCCAACTGTGGACAGAGGGGGAGGGCCTTTCTTCTTTCCATGGCATTCCCTCAAATTCCTTCATTTCAGCTCTTCACAACCCTGTCACCCCCCACTAACCAGCTTACCCTGGTATAGGAATTGTGATGGGGCCTGCAAATGGCAGCACCCAACAAGAAGGGAATGTAGGAAGAAGCCTTGAGCCCTGAAAGCAGTCCATATTCAGCAAGTCCAGTTGGTCTATTTCATCACTCTGTGCCAGGCCCCTGTAATGCCCTTCTTGGACTTTTTTTTTTTTCCAATATTGGGGATTGAACTTTGGGGGTACTTTACTCAGTGGTACATCCTCAGTCCTTCTTATTTTTTGAGATAGTGTCTTGGTTAGTTGCTCAGGCTGGCCTAGAACCTGCAATCTTCCTGCTGCAGCCTTCTGAATAGCTGGGATTACTGGTGTGTACTACCATGCCCGGCTCCTTCTTGGGCTTTATCATGATGAATCATCACAGTAGCTCAACAATCCATTCACTATCATTACCATCTTACCTGAAACCAAGGCTCAAACCCAGAAAGTGACTAGCTCACACAGCTGAAGAACATCACAGAGAAGCTGTCTCTAGGGTGCTGACTTTCCCCTTCTGGGGCTCTTGAAGGTTGGTTTCTGCAGGGCCCCAGGCTCTAGGTCTACAATCTTGCTCTGAGTTTGAGGCCAATATTCCAACCTTTCCCTGAGGGTGGATCTGTGTTTTAAGTGATTCTATCTTTCAGAAAATCTAGCTTTGGCATTGGGGCCCCTTCCTCATCCAGTCACAGGGCTAAGTATAAAGCCATCATCATGGCTGCCTATACCCTGGAATAGGCTGGTGAGCAGAAAGTATGAACCTTGCTGAAGGTCCATCTCAGCCCATGCTGAATAGAAAAAGGAAGAAGGAGCAGAAAGGTGTGCAAACCCTGCTGCCCTCCATTAGAGCCCAGGAGGAAGTGTGGAGCCGTGGAAAGAGCTCACGCTCTCATCACTTGTCTCAGTTTCTTACTCTGTAAAATGGGACAATCACTACTTGTATCAAAGAGTTACGAAGACTAACAGCTACATCTTCCAAATACCTAGCACAAGACCCAAGTGTCTTTTCCACAGCATTTTCGCAGCTGAGGCTGTGTCCACTTCCACTACTTCTTCCATATTGTTTTCCTCTTGTGAGTGGCTCAAGGTCTTTATACTGATGACATTCAGCTTTTGCTTAATGATTTCTGGATCTGTGTTTACCATTGCAGTATTTTGTTATTTCAAAATATATTTTTCCTTTAAAAAACCCCTTTATTTGTCTTACAGAAAGTCCTTAGGACTTGGATTTGTGCCCCACAGGGACATGCACAACCCTTCCACCAACATGAAGGGCATGTTGGGATTTTTAGCTCTAAAGTGAATGAACTCCCAGGAACAGCAGGGTGAGAGAGGACCCATTACCGGTAGAGGGCGTTGTCAATCAGCTCTTTATCAACTGGGCAAGAGCCCCACCTTCTGGGTACTTGCGGAACTGCAGCACCAGCCGCCTGTTTTTCCTTAGCATAGTTACTCTTCCAAGCTAATTGTTAGAAAAATCTTCCAGAATTAGAGAAAAGAATAATTTTATTATTGCTGGACTGGGAGTCACAAATCTGGGTTCTAGTTCAGGAGCCTAAGTCACTAACTGTTATGTGAGGACTTGGTTTCTTTCCTGAAAAATGGGGAGCTTAGTCTCAAATTCTCTCTCTTCCCCAGAGAAAACATATTGGAAAAAAAAAAAAAAAACACAAGGAGGGCTGAGCTTATGGCTCAGCGGTAGACCACTTCCCTAGCACATGCGAGGCTCAGGGTTCAATCCTCAGCACCACATATAAATAAGTAAAATAAGGGCATTGTATCCAACTACAACTAAAAATTAAATATTCTTAAAAAAAAAGTGATGCCAAGGTCACAGCAGGGTCTCGAGTGGAGCCTCACTTTTTTTTTTTTTTTTTAGTTGCAGATGGACACAGTATATTTATTTATTTATTTATTTATTTTTATGTGGTGCTGAGGATTGGACCCAGTGATTCGCACGCTCTAGACAAGTGCTCTAACACTGAGCTACAACTCCAGACCTCCTGTCCCATCTTGTGGTTCTGTCCTCTTGTCACTCAACCTCCCTGGCTGGGCAGCCAGCAGGCTCCTTCATCCCTGTACACATTACTTCCTCTGTCTCCAAGCTTGTGTGTGGGCCTAGTGTCTCCAGCAGGACTATCCTCCTAAGCCCAGAGAAATTGTTTCTGCAAATGAGGAAAGCAGGCACAAAACCAAGATATCTGAGGTCTGCTCACAGCATCGTAATTTATTGGTTGTGTGATCTGAAGCTACAAGTTGTCTCTTTCTGGGCCTCAGTTTCTCCATCTGTAATCTCTGTGCAGCACTTTGGAAACCACACTGAGAAGGCCAGTTGAAGGAGGCTTCTGTTTCCTTCTTGCTTTAAGCTCCTGTGCCCACATACAATAGGAAACACCTTCACTGCTTCTCAGTTATCTTGAGGAAACTAAATTATTCTCTTTCCCCTTGGTGTCAAGATTCCTCAAAGGTAGAAGTCATCTGGGAGTCATTCCTGTCTCAGCCTGCCATTTGCAAACCATATCTCCTTGAGCAGCCAGCTAAAGATTAAGCCTCAGTTTCCTTCCTCAGGGACTCTTTTCTCTTAAGAAAGTTGTGAGAAAATGGATCAAACCAGAAAGTGCTTAGTTAAGCTAGGCATGGTGGCTCAGACCTAATCTCAGGGACTTGGGGGTTAAGGCAAGAGGATCACAAGTTTTGAGGCTGGTCTTGACAACTTAGTGAGACCCTCAAAATTTAAAAAAATATATTTTTAAGGGCTGGAGATGTAATTCAGTGGTAGACCACCGCTGTGTTCAATCCCCAGTACAACAACAAAAAAAGTGCTTTATTGAAATGTACATTAGTCAGACAATGGATTTATAGTTCCCCTTCTCCCTCATTCTCTGAGATCATATAGCTGTTAAAAATATTTAGGTTGTCTAGAAATAGTGACCTATTTCTAATACCAATAAGATAAGGAAGGCATATTGTCATCTATCGGAGCTGGCAACCTATGCTGGTTCACAAAATCTGACTACTTCAATACCTTAAGAAAACAGTGAAGAAAGCACGCAAGCACACAGAAGTACCTTTTCAAAATCCCGGGACAGCTCTGTGACCTTAGGGGTCTGTGGAAAGAGAGAGTCACTGGAATTCTTTATTCTTATATAGGGGACACACAAGGGGAGGTTCCATGGAACATTCTATCCATAAAAAGGCAAAGGGTAAGATTGCAAAGGAACAAGGAGACAGCCCACAGTTGGGCAACGCCCACTCCCAGAGCTGCACCTTCTGTCCCAGCAGAGGCAAGTGCACTTCCATTGCAGTAGGGGCAATACCAGTCCAGTACCTCTTTACTCGGGACTTAGAAGTCTGTGCGTAGCTCCTGTCCAAGGTGGCTCCGTACAAAGGCAGGTCTCAGCTTGTAATTTTTCACCCAAGGGATTGAAAGACCAAGTCACTGAGCACTCTTCCTCCTTCATTTCAGGCTCCCCTGTGGCCTTCTATACCAGCTTTTCAGAAGGTACAGCTGCCCTGCAGACGGTGAAGTTCAACACCATGTCCATCAATGTTGGCAGCAGCTACTTCCCTGAACACGGCTACTTCCGAGCCCCTGAGCGTGGCGTTTATCTGTTTGCAGTGAGCGTTGAATTTGGCCCAGGCCCCGGCACGGGGCAGCTGGTATTTGGAGGTCACCATCGGACCCCAGTCTCTATGACAGGGCAGAGTGGGGGAAGCACAGCCACAACCTTTGCTATGGTTGAGCTACAAAAGGATGAGAGGGTATGGTTTGAGTTAACTCAGGGATCAATAATCAAGAGAAGCCCACCAGGCACTGCATTTGGGGGCTTCCTGATGTTCAAGACCTGAAACCTGGGTACAGCTCTCATCAGACATCAGGGACCTGCCTGCTCTTCTTGGCCTGAGGCCCCACCTGGCAATGATCTGGAGACCATCCAGTTGGCCTAGCTCTTCTCTGGAAACCCTCTACAAAAGACCACTTGATATCTAGTTCTGTGGTTTCCTCTAGATGCACTGGGTCGGGGTATTCCTCAAAGAGGAGGAGAGAGAGACTGCTTCTCTCTGGGCAGGGCCTTGTCCTGGAAGTGTGAACCTCGGCTCCAACTGCCTTCCTGAGAAGTATGGTTTGGACTCTGGCTCTTGGCCATACCCTGCATTCAACAGACTTCTTTGGTATTTTGCTCTTCCTATTACTGGGAACTTTTATACACTTTAAACCTCTCTTCTGCTTCCTCTTCTCCCTAATTATATGCTAGAAAGTCATTTTTTTTTCCCAGAAGGAATGTCAAAAATGGAGGTGGTGGGATGGATATACCTTAGTGGTAGACTACTTGCCTCGAATGCATGAGGACCTGGGTACAGTCCTCAGAATTGCAAAACAAAACACAAACAAAAAAGCAGAGGTGACATTTAAGCAAAATTGGAACCCAGTCTTCAGCTGTTACAGGACAAGATAAAACCAACCCTTTTGGTCTCCATCAATTAGAAATGGAGCAAAGTCCTGTTGAGTTAATCAAGGGCAACAAAATCAGCATATTCGGCTTCAGTCATTCTTCGTCTTTATCTGTACCTATAATTTTAATTTCACATCCTTTTCTCCTAGACTTATTCAGGGTAAAGGCCAAAACATGCCAAATAGGAACTAAAATGTATGTAGCCTTCACTGTTTTTACTTCATCCAGTATACCATGACTGTACTACTTCTTAGCATCTCTAACCAGGAAGGGTGCTGAGGGAGGAAGAAGTGAAGGAATAAAATCTCCCTCGATGATGATCAACTTTTGAATAAAGTGATGCCCTTCAAATCTCTGCCTCATTTACTTTTTTTAATATTTATTTTTTAGTTGTACACAATACCTTTATTTTGTTTATTTTTATATGGTGCTGAGGATCGAACCCAGGGCCTTGAACGTGCTAGGCGAATGCTCTAGTGCTGAGCCACAACCCCAACCCCTGCCTCATTTACTTTTGGAGAGAGAAAACATTTGGCAAAGTACGTGGAGATATGGGACAACAATGAGACTGTGTGAGGTCAATGTGATTCTCATTATTCTAGGCCCAGTTTGATTTCAGCAATTTCAGTTAATTTTACATGAAATAGACAGTGGCTTCCATACTGGGTTATGACATTGATACCAGACAGTATAGCAAAGAAAAGCAATTATTCCTGCAATATAAACATGTAGTTTTCAAAAATTTTCAGATCCTAGAGGAAACAGCCTTGAGAAAGTAGTCATCAGTTGTCAGAAAATAGAGTGGAATTTTGGGGGGTAATATTCAATATTTGTTGAATATTTTTTAAACTTTTAAAAATATATCTTTATTTTGTTTATTTATTTTTTTTTGTGGTGCTGAGGATCGAACCCAGGGTCTCACACGTGAGAGGCAAGTGCTCTACCGCTGGGCCACAACCCCAGCCCCAATATTTGTTGAATATAGTCTTTACAAGAAAATCAGATTGGACTGGGTAATAAGTTGGTTGTGTTAACAAGGTTTCTAGTATGCCTTGTAATTTCCCTGGAGTCATTCATTCAAATTTCCCCTCAGAATTTATTTGCCAGAAAGCTTTATAAACTCAATTACTAAAATGTTAAAATTTTCCAGGCTACTCTGCCACTGATGGTTTGACTTTTGGTAAATCACAACTCTTCAAATCTTTGTCTTCATAGTTGAGGTGAGCAATCTAACAGCTCTCTCATTAAGTATTCTTGACCTTGACCACAGGTTGAATCTTGCTCACCTCCAATGAAGCTCTAAGTTGCCAAGGCCATTCCTGATCCTGGGTATAAGTAGTTGGGCCACGGCAGGTCCAAGACTATAGTTCCTGAAGGATGTCACTCCTGCTGCCAGCCAGACCAACCTGTCTTGGATCTTCCTGTTGCTATTGAGCAGGCTCTGCTGATAACTAAAACTGAAACATTAGGCAGTGTGGTCTTACTCTTTAAGACTTCCATTTGGATTTATTACACATAATAAGCAGAGTGAATTAATCTTGTCCATAAAGGGTGCCTGTCCTCCAACTTCAGAGGATAAGTGCTCTTCAACAGGAAGGTTGTAAATAAAAGCTAACCTGGCTAACTCTGCCAGCAGCATTGTATCAGACACTCCTGACATTTCTAGAATCATGGTTCTTTTAGCTAAGGTGCCTTCCATACAACAAAACATATGTGATTGCACATCATAAAACCTTAAGTACAAATTTTCTATTTACACAGTTCTATGATTAGAAACCTAGGTCAGCAAGAAACCTTAACTTCCTCTGAGAATTTCTTACCTCTGCTGAGGTAACTAACTCTGGGTAGAGACTTTCTCAGTGCCCTTCCAGGGAGACCCCTGTGACCCAGGCTAATGTTAAAAACTCCTTACTTGAGCCCCAGAACAACACAAGGGTCAAACACACAGTGGAACTTCCCCAAACCTGGAGCAGGGGAAGATCATAAAAATATTTTTTTAAATATTGCAAAGCAGGAAAGGGTACCATAAGCACATAAAGACATTTTAGTAAAAAAAAATTTTTTTAGGGGTGGGGTACTGGGAATTGAACTCAGGAGCACTCTACCACTGAGCCACATCCCCAGCTCTATTTTGTATTTTATTTAGAGACAGGGTCTCACTGAGTTGCTTAGTGCCTTACCTTTTTGAAGGCTGGCTTTGAACCCTCCATCTTCCTGTCTCACCCTCCTGAGCTGCTGGGATTATAGATGTGTACCACAGCGCCCAGCCATTGTAGTAATTTCCCAAAAAAAAAAGAAAAAAGAAAAGAAAAGAGAAAAACGTAGAAAGGATCAGACAGAAAATCTCAAACACTTGAGATTAATGGAGAGATGGGAATGATTTCAAACTCAAACACAGCCCCTATACTTGGGTTCATGGGGCAGAATAAGAACCCAGAACAGGACGACTGCTGACCCTCTGGAGGCAGGGAACTGCTGCCCCAAACAAGTGTGACCACATTGGAGTCAGGACCTGTAGGGGTCAATGCAGAATATGTCTCCCCACACCAACATGTCATGTTAAAATAACTTCTGTCCTTTACTTTTATTTCAGGAACACTGTAAGGAGGGTATAGTCTGTAAGAAGTATTTTTTTTAGGCTGGGGGTAAGGCTTAGTGCTACAGTACTTGCCTAATATGCACAAGGTCCCTGGGTTCTGTCTCTAGCACCACACACCTGCGTGCGCGCGCGCACACACACACACACACACACAAAAATTTTGTTATGGTTTAGATCTGGAATGTCCCCCAAAAGGAAGTGATGTGAAAACACGGCTTCGAAGGCAGCAAGGTTTTAGAAAATGATTATGTATTTAGAAAATGAGCTATAACTTCATTGGTGGATTAATCCATTTGCTGGATTAACAATGGACTACAGTGTGGTAGCTATAGGCAGGTAGAGCATGGCTGGAGGAAGTAGGTCACTGGGGCATGCCCTTGGTGATTGTACTTGTCCCTGGCTCCTTCCAGCTCTTTCTGCTTCCCAGTTGCCAAGAACTGAGCAGCATTTCTCCCCTATGCTCTTTGACAACAATGTTCTTCCTTCTCTCAGGCCCAGAGCAATGGAGCCAGTTGACCATAGACTGAACCTCTGAAACTGAATAAGAGAGGATAGGTAATGGACCCCAATTAAGTTTTTCCCCAAATGTAAAGACTGCTCCTTGAAAATAATCTGTAGATACATTCTAGCCATGCTTTTGTCCCAGAGCAGTGGAAAAACTGCAGTTGGGGTCTGGGTCGGCTCAGTGATAAAGCACTTGCCTAGCATGTGTGAGGCACTAAGTTCAATCCTCAGCACCACATAAAAAAATAAATAAATAAAATAAAGTTAAAAACAAAACAGAAGTTGGGGCAGACTTGAATGGAGGTTACAGGAAAGTTCAAACTCAAAGTCTGAAAGGGCACAGCCAATTAGGTCACAGGCCATACCAATATCTCTGGAACTTTTCCAAGACCTGATTATTATCTATGCAGATATTGATCAGTACCCCCACTCAATAGCTATATAAGCCCCTAGACTAGGACATTTAAACAGCAACCTGCTATCAGGTCTCCTCTCACTCTGCAAGAGTTCTCTCTTTTCTCCACACTTGAATAAATTTTACTCCTTTCACTCTTGCCTTCCATCATTGTCTGTGGATTTCACTCTTTGAATTTGTGAGACAAGTACCCAGAAAGAAATTGGCAGTGAGCCTCTGAGGCCCACTGCAACACTGGAGGTAAGAGTGTACCATTAAGAGCCATGACATCTCCATCATGTGGGATTAGGCCCCAACTTCCTTAGTAAGACTCCTGTGGCACAAGAATTAAAATCAAGAATCAATAGATGGGATGGACTCAAACTAAAAAGTTTCTTCTCAGCAAAAGAAACAATCTGTGAGGTGAATAGAGAGCCTACATCCTGGGAGCAAATCTTTACCCTTCACACATCAGTTAGAGCACTAATCTCTAGGGGATATAAAGAACTCAAAAAGCTAAACATCAAAATAACAACTCAATCAATAAATGGGCCAAGGACCTGAAGAGACACTTCTCAGAAGACAATATGCAATCAATCAACAAATACATGAAAAAATGTTCATCATCACTAGCAATTAGAGAAATGCAAACCAAAACCACTCTAAGATTTCATCTCACTCCAGTCAGAATGGCAGCTATTATGAAGACAAACAACAATAAGTGTTGGCGAGAATGTTGGGGAAAAAGGTACATTCATACACTGCTGGTGGGACTACAAATTGGTGCAGCCAATATGGAAAGTAGTATGGAGATTTCTTGGAAAATTGGGAATGGAACCACCATTTGACCTAGTTGTCCCTCTCCTCAGTTTATACCCAAAGGACTTAAACAGCATACTACAGGGACACAGCCACATCAATGTTTATAGCAGCACAATTCACAACAGCTAAACTGTGGAACCAACCTAGATGCCCTTCAACAGATGAATGGATTAAAAAGAATATGGCATATAAACACAATGGAATAAAATAGAATAAAAAGAATAAAATCATGGCATTTGCAGGTAAATGAATGAAGTTAGAGAAGATAATGCCAAGTGAAGTTAGCCAATCCCCAAAATCCAAATGCTGAATGTTTTCTTTGATATAAGGAGGCTGATTCATAGTGGGATAGGAAGAGGAAGCGTGGGAGGAATAGATGAACTCTAGATAGGGCAGAGGGGTTGGAGGGGAAGGGAGGGGGCATGGGGTAATTACTAATGTAATTACTAATTACATTAATTACTAATGGTGGAATGTGATGATCATTATTATCCAAAGTACAGGTATGAAGACACGAATTGAATATACTATGTATACAACCAGAGATATGAAAAATTGTGCTCTATATATGTAATAAGAATTTTAATTCTGCTGTATTATATAAATTAAAAAAGAAAAAATAGCCACAACATGCCACCTGATAGTAGTGAAAAAGAATCTGGCTTTGCTGTGACTCTTGGAGATGATGCCCAGGCATCCCTGCTGTGATTAGCTGCTAATACTAAAAATGGGCTTTCTCAGCTGCAGCGGCCTGCAACTTACACAGCTCCCACCCACCAGCAGAAGCAGAGAATCGAGTTTCATCTCAAACTCTCATTTCAAAACCGTAAGCTCAAAATAAACTTTTTCTCCTCTAAGTTGTTCTTGTCAGATATTTCATTTTGCAGAGATGAAAAGTTGACTAACAGGTTTTATAAGGTCTCCTTTCCTCTCACACTTTGAAGTTCTTCTCTACTCTTTATGTCAAAAACATAAAAATTTGATGGGAGTGGTGGCACACAGCTATAATACAAGAGACTTGGGAGGCTGAGGCAGAAGGATCACAAGTTCCAGGCCAGCTTCAGCAACTTGGCTGTCTTAAAAAACAAAAAGGGCTGAAGATGTAGCTCAATGGCAAAGCACCCCTGGGTTCCATTCCCAATATCAAACCACACACACACAAAAAAAAAACATTAAAAAAAAATCAAACAAAAAAACTCTGCCTCCAGTTCTAGCCTGAGCCTGGTTTCCATCCTTCTCCATTGGGAAAGATCAAAACGTGGCTTGACAATGACAGAACTCTCTGAGGTTGGAGGTAAATGAATAGAGTGGAGAATTGCCTTTTATTTTCATTCCAACAAAGAGTTATTGTCCCATCACCTCAACACACATACAAACACACACAGAAGTAAAACCAAAAAACCAGGAAACCAAGACACACAGAGGGGAGACAGAGATTCACTAGTACAAAGATGAGCAATTATCCCCAAATTGGCAAACATTTGTGGAAAACTAGTGTCATGAACAAGAAGATTCCAGATTCAACAAACTGAAGATTTGGGGATGTTTATATTTCTAGAAACAATTGAGGAAATTGATTTTATTTTATTTCCATAGTGCTGGTGTGGCAAGGGCCTCATGCACCCTAGGCAAGTACTCTATCACTGAATCACACCTCGGCCCCAGAAAATTGATAATTTAAACCTGGATTACAATTACTTGGAGCCTGGTTCTAAACACCATCCTGCATGGACAGAATGCTGGTGCCAGGAAAGTTATCAGAGGATTCTGAAAGCTCTCAATGTACCAAAAGTAAGATGTCTTCAAAAAATGATGGGCATATGTCAGTAGGACTCAGGAGCCACCTAGATGAAATGCTTGTAGCCAAGTGTGGATCCATTTAAACATCAAAATCAATAATAACTTAGTAGACCCATTAGAATGTCAATGAAATAATTTAGACCCATTAGAATGTCAATGAACTATGTAAACATAATAATGGCATTAGAAAATCACTACTTTGTAACCACTGATTCACGCAAAAATCATCAATGAATGCTAACAGTTTCAAAATCTTTCCAATAACATCCTCATTACAAAGGTAAAGTTTTCAATTTTACAGAAATAAAGTAGCACCTTAAACAAGTGTTTGGCGGCAGCAGCATCAGTAATGAGACCCCCTGATGCCATGGCCTCCTGATGGGATGCAGTGGCCTTGACTATCAAAACTATCAGTACTTGTTTCATACTGAAGAATAGGAGACCCAAAAGCTAAATGCAATGCATGATCTTGGAGCAGATTTTGCATAAGGTAAAATGTGCTCTCAACATTATCAGAACGACCAGCAAAACTTGAATAAGGTCTACATTTATGATATTATTGATTAGTGCTATGGAGTCAATGCTAACTTCCCTGGTTTTGCTAATTGTATATAATTGGTTAAGTAACAGAATATCCATGGGGTATTTAGGAATAAAGGGACGTGAACTCCTTGCCTTACTCCAAATAGTTCAGGGAAAAATGTGTATATGTATGTATGTGTACACAAACATTACCAGGTGAGCCTTGTGATTTCCTGGTACAGAATGACAAGGCAATTGTAGCAAAATGTTACTTAATGAATCTGGGTGAAGGACAAATGGCTTTCTTCATACAATCTTTGCTATTCTTCTGAAGTTTGAAATGTCTCAAAATAAAATTAGAAGCCTGGTGTGATGGCAAACAACTATAAACAACTGTTCTAGCTACTCTGCATGGTTTAGGCAGAAGGATAACAAACTTAAGGCCAACCTGGGCAACTCACTGAGACACTGTCTCAAAAACAAAAAGGATTGGGGATGGGGATGTGGCTCAGTGGTAGAATGTTTGCCTACCTATATGCGAGATCCTGGGCTCAATCCCTAGAACTGCTAATAATAAGTAAAATTAGGCTATTGAAATTAAAAAAAAAAAAAACTCAGCGGAAGGTAGGCTGGACTATACAAGAAACAAGCTAAGAAATGCAGAAGAAACAACTAGAAGACCTCATATTTATTTTATGGGAGTTCTAACTGGGCATGTTGGCACATACCTGTGGTTTTAGCTACTTGGGAGGCTGAGGTGAGATGATCACTCTAGCCCATGAGTTTAAGACCAGCCTGGGCAACATAGTGAGATCTGGTCTTAAAATAAATAATAAATAAAAAATATCTAGTGGAAGTTCTGGAAAGATGAAGGTAAAAAGAGAGAAGAAAGTAAACAAAGCAATAGCAGGAGAAAAGTTCTCTAGTTCAAGGGAAGATTAAAAGGACCCAATTAATTAAAACTAAGCAATAGAATGAATACATCTAGACATGGCAAGTTTAAACTTCAATACAAGAAAAAAAAATCCTGTCCCTTGATTGGAAAAACAAATTAACTACATAATGTGTCATGAGTTAGATACATGTCAGACTTCTCACTGGCACCAAAATGGGATACTGGGAGATCAGGGAGAAATCTCTTTAGTTAAATTCATCTCCAGTCTCATACTGGCCAAGTGTGAGGATAGAATCAAGGAATAAAAACTGCTTTTAAAATGTTCGACTGAACTAGTTCTCACAACAGTATTAGTCTTTTGTGTCTCACTTGACTTCTTTCTTCTAACAAGCTTTCCACAACTTGCATTTGAGCATTAGAGCAACAGACATGCTTCAGCGACCTGACTCATCATCCTGAGTCTGAATTGCTTTAAACACTGACTCCCCCAAACTCTCTCCAATCCCACAAAAAGACCCACATTCTTTCTTCTCCTGGCTTGAAGATACATTCAAACCAAATATTCTATGTGACTTTTAGATAATGGTAACACTTTGGGAGTTCAAGTCCCCACATGAAGTTTAGGATGAGTGAGGTGGATGTAGGGACACTTGGGAGCCCTGGAATCACCTTGGATTTCATGGTCTGAGAATGCATGGATGACTAAGAGTGAAAGGTACTGGACAATGACCAGAGAGCTGATAAAATTCAGAGGAATAGGTAGATCACACATACTTCATTTAAAAATGAAAATACAAATTCCTACCCCAAAGGACAATTCTAAACATTTCAGCTCCAGTCCCTACTTTTGTCCAAAATATATTTTGTATGTACCTTTGCACTTCAACTCGTTGGGTCTCTAATACCCAGCATCAGGGTTACTTGCCTTTTTCTGCTCTTACCCTGTGCTCACGATTGACATGCCATGACGTCAGGTGATCTCACCCACACTGCTGACTGGACACATTCCTTGGGCAGTGCCCACCCCATCAGGCTATATGGATGGCCTCAGAGCTAAAACAAGGCATTTTAGGAACACACACCTTAATTAGTAAAACACACCACACCAGAAATGTCAACGCACTACATTAGCAGGTATCCAAGTAGATGAAGACTCAAAAAGTGTCTGCTTGAAATTATCTACAAGGACTAAACACTGCTGTTTCCTAAGGTCTATGAATACTATTAAGGAAGACTTGGAAGTAATTTCTTCCAATTGAGCAATGAGTACCACAGCGTATACTGAGAAGAAAAGACAAATTTACTGTTTTCAGGTCAGTATCTCTATCAATGGAAAAAAAACTACCAAGTATCTAAAATTCCTGGGATAATGTCATTTTGGCATAGGGCATTAGAGTGTATGCTCATTTTAAGAAACAAACACTAAATAGGGACTTGTGTAAGGAATTTGTAATAAGCTATCTCCAAACATGCTTTTCTTTTGAGAGACATCAACCAATGCCAAATCTTTTTTTAACCACTGAGCTACAACCCCAACCCTTTTTATATTTTGAAATAAGGTCTTGCTAAGTTGCAGAGGCTGGCCTTGAGCTTAATTCTCCTGCCTCAGCCTACCGAAGAGCTGGGAGTAGCTGGGATTGGAGTTGGCTACCACACCTGGTTCAGTGCTCAATATTTTTTGGTTATTCCACAAGTTGAGTTCCCTAAGACAAGACACCAGAAGGCACACTGATGGGCAGAGTTCACACACAACAGAAAATATCCCTGGAAGTCAGCAAGCTTCAATGGAAGGTGGGAGAAGACAGAATCCAACATTTTTTTTTTCCTTTTGGTACAGGGAATTGAATGCAGGGATGTTTTGCCATTGAGCTATATTCCCCAACCCTTTTTATGTTTTATTTTGACATAGGGTCTAAGTTGCTGAGGCTGCCCTCGAACTTGCAATCCTCCTGACTCAGCCTCTCTACTCAATGGGACTGTAGGCATGTATCACCATGACCAGTCAGAATAAAAATTTTAAAAGGGCTGGAAGTGTAGCTCAGAGGGAGAGTGCCTGGCCCTGGGTTCAATCTCCAACACTATGCATATATGGCCACACCGAACAGGGGATTGACTAAAGAAATAAATTATTCCAACTAACTGGTGGAACATTATAGTCATTTCTTTTAAAAAATTACATTTAATGAATATTTAATGGGATATTATGAGCTTAATATTGTAGAAAAAACAAAAAGATTAAAACATTCAAATATAAGTAGTGGTAATGTCTGGCAATAAAAATTTGAGTAATTTTTATTTGCTTCTTTATTCTTTCCTACTTCCCCAAATTTCTGTTATGCATTCATATTTTTATAATTAGAAAACAATGTTTTGCTTTTTTATAAAAGGGGAAAAAAATCCCTTCACTAGAATAGGCTTGTAACATCTCTATACAAACACAGGAGTGTGCAGTCACTTATCTACCCAAATTTCATGTTGGGTTTTTAGAAGGTGAAATGGGCACCCCAGGAGCCTGTACGTACACTGTCTTATTTGTTATATAAACTAATCAGATGACTGATAAACAATACAATCCAAGAGCAATATCACAAAACACATCACTAAAGTATACTAAAATAAGGTTATTTACTTAAAAATGATACATAGGACATAATCTGAAAATAGAACAAAGCAATTAATGGTAAACTTAAGGCACCTTTTAAACCAGATGCTGTACAAAATACATTTAGTGTGTTACATATCAAACATGAATCTATGTTTTTGGTGTTTTACAATTGCATAATAAAACTGCTTTTTTTAAACCCTTTTTTCAATGCCTATGTACAGTTTCCTAATTAAGCTATAACGATATTTTCATTTTATACAACATATACTACATTTTAGTTTTTAAGTGGGAAAGGACAAATGTCACTAAAAGAGCTTAAATAATTCCATTGAAAGCGGAGTAGAGAGCACAAGCTTAAATTACAGTATACTTAATCCTTTGCAAAAGCCACATTCACGTATTGTCTTCATGGGATAATCCTTCCATGTGGATTCATAAGCTGCTGCTCTAGATTTAATTTGGTTCTTAGGAACATATTTCCTCTCTGCAGTTTCCATTGTGACTCTCCTAACAATACTGAGGCAAGATTTTGAACTGCTACACTGCCACTTTAACATCTGACCCAATCAATGATATTACCACTTTTAAACAGTACAAGGACTACAACAATTTCTTTTATAAATCAATATTTCTATTGAAATTATTTTAGAAGTTTAAAAACATTTCAAAACAATATGAAATGTTGAAATGAAATGTGTTTTAATTAATGTCAAATGTGATCTTGGGACAACTCAGAAATGCATGTGTCTTTAAAAACTGTATTATATTTTTGTTCTAAAGAGAAAAAAGCATCTGAAAAAAAGTATTGAATATTTGTGCATACATAAAAACATGGCACATTCTAGGAAAACATAAAAAGAAAAGTCACTTTCTAAATTTAGAAGCACTTCTGGACATTGGGAAGGCAACCTAACATGTTGATTAAGATTTCTTTTGTGAAAATAATTCCAGAGAAATCAGATTTAAACTTTATATTTCCAAAACTTGTTCAATAAGAAAGCACAGTAGGGCTGGGATGTAGCTCAGTAGTAGAGCACTTGCCTAGCACATAAAGGTCTTGGGTTTGGGGGCTAGGGTTGTGGCTCAGTGGCAGAGCACTTGCCTTGCACACGTGAGGCACTGGGTTGGATCCTCAGCACCACAAAAAAATAAACAAACAAAATAATGATTATCTTGCCTATGTATAACTAAAACAAAATTAAAAAAAAAAAAAAGGCCTTGGGTTTGATCTCCAGTGCTGCCAAAAAAGAAAAAAAAAAAAGTTTAGAATAAACAAACTGAAGTAATTGTTTTTTTGGTGGGGGGGCAGGCACTACATTGGGGATTTAACCCAGGGCCTCACACATATTAAACAAGTGCTCTACCACTAAGCCATACCCTCAATCCTGAAGGAATCTTAATATGCTTTTAATGCTATTGAATAGAAGCACAAAGAGAATTCATGAAAAGAATTTTCTTTGAGGGTTAACTTTTGCTTTTTATATTCTGGTAGTTTTGATTTTTGAAGTTTTTATGTTTTAATTATTTAAAGGAATAACTGTGTAAAGCCACATTTTTTTGAATGCTAAATTATAAGTGGGGCCAAATAATGGCTTCCAGCATTTTACAAATTATTAACTATGGTACTATATAATACTTCTTACTAGTCTTTAAATATTTCATTTACTGCATGAACTTCAAACTTAAAAGTAAAAGGGTGAAAGAAGAAAATAAGTTTCATGAAAGGTTTTTAGATTTTAGGATTGTAAATATGGCAGCATTTGCTTTTTGGAGGGGGGGGGAGGGGTTATGGGGGATTGAACTCAGGGGCACTCAACCACTAAGCCACATCCCCAGCCCAATTTTGTATTTTCTTTAGAGACAGGGTCTCACCGAATTGCTTACTGCCTTGCCCTTGTTGAGGCTGGCTTTCAACTCAAGATCTTCCTGTCTCAGCCTCCCAAACTGCTGGTATTACAGGTGTGCACCATCATGCCTGGCTAGCATTTGTTTTTTAACAAACATGTTATACTAGAAAATGTTTTATTGACCATGTTTCTAAGGTTAATTCTTGATACCACTTTTACTAGATCGAGTTTGTTTTAAAAAAATCTTTACAGTGGCTACATCCACTTTTTTTTTTTTTTTTTTGCAGGGGAGTGGGGGTGGGTACTGTGATTGAACTCAAGGGCCCTTAACCACTGAGCCACATCCTCAGCCCTTTCTATTTTGAGACATGGCCTCATTAAGTTGCTTACGGCCTCAATAAATTGCTGAGGCTGACTTTAAACTTGCAATCCTCCTGCCTCAGCCTCTGGAGTCACTGGGATTATAGTCATGCACCAACTGTGCCCAGCTACACACACCATTTAAAAAACATTTCTAAGAATAAAGTTTGTCTTTCTATACATATTCTCTTCATTATTAAGATGCTAAATAATTTTTAAGATTGACAGTTATCAAAGCAAAAATAAATCATGGTTAACTTGGACTACGTAAATTAAGTTTTTCTTACTTGTCTCCAATCACATGGTAATCCTGATTAAAATATCTGTATTTCTCAGTGTATGGATGGGAAACACATTCTGAAAAAGCAAGTTCTGGGGTAATATCAATATGCAAATTTATTTCTTAATGAACCTTCAAACTTTTTGTTAAATGAAACTTATCCATCTAACGTGTGTTAGACAATATATTAATTTTAGCTTCAGATGACAGTCAAGTTTTTGGTGATAGGTGGGCACATGCTCTGGTTTTCCCCCCTTTAAGCTTTTTTCTTCTTTCTAAAAATTTTTTAAAAGTTTGAACTTTTTCACTATGTTGTGACACAATCATTTTATTTCATGTTCCATTCAAAGTAATTTGTTTTACTTGATGCTCTCATGAGTTGGCTGTTTAGGAGATTAATATTTAAAAGATACTATAGAAACATAATGCGTTTAAGTAAATCAGTATTCCTCGAGATAACAAAGCCTCTATAAAATATCTATCATTTTACTGAATAACAGCTATACAGTGTAGATGAGGGTACTAAATACTCAGTTTTTGCCTTACCCTTCATTGTCTTCACAAATTTGGGACTATAAACTGTAAAACCAAATATATCAAATGATTAAATCTATGTCAAAAACATACTTAAGAATCATTGATAAACTTATGTTAGCTCTGACATAAATTCCTAATTATAGCATCCTTTTATAAAGGAAAACTCAGATGGGCATTATCTTAATGAAGTTTTGCTTGAAGTTAATGAAGTCCAGGATTTAATGTTACTCTGGATACATTAATTCTGAAAAAACTCAAATGAAGTTGTACTTTAGAACATTTTTTCCTTTAAGGATGTGAGGTACATGTGAGCTGGTTTCTGTAGTGTAAATGTATGTACATATATAAAATATGGTTGTAAAAGAGCAGGTGTTTTGCAAATAAAGCACATTACACACAAAATATAAATAACTTCCCTTTTAAAAGTTACTGAGAATAAAGAATACAGAACATGATTATAGGCACTTACATTGCTATCAAATGCAATAATTCACTTCAATAAGAAGTGTTTATAAGCATGGTTCATGGCATTAGAAGCTACAACTTTGGATAGAATGCTTCTCATGACAAAATAATTACCAAAAAAAAAAAAAAAAGATGGTGGTAGAAGGAAAATAGTCCAAATTTACAAACACTTTAAACTTCTTTTGGCTTTCATAGCAATTATATGGTAAAAGATATAGTTGGCGGGAAGCTACCTTAATTGCAAGGTAAATGGCTTTTATGAAATTGGCGAATCCTGGTCAGATATTGCATTTTTAAAGCACAAAAACACCAGCCACCAACATCTTCCTGTGCATTTATAAATTATTTTCTTCTAATTCAAATGGCAGCAGAGGAATACTGGTGTATGTGTGCACATGCACACACACACACACACCGTCATCCAGGAAAGCATGATGCACTATCATGAACTAAGCAGAATTCCAAAGAGATCACAATCTATAGGCTGTTTTACAAAGGTAGGATACAAACAAATTTAATTTTCTCAGGTAGAAGGCAAAAGTGTGTATTTCTCCATCTCTGCTGAACTCATTTAGCTTCTAAGGCTTTCACAGAAAGCACCATTTTATGAACAGGCAATTCAGTACCCAGAGTTTGACTGGAGACTTATTCATCAGGACTGAAGTTTTGATGCAGTTCATAAAAATCCAATAAAAAAAAGAAGGCATCAAAAACCACATTTAAAATAAAGCTGTCCACATGTGAAGAATGAAGTGTTTAGAAGTTTCCAGCTTGTCGTCTACAAGAGTACTGAAAGGTTTAATGTTAGCAGCCTGTGAAGGTGTAGTGAGGAAAGAGTCTGAGAACCAAGTCAACATCCTTATTCCATGCTAATTCCACCTGTTCTTGGGAGAACATAGTTCTTGCAGTCCAGAATTTGTCCTCAGGGTGGTTTAACTGTCAAATCTTTACATCTTGGGATTCCACCATCTTCGCAAGTGTCTTCTTGATTCTCAATGCTGTAAGTCTGGAGGCTGGATTGTGGGCCCAGCATTCTGACATCAGCTTCAAAACTGCTCGTAGACACTGAAAAGTAAATAGTACATAATGAGCAGAAATCATCTTTGGGAATATTCATCTAGAACTTCTTCAGGGGGTGAGCTCCACTTACTTCATCACTGTTCCATCGGTTAGACACAATTGGCCGCAAACGTTTGACACATACAACCTCACGCATATCTTCATAGGATGGGTCACTGGGTACCATGTTGTAATATGGCAATTGATACTCCTCTACTATCCCTGTTGGGAGAGAGAAAACATAGCAGCCATAAAATGGTGGCGAACAAAATACATCGATTTATGCAGCCTTTCTCACTGAGCTGTGACTAAAATGGATTCCTACATAAAGAAGAAAAGAAATATTGACTGGAGTGTTCACTTTTAGTAGCAAATGCATAATTTTCTCTTATTTATGTCCCATTATTTCCTCTACCTCAACCAGAAACCCCATCACAATTTTGACAGTCTATCAACAAAGGGTATACTAATATATTCCTTAGCGGAGTAAAAGAAAAAAAAAAAAAAATCATTCACTTACCCTGAAAACTTTTAATCTCAATCTAAGTATCTTCTACTTACCCAACTATTCCTTATAATAATGAATGCAGTTGTTGTTGTTATTATTATTATTATTATTTTGCAGGAGAAAGACTCACCATGATGCACAAAGAGTGTAAAGCAACAAGTCTGAGACTGTTCTTCTTAGAAAGGCCCAAATACAAGGTTGGCCCTTGGCTCGTGTCTAGGAACCTGAATGAAAAACAGTTCCCTACAAAGATGGAAACATCCCTAAACTGACATGTGTCTCCCTGTTCCCATATGGTTTGTATAAATAATTTGGTGTGTGCTGAACACCTGTGTTCAGAATTCTGGAGTCTGGAATTGGTACCTGCCAAGTAAAAGATCCTCATATGACTAGAATCCAATACAATCTATTGGTGTTGAGTGTCTAATGAACTTCTCTAGATTATATTGCTTCAAACACATCACAATTTGCTCTCCATTAGGACAGGACTTTTGGAAGTTTTGCCTATTTCTCTCAGAATTTTGCCTGAAGCACATTCTCATTTTGCTGATTTTGATTCGTATCCTTTCAGTATAATAAATCTGAGCAATGAGGACAACTACATGCTTAGTTCTGTGGGTCCTTCCACAGGAAATGTGAGTGGTCCTGGGAACTCCTGACATACGTATGAAGTTACCATTACATAACTGGAACTTTTAATTGAAAAAAAAAATCAAAGAATCAGAAACACATTACTCAAACTCTTACCTCCTGTGATACAACGACGAGCCATTTCCCAAATGATCAGGCCAAAGCTATAGATGTCAGCCATTATATAGGGCTGGAAATGATTTTTATTCAGGCTTTCATCTAGCACTTCTGGAGCCATATAACGTTTGGTTCCCACTCTGGTATTCAAGGGTACATCAACTTCATTTGTATCACTGCAACAGGAGAAAGACAACATCTAGGTTGAGAGCCAAGAACAAAATTGTTTATCTTATGTTTTAGTTATATTTTATAAGGGTTCTCTTTCTAAAATAAATATACACGTGTACATATATGTGTACATATATATATATATATACACATATTGTGTACATATTGTGTGTGTACTCATTTCCTTATCAGAAATCCTTGGGGCTAGAAATGAAATTTAGCATCTTCAGAATTTAGAAAATATGCCCTTTAAATACGTTATATATTATAGTAGGGTGTGCACTGCTCCTTAACATCATTACTAAATCTGCAGTGAAACACTAGTCTGACTACTCTCACTAAACTGAATGAAGGCCCAAAATAACCTTATATCAGGTTCAAGTCAGGTTTTGTCACCAAAACAGTTTGGTGCCTCTCTAAGAAAAAGAATAACACTTAATATAAGAAAAAGTAAGCCAGGCTTGGTAGCTCATGCCTATAATCCTAGCAGCTTGAGAGGCTGAGACAGGAGGATTGAAAGATCAAATCCAGCCTCAGCAATGACAAGGTGCTAAGCAACTCAATGAGACCCTGACTCTAAATAAAATACAAATTGGGTTGGGGATGTGGCTCAATGGTTGAGTGCTTCCAAGTTCAATCCCTAGTACCAGCCCCCAACCCCGGAAAAAAAAAGTGGTAGATAATTATATTTACAAAGAAGTGAATATGAGAATGAATCATCTGCTTTTGCCACTCTCACATGATAAATTCAGCATTCAAGACACAGGATTACATTGTTTCGGTGAAATTAGTTGTTATGAGTAATGTCTACATAAACATATTAACAATCAGTAATAAATGATTTATTAGTTTTTAATTGAGATTTTTAAAAAATATATTTTTTTAGTTATTAATGGACCTTTATTTTATTTATTTATATGTGGTTCTGAGAATTAAACCCAGTGCCTCATACATGCTAGGCAGACGCTTTACTACTGAGCTACAACCCCAGCCCAAGATTAAATTTTAAAGTTGAAGACATCACTGCTTTATTGTTTATGCCCTTAGGTCTAGCAGGTTCTAGCAATTATTCTCAAGCAGAAATAAATATGACACGTTGTATTTTCTCATGTAGAATTGAAGAAATATTTAAGCCAACAAACACTACATCAATTTAGAATACTACAACGTCCAGGGAAGAAGATCTAGGTGGTTCTTACAGTTGTTTCATAAACTAAAACTTTGGGCTGTGGCTGTGGCTGTGGCTGAGCGGTAGCGCACTTGCCTGGCATGTGTGAGGCACTGGGTTTGATTCTCAGCACCACGTGAAATAAATAAAGGACTATCAACAACTAAAAAAAAAAAAAATTTTTTTTAAATTTAAAAAATAATAAAAAAATAAACTAGAACTTTCATTTATGGACTGATATGAATTGTGAAATGTAAAACAACTGCTGTATTCTGGAGTTATAACATTAAAATGGCTTCAATGATTTTCTAAAAATTTTACAATTCTATATTATTAAAAACTGAGATATCAAGCGATAATGGAGAACCAGCATGCTTATCTTTCCCCACTTACAGAAAGATATAAACTGAGGCATGATTTCTGAAGGGATAATATGCAATATATCATAATTTTATATATATATATATATACACACACACACACACATACATAAACTGTCTCTTTTTAAAAAAACTATTTGTTCAAACTCTTTGTCTCAATAGTCCTTCTCTAGGAGTCCATCATGAAGAAACACCTGTAGAAGTACTCAAGAATACAGTATCTATATGAATAAAATACAATAACGTTCATTAAGACTTAAAAAATAAATAAATAAATAAATGGGAGGCAATCTTAATGTCCCTTAGTTGGAGCACAGAAAAATGCACAACCATATTACTGAACACTATGAATTTATCAAAAAGAATGAGGTAAATATAAATAAACTGAAACAGAAAGATGTCTATTATAATAAAAAGCAGGAAATCAAGAATTATGTATAATTTTTACAAATAGATTAACCAAAATTTTAAACTATATATTTATAGACCTAATTAATGAATATTTACACATTTTTAGAATTCCACTGCATTGAATACAAACAAGCAGGTATCTTTTAGAAATTAAAATAATTTCAAAACAGTGGAGCAAAGAACCATCTACCTGTTGAATTTAACAGCAAGGCCCAGGTCAGCAATGCAGCAACTTCCATTTTTCTTGATGAGGATATTTTTGCTCTTTAGGTCTCGATGAGCAATTGCAGGCTTTCCTTGGGTACCATAAATTTCTGTGTGGAGGTGGCACAGACCACAGGCAGCTGAATAAGCCAACTTGAGCAGGGCTCTGGTGTCTAGTGTAGCACATTTCAGGAAGTCATAGAGAGATCCATTTTCATGATAATCAGTAATCAAATAGAGTTGAGTCCAGGAACCTGTGCCTTTAATATCTGCTGCTATAAAACCTGTCCAATTAATGATTTTAAAAATGTAGTTATAATTAGAGAAGGCTGGGAGGAATCACGAATACTCATTCAGGATACTGAGAATAACTTACATTATCATGTATGGATAGTAATATTAATTTGACTTGCCTGCCAAAATTCTTGAATGTATTACCAAAAATTTTATTTCTGTCACTTATACATATAACTAGACTTCTGCAATAAATTTACAATAATCCTAACAATAATCATGAAAGTAATAGTAATATGACTAGGGAAAAAACATGATTCTCTAGTGGAAAAGGCTTTCAATTTCAAATTCAAAAGTAGACACTTTAATAAAGTGCATAATGTTTAACCAAGAGTTAGCTCCTAACTAAATCAGCTCACTCAACTAGCCCATCAATGCCTCATCTGCTTTTTCAGTCTGGCTCATTGACTACTGATCCACAGTACTGTCAACTTTACCTTGTCCTTTCTCTTCGTCTCTCCCTTAAGGTTGGTGAGTACTCTTCTGAGTTGAATAATGTTGCCCCCAAATTCACCTAGAATCTATAAACGTGACCTATTTGGAAATAGCATCTTTGTAGATGGGGCAACAAGATTAGGGTGGGCTCTAATTCACTGACTGGTATGCTATAAAATGGAAATGCAGATACTGGCATACAGGGAAGAAGACCACATCATGAGAGAAGTAGAGATTGAAGCATTGTTTATAAGGCAAGGAATAGCACAGATTGCTGGCAACCACCTACAGCCAGGAAGGAGCAAGAGAGATCCCATAGAGCCTTCAGAGGGAGAATGACCATGGCAACAACTGATTTTAAACTTCTAGCCTCTGAAGCTCTGAGAAAACAAAATTCTGTTGTTTTACATCACCCAATTCATGACAATTTGTTATAGCAGCAACAGGAAAAAAATATAAGTGCTTGTTATATGCCTGACAATGTGCTATATTCACTCTCGAGGGATAGAGAAAAAAGAAATCTCAGGAAATCTAGATATAGCTAAGCACTCTACTAATTAGATCATACCTAGATTATTTTGCTACTGCATACATGAGGTAGGAAGGGGAATAGTACTAAGCACAGAACATAAAATGAAGCTTCACATTAGGTTATTGGGCTTATAAAAAGTAAAAGGAAGAAAGAGTTAAAGTTACCCTAGAAAACTGCTTAAGTTGCTTATAAAAGACTTGGTTTTCATTTGAATAAGTCCAATAAACTAGAATTACTGTCCACCTGAAACTCATTGCTATTTATTCAGCTGGGAAGCAAATACAGTGCATGGTTGGGACTGTTGTATTTAAACTGTGTACTCTACTGGGCTTCCTTTAGCCAAATGCACATAACACACGGCAGGTTTCTACCTGTATCCCATACCCTTGTCAGATGTGGAACAGACTAAAATCAAATCATACTCACCAAGTATATTTTCATGGCGCATTAGCACAGTTTGGTAGATTTCCGTTTCTCGAAACCAGCTAGCTTCTTCAGTGGTAAAAAACACTTTGACTGCCACTTTTTCACCACGCCATTTACCCATCCACACTTCTCCATACCGGCCTTTACCAACTTGCCGAACCATCTGAATCTGTTTGGCAATAGTTCTCTGAACCTTCACAGAAAAAAGTAAAAAGGTTTCGCGTTCTTAAAAATAACCCATTTAAACTGACAAAGGGATAAGATACTCCATCAAAAAGCCAGGTATATCCAACCAACCAATTCCAATGTTAAAACTTATACTGTACTTAAAAGAAGAAACACTGTACAATGTATTCTGAAATCATTAACAAATTAGTCAATGGGGTAACTGTGCCCAGAAATGGTCACCCTTCAGTAGTCACTTTCCTTAAGGACTCAGGCTTTGGCTACATGACTTGCTTTGGGCAACAGAATAGCAAATGTGCTATAAGAAAAGGCTTGATAAATGTTTACATATAGCAGCTTGTCCTTTCTAGGTGTTTTTGGAAGCCCTCTTTACAACAGATAGCATCATGTGAACTGCCAGTCCTATGCATAAGCTATACAACCCAGCTTCAGCTGATCAAGTCTAGAAAATAAATGGCCCAGCAGAACCACAGAATCTTGAGAAATAATAAAGCTTTTTTGTGTGTTTGTTTTTCTGTGGTGCTGGGGATTGAACCCAGGGCCTTGTGCATATGAGACAAGCACCCTACCAACTCAGCTACATCCCTAGCCCATATTTGTGGTTTTAAGCCACTAAGTTTTGTGGTCATTTATTATGTAGCAAATTGAATAAATCTCTTCACCTTGGTCTCTAAGGTGCAATACAGTCTGGCCCAGCCCCAGCATTCACTATGAACACTTAACATGCACTCTTTTTACTTGTTTATTTCAACTTTTAGAATTCACTCGTTTATTCTCATCTCAAGCTCTTGCTGTATATCCAATTCCCTTAGAGTGCTGTTTGTCTAGCTTTAACAACTTTATAGTACATGGATACTTCTCAATTACTGTGCTTATCACTATTACAATCTTATTCACATACATCTTTGCTTGAATTACACTCCCTGCTCACAGAATATAGGTATTTATTTGGGATAATATCTGAAGTACAATAAATACTTTACCTTTCATTTTCAGAAGCATTAGTGATTATTTTAAATTTAAAAGGACGCTATGTTCCAGGTTAGAAGTGCATCTAAAATGAACTAGGACTAAAGTTTGCATAAATCTAATCTGGCTTACTTTATGCATCATTTATTACAGAATCCTTTTGTAATATTTTTTAAAAGTTAGGAATATTGAGGTATAATTTATATCCAATAAAATTAATCTTTTTTGAGAACAGTACAATAAGTTTTGAAAAATGCATGCAGTCATGCAATCACCAATATCACATTCAAGATAAAGAACATTTCCATTGCCTACAAAATTTCCCACTTAAGTTTAATCCCCTCCCCTAGTCTTTGACACCAGGTTTGTTTTCTGTCCCTACAGTTTTACTTTTTCTAGAATACCATGTAAACAGAAACATACAATATGTAGCCTTTTGTGTCTGGCTTTTTTTTTTTTAATATTTTTTAAGTTGTATATGGACACAATTCCTTTACTTATTTTTATGTAGTGCTGAGAATAGAACCCAGTGCCTCACATGTACTAGGTAAGTGCTTTACCACTGAACTACAACTCCAGCCCCTGGCTTCTTTCATTTAGCATATAATCCTTTTGAAACTGATCCATGTTGTTTGTGTATTAGGAGTTTAATGGGTAATATTCCGTTGTATTAGGAGTTTTATGTGTATTAGGAGTTTTAAAAAATGCATGCAGTCATGCAATCAAACTCCTAATGTGTATTAAGAGTTTGATGAGTAATATTCTGTTGTATAAATGTTCCACAATTTGTTTATCCATTTACCAACTGATGCACTTCTGGGCTGTTCCTAATTTATGTCTGTTATGAATATAGCTGCTATGACAAAATTAACATTCAAGTCTTTGTAGATATGTTTTTATATTTATTTCTTAGGTAAAACAGCAGAAGAACTGCTTCAATATCAAGAAATTATATGCTTAACTTTCCGGTCAACCGGCAAACTGGTTTTCAAACTGGCTATACCATTTTTCATTCCAATTCATGATGTATGAAATTTGTAGCTGATCTATATATCTTTGTTGGTACTTAATAATGTCAGTCTTAGTCATTAAGGTGAATGTAGTAGCACTTCATTGTTTAATCTGCACATCCCTAATGTTACAGAGCACCTTTTCATGTACTTATCTGCTATTCTTTTATCTTATTTGAAGCAGTACCAGTTCAAATCTTTTGTTCATTTAAAAAAATCGGGCTGGGCAAGATGGTACAGTGGTAATCCCAGCCCTTGGAGGCTCAGGAAGAGGACTGCAAGTTTGAGGTTAAGTCTGGGCAACTTAGTCAAACCTTGTCTCTAAATAAAAGATGAAAAGGGCTGAGGATGGGCTGGGGTTGTAGCTCAGTGGTAGAACACTTACGCTTGCCAGGCACGTGTGAGGCACTGGGTCTAATGCTCAGTATCACATAAAAATAAATAAGAATAAAGGTATTTTATCTATCTACAACTAAAATAAATAAATAAATAAAAGTAAAAATTAAAAAAAATTAAAATTAAAAAAGATTAAAGTGAAGGTGGGGGCTGGGGATGTGACTCAAGTGGTAGCACGCTCGCCTGGCATGCGTGCGGCCCAGGTTCGATCCTCAGCACCACATACAAACAAAGATGTGTCTGCCGAGAACTAAAAAATAAATATTAAAATAAAAAAATAAAAATAAAGTGAAGGTGGGCTAAGGATGTAGTTCCATAGCAGAGTGTCCATGAGCTGTATCTCCAGCACTTTTGATACTATTTTAAATATTAATTTTAAATTTTAATTTCCAGTTGTTTGTTGCTAGTGTGTATATAAAGTCATAATATTTATAGAATGACTATATTCTGCAACTTGATAAACTCACTTATTGGTTATAGTAGCTTTACTGTCCCATGTTTTGGGATCTTCTACATAAACAATCAAGACTGCATATGAAGATTTACAGATTTCATTAGCCAAATTTTTAAACAGGATATCAATGTATTTACTTTCAACAAATGCAATTAACCAATTAAAAACTAATCTGGATATTTAGTGTTTTATAAGGGTGCTCTCCCATTCTCTTTCGTCTACCCTACTAGATTTCCTTTTGCTCATCCATTAATTTATATTTGATTGGTTCTTTTTATTTACCCATAAAGGTGAAGTTCCCTGTCGTCTATTTATACATGCACAACACATGATTTTTTTAAAAGAATTCATTCTACATTGCCTCCCCTTAACCATCCCTCCACTCTGTCCAGCCCTTTTATTTTTTGGCTTCAAACTTGTGACCTTCCTGCCTCAATGTCCTGAGTTGCTGGGATTATAGGCACACACCACCATACCTAGTACTTACTATGAAACTTTAACCTACCAATAATGGTAATCCAGATCCACTACCAGAACTCTGTGACTGATCAATAAGGTCTTTTAATGATTCTCCCACTGGAATAAATGCTTCATCCTGTTCCAAATCGCGATTGTAACGACGTCTGCTTGAGATACCCTTGCAATAATGTCTTTTAAAAGAGAAGAAAAGTATATATTAAAATTCTATAACTATATAATTCTGAGCTAAGAAAAATCTCAATATTTTTCACACTGCCATCATTCCTTCAGACAGAATCATATTCAATCAATATTATCACATAAAAATAAATCCTCTGTTACAATATACCTAGAGAAGGGGTTTAAGATGTGTAATGTTGTGTGTTGGTTAAAATGGAGAGATGTTCACATTATACAGACAAGAGAAAAATAAATAAAAGATCAAAAAAGCAGATAAAGTGTCATTCCACCTGCCAAAAAGTTTTAAATATATGCTTTTAATGTTTTTTATTTTGAGATAGGATCTCAATAAGTTGCTGAGATTATAAAACTGGACCACCACACCTAGCTTAAATCATTCTGAAAATGTATACAGCTTTCTCTCAGTCTGTGACAGCCAAGGCATTCCATTTACGGTGTTTTTATGTTAGTTTTAAATTTTAATGTAGTCAAATTAACCAACCAACCTTCTCTTGAGATATGATTTTGTGTCTTAAAATAACCTCCCCCTGCAAAAAAAAACAAAAAAACAAAAAAGCTTTCCCAGCCCTAATGTCATAAATCATCTCCCAAGGTTTTAAAATTCTGATTTTCTCATCAGGTTATTTTATCCACTTGGAATTTATAATATGTAATGGAAATTAGGCACAAATCAAGTTAGATTTATATTCTGTGTGGACAGTCCAATTTATTTAACAATTTTTATTATTTTTAAATACTATATGGGTAATCAACTCAAACGGATTAAAATTCAAAAGGCATTACAAAGATGTACAGTGAAAAATCTTCCCTCCCACTCCTATCCCTTAGTCATCAAATTTACTTTCCTGAAAGCAAACTATTTCTAGTTTCCAGTGTAACCTAAAGACCACTTATGCATATTCAAATCAAAATTTATATTTTAATGTTCATTTCCTCTGCTTTTCTTTTACTTCCAGAAGTGGCAATATACAATACACACTGTTTTGCATCTTGCCTTTTCACTTGGCAACGTATCTAGGATATCATTCCACATTAGTACATAAACAGCCTCCTGGTTTCTTGAATGCCTAGATATTATTCCACTATATGGCATTAACCACTCCCTTACTGATAACACTTAGATTGTTTCTAGTCTCGTTATATATAAGTGTGAAATGAAACAATTTTCTGGTATATCTATATGTGCAGTACAACTTCAGAGAAGTTAACACTGAATTTGTAATTCTAATGGAAAGTACTACTGGCCTTCTTAAAGGTCACAGTTTTAATCCCTTTATCATCATATGAAGGCCTGTTTTCCCTATTCTTTTATCCATAACCTTTTTGAAGTTAGTTTTAAACTTTATCAAATTTTGTATTTCTAGAACTTGCAATGCTTAATTTTATCGAAGTATTATGTTCACTGATTTTAGAATGTTTTATAGTCCTTTTCTTTCTTCCCCTGATACTGATGATTGAACCCAGGGGTGCTCTACCACTGAGCTACATTCCCAGCCCTTTTTATTTTTTTAATTTTGAGACAGGGTCCTGCTAAGTGACCCAGGTTGTCCTCAAACTTGTAATCCTCCTGCCTCAGCCTCCTGAACCATGGGATTACAGGCATGTGCCTCCATGCCCTGTTTGATGTCATATAGTTTTTTGCGGCTTAGAAATAAAATGGCACTTCCCTATCTCCTTTCCTCCTCTTACCCACTTCAGAACCACATATTTTAACTTCTTGAAGCCTATTTGTTTAATATTTGCCTCATCATTTCTAAATGACATGCCTATATTGGTATTTTTAGTTCTCATTTTAGGTATTAACTATTGACCTCACATAGTGGGGTGAATATTTAACTCATTATGAACATTTAACTCATCGTTTACATCCCCATAAGCAGAAACACTTGCCATCCTCACACTCCCCCAACACAATTATAACATTATTTATTCAGATCAATATTCCAGTTTACATTAGGACTAAATTATATACTATTCACATACAGGTCTTGTTGTATACCCAAACCCCTACATTAAGCACAATGAAAACTATAGTGCATTACTAAGGAAATGTGAAACCTGTGATGCATTGCAGGAACTCACCCAAGCACTAAAGAAAACACAAAACCCCACCCTGCCTACTAACAGTCTAAGAGAAGAGGTATGTCTATTCTCAAGTGTGTGTGTATGTGAATTTTTTTTTTTTTTTTTTTTTTTAAAGACAGGATCTCACTATACTGCCCAGGCTTGTCTCAAACTCATGAGCTTAGGGATCCTCCTGCCTCAGTCTCCTGAGTAGCTGAAACTTTTTTTTCTTTCTTTGGTACCAGGGATTGAACTAAGGGGCACTTAACCATTGAGCCACATCCCTAGCCTTATTTTGTATTTTATTTAGAGACAGGTTCTCACTGAGTTGCCTAGTGCCATGCCATTGCTGAGGCTGGCTTTGAACTTGCGATCCTCCTGTCTCAGCCTCCTGAACCACTGGGATTGCAGGTCTGTGCCACCTGCCCAGCCTGAGTATCTGAAACTCACAGAGGTGTGACACCATACCTGGCATGTGTAATTTTATTTCAGTCTGTTCTAAATGTGATAAACCAACTTTCATTCAAAGTTAAAAATGCAAGGAAGAGTATCTCTCAGTCAAGAGGGGAGGCAGTCAGTACAACTAAATGACTCACATGATGGAACTATTAAGACAGGGACTTTAAAGTAACTGTGATTAAAATAATGAAATGCCTGTTAAAGGTAAGAAACATGAATAAAAAGACAAAGAATTTCAGCAGAGAAATGGGTTCAAATAAAAATATAAACATGTTTATCAGAGTATGATATGCAACAATGAATCTCACTATTATGTATAATTATAATGCACCCAATAAAAATTTTAAAAAAGCAAAGCATAGTATCAGAGATGAAGCATTCCTTTGATGGTTTCATTAGTAGACTGGAAACAGTTGAGGCGGGGGGGGGGGGGTATCAGTAAACTTGAAAATAGGTAAATAGAAATTACTTCAAGTAAAATACAAAGAGAAAAAACTAACGACAATTGAAAAATGAAAGGGTTGTGAGGCAACATCAAATAATCTAAAACATGTATAACTGCAATTTCAAAAGAAGAGACAGACATCAAACCATAAATTCAAAAAAAGCTTCATGATACTTAAAGCATATTAAATAAACTCTCAAAATTACCACACAAACCTAAACATATTCTGTTCAAATTGTACAAAACCAAAGATAAAATCTTAAAGGAGGCCATGAAAAAAATGTACATACAATAGATCAAAGGTAAGAATTTTGTCATAAATTATGCAATGACAATGAAGTGACACCTCTGAGAGGAAGAAACAAAAAGCCAACCCAAAATTCTCCACCCAACAAAAGGCGAGAGAATTGATGACTAGCACACCTGTACTGTAAGAAGTTAAAGGAAGCTTCCAGGCAAGAATAAATGGATATCAGGTGACAACCATGGCACTCAGGCATGGCAGAAGTGGCACTGGGTAGCTCCTCTAGAACACTCTGGCGACCTTGCTTCCAAGGGCTGCTCACCTAAGCCAACAACATCCTCAGAAACCTTAATCATGAAAAATGTAGATCTATCCGGATTGGAAACACAGACTCTTTTCTGTCAGAGGAAACGTTGAGTGTTTACTTGAAATGAACTTTGAAGAGGACTCTGAAGAGATGGGAAGAAAGGAGCAAGATAAGAGAAGCATCTCTATCTCACTAGCACCCTCTCTCAGGTATAGAATGAGACCTAGATCCAGATACCTGTCCTACTGTTTTCAACTCAAAACTCTACCAAATTTCTTTTTGGTAGTAGAGCTCCGTTTCAGCTCCATTAGTTTCTCCCATAACCTATCTGCCTGCCTTTCTCAGTGTTGCTCTACAATAGTGTGTGATCGATGTCTCCACATCTGGAAGCCAGGTATCTGATTTCTCTTTCCAGGCTTCATCATAGATGTGAAATGGTTCCTTTTTTTTTTTTTTTTTTTATTTTACTAATTTATTTTTTGTTTGATATAAAAATTTGTATCAAATTTTTTTTGTATCACATTTTAAAGTGCTATGTGACGTCTTGATTGTTGAATAAACTGCGAAATGATCAAATCAGGGTAATTAGCATATCCATCACCTTAACCTCTCATTTCTGTATGGTGAGTACATTAAAATCCTTTTCTAATTACTCTGATATATTACAATGCATTTTTATCAATTATATTCACCCTACTGTGCTAAAGAACACTATAATTTATCCCTCTTACTGTAACATTATGCCACAGCTAGCCATCTTCTCCCTAAACCCCTTCCCTTCTTCTCCCCAGTCTCTGGTAACCACTCTTGTGTACTTCCTTGTGCAAGCTTGTGGTTTTTGGTCTCTGTTAAGTCTAAGATAGGGTCAATTATAGCAAAATGATAAAGATCATGCAGTTTGAGGCAGGCATGGCAACATACTTCTGTAATCCTAGCAACTTGGGAGGATGTGGCAGGAGGACTGCTAGTTCAAGGCTAACCTGGGCAACTTAATGAGATCTTGTATCAAAATTTAAAATAAAAGGGGTTGGAGGAGATCATGCAGTTTGAATCCCTGCTCTGCTAATTATTCAGTAGTATCAAGTAGGTTATTTAACATCTCTGAATCTTTATATTTTCACAAAAAAATGTGAAGATGAACCTAACAGGGAAGTTTCTGGGTGACTGTGAGAATTACTGGAGATAATATATGTAAAATGCTTAGCACAGTACCTAGAATACATTAGCATAATAAATGGGGTAGTAGTTTTTTTTTTTTTTTAAACAACAACTATTGTGGGTAATACAATACCAACAATATTGCTGGCCTCTTCTAGTTTTTTAAAAAAGATTCATCTGAAATTGATTTTCATGTTATTTCTGAGTGATGTTTTTGTCAATTGATTTTTGTAGGCCTGCCATCACCAGGGAAGTAAAGCCATTCTCAGTTGTAGAATTTATTTTAAATGCTCATGATCTACAAATGTTTCTATACTACCTGTTGTGAAACCCTGTATCTCTTTTGCAGTTGGCAGAATTACTGTTTTACCACTGTTACTTCTTAACACTGTTGAAATTTGATTGAATATGTTCTCATTTCACTGTTTTTTTGTTTTATATTTTGTATCACATATTTGGCATAATTTTTATTTTATCTTAAAACATTCTGATCATATTATAAATATTCATTCAATGAATTTAAGTAAAAAAGTAATAGGATATCAGATGAAAACTTGAATTTAAAATTTAGAGTTAAATAAATTAAAAGTGCTGGAAATTATAAAAAATAAACATGGATGACAATTTTTCTTATTTTTAATCACTTTAAAGCTGATCAACAGCATCTTCATTAGGCATACAATTAGTGTTTATATTCTTATTAAATGAAATATTACTTGGCAATTTTTTTTTTTGCTACTGTTACTATAGTTTCAAAATTGCTTATTTTTATTATTGAACTACTATGGGACCAGGAGTCCTCTAATAGGAGTGAAGATGAATGACCCATTATCAAGCTACCAGTAGGCTTTATATCTCATAAATTAATCAGTGATACTGTTTCCCAAGCAGCATTCTGGGCCAAAGGATGGCTGGTAAACACCAACAAAAGTTACTGAGTACTGTGTGGCAAGCATGGGGGGATATGCTGATTCACCATTTTCATCCATAATAATTCAACGGAGAAGCAACAATATAAACAGCTTAGTTGGCCATTAATATTAATGGACAGGTAATCTCTGTTGTCCTTGAGATTCCTATTCAATAGGAAAGGCAGACTTTAGCCAGATATTTATGATAAGTAAGTGAATATTTGTGAATGTAAAAAGATTTAAGGTGAAAGTACTAAGTGTAAGGGGTAGAATCATAGATCTAACCAGTGTTAAGGATTAAAGGAGCTACAAAAGCGAATGAGAAATTCTATGCCAGAGGAAAATATAAGGAACTGGCAAAACAGTACAAAATGATAATTAATCCGGAATGGAGAATGGTGATAGTTTAAGAGGTTTTAGAGAAGACTGATTTTGAGGGTCTTGTTATGAATATAAATATAAGAATAAATTTGGAGATTTATCTAGATTAACTGAAACAGGTCACCAGAAAACAGTGAAAACAAAAGGTTAATGAGACACATAATAAAGATGAACCTTAATATGCTAAAAGACCTCTTTTTAATTTTATCCTTTTATGGCTTGCTATGAACAGCAAACTGACTTGTTCAAGTCCAGCTAAACATGAATAAATATCCCAAATTACTAATCTTATACAACTGATAAGTAATGTATCTTCAAGTAGATAAAAATAAAACATGAAGTTCAAAAGCTAAATAAACAAAGCAGTCATGGAGTTCTCTGTAATATTTTGCTTAAAATTGTGAAGGAAGGGCTGGGGATATAGCTCAGTTGGTAGAGTACTTGCATGTTCAAGGCCCCAGCACCCCCCTCCCCCCGCCGCTAAAATAAAAATTGTGAAGGAAGCCTAAATGCCCAGTTTCTGGTATTTGCACATTTCTTGAAGTATAATAGAGACAAATCTCACTATTCTGCAAACAAGAAAATCACAGAAGTATAAAATTGTGTTCAATTAATTGATTGGTAGTAAAACCCTCTTACCTCTTAAAGAAACTATAATCTAGTTAAAATTAAGATGATATAACCAGAGAATACAAATTAATAGTTTCTGAATTGCATACAGCAGTCAGTAGTTTCTGCTTACTGGTTTTAAAAACAACTGTTGATATCTACTATTTAACAGAATATTTTGCATCAAATAGGTTATCTCCTTACTTGTAACAAAAGCAGCTGGAGAAGATGATCATAGCAATTATGCAAACAGCCATGGAAATGAGAACAACCAGCCATCGAATGCTGCCATCAAAAAATGGACCTGACAATGAAAAGTAAACATTAAGTGACCAGAGTATCTTTCAATCACATCTTATTAAAAGGAAAACATAATTTACAGTGTGATTTTATAGTTTTAATATAGTAATCTGGTTATTGTTAAAATCAGAAAAAATATTTTACAGAGACTCATGCTCTGACTTTTCCAGGATAACCTACCTATAACAACAGGGGGCAGTGTAGGTTGTAAATACTGGTTACATAAATTGGTCCGACAACATTCTATTGTACGGCGAAGCTGGGCTTTTGGTGAATCCTAGAGAAAAAATAATGGTAATATTAGAAATGATTTGATACATTAAACTTATTTTTAGTACTGATAAAATACAATTTCTCATTTAGTGAGTGAAAAGGATCTGCAAATTTTATATGTAAAAATAAATATTACTGAAAAATTAAAATGTGTGAAGATTATAAAATGATTTTCCTTAAGGAGAACATATGTATGGATGGTATATTAGAACATTAGACTACAACTTAATTACAGATGGACAAAAAGTTCCAGTGTTTTCCTACCAAACAATGGACTATTTTTTTTTTTAATATTTATTTTTTAGTTTTTTTCAGCGGACACAACATCTTTGTTTTGTATGTGGTGCTGAGGATCGAACCCAGGCCACACGCATGCCAGGCGAGCGCTACCACTTGAGCCACATCCCCAGCCCCAATTTTAATAAATTACCATTCAGTTGTTTTTGGTAAAAAGTAATTAAGTTCATGATGTCTTTTCCTAGAAAACATAGGTAATAAATTTTAATATAACCATAAACTAGTATGGAAAATATGATCTTAGTAGTACTCAGACTTGAATGAGACTTAAGATCAGACTAAAATGTGGAGGGGGTCCTAGTGCAAAGAATAGACTGGTTAAGAGAGGTGGCCATGTAGTAAAAGATACAGATTCTGCATCTAACAATTAATGAACTAGAAAGATGTGGAGGCAAGCTAAACTATGCAGGTGAGGGAAAGGGCAAAATACAGACACAATACTTCTGAGAGTTTATGAGACCACCATCCAGAAAAGAAAGGTATCCCTAATAAATCAGAAAACCAACAGAGAAAAAGACTCTAGTCATGGGAAAAAAGGGCTTCTTTGGAAGTACAGGGGGAAAGCCCACCAAGCAATGAATTGGAAAATGAAGGACAAAGATGTACGATTCCTCCACTGCTGTTTGTGTCCTCTCTATTAAGGCTGAATACAGGCATGAAGAAGACAGACCAAATACCAGGTAGTGGGAACTGATATCCCAGAGGAATAAAGAGATCTTATGATGTTTTTCTATTCTACATGAGTTCACATCTTCTAATCTAGTGAGTTATATTCCAGGAAGATGAAACAGTTGTGAGATAGCTGAAAGACAAGTATTACTTAAAAGAGTTTGGAAATAAGGTGCTCTAGAAACAAGATAGCTAAATGTCATTACTTTTCTTTAAAAGCGAAAGAAAGACTTTGCCAACAGATTGAAGGCAGCATAGTATCATGGAAAAAACAAGGGCTTTGGAATCATTTAAATCTGAGCCTTGCCAGTTGTTCATGTTGTGACCTTGAACATCTAACTTCTCCTTAGGCTTTCATTTTCTCTGGATAAGAATGCAAACAGTAAATATTTAATGAATTAGTTCTTAAGGTGAGCCTGAAATAAATCTCAGATGAAATTTTGGAATAAGCCAAAGAATCTTGGGCAGCTCTGGAATACCAGATAGGCTTCACCAAAAATAAGCAACATCAGACTCACTTCACATTTATCTTACACAGGTTAACAACCTGGGTGGGCAAAAGTCAGGGTTGCCCAGATTACTACCTTTCCTTCTGTGATGCTGGGATTATACCCAGGACCTCACAAGCTAGGCAAGCACTCTAGCACTGAACTACATCTTTGGCCACAATTGTCTGGGCAGTGAAGCTGGAGTGACAGAACTTTTTCCCTTTCCTGCACTGCCTTCGTCCTCCCTCCACCCAAGTCAATCTGTAATTTCAGACACGTGGGGAATAAAAATTCTTATGGGGAAAAAGTCACTTGGCATTTATGAAGCGGAAGGTTCTAACTTAAGAAAACGTATTTCATTTGCATGGGCCAGAGATAGTACATGAGGAAAGAAATGAAGTCAAGTTAAAAGAAATGGACAAGAAAATGAGGTTCATGAGAAAGAATTCATTGTATAGGAAGACGAAGAACAAGCCAGATATACCAATGGAGATTGAAGCTTGGCAGGAAGAAATTAAAAGCATGGCAAAAATCACTTGTATTTATTTTGATCCACACTTTGGCAATGCAACCACTGTGAGGAAGGTTTAGGGTGAGACTAAAAGCTGTTCTTCTTGGGGTTTGGTACTAGGTTAATAAAGTGATGTTTACCAAGATATATAGAAAGTTAGATAAGTGCTGGTCAAATCTTTTTGCATGTGTGGATCCTAAACAAATTTTTATTTTTCTGCAGTACTAGGATTGAACCCATGACCTCATATTTGTTAGACAAGCTTTCTACCACTTACTTACATCCTCAGTCTTGCTAAACAAGTTTTTTAAAACAATGTATTCCTCATATTTTTAGACTACATCTAGAATTTTTTACCACAAATTTAAAAGCTACAAACAATATATTAATAATTTCTCTTACTGAAAACAATACTTTAAAATAGAAATGTTACTTCGTTCTTTATTCAGTAGAATCTAAATAACATATAGCAATGTGATACCCATTATCATCTTTTAAAAAAAGAACAAATGGGGGCTTGGAGTTGTGGCTCAGTGGTAGAGCACTTGCCTAGCAGATGTGAGGCACAGGTTTGATCCTCAGTACCACATAAAAATAAATAAACAAAACTAATAGCAGATGGAGTAAAAAAATTCTTTAAACAAATGCCTTTTTCTTATTATTTTTTATTGGTGCATTACAGTTATACATAATGGTTGGACTGGTTATTACTTATTCATGGATGCATACCATATAACAATACAATTTGTCTGGTCACTGTCATTCACCAGTATTTTCTTTTCCCTCTTCTCCTCCCTCCCTTCTTTTCCTTTACATCCTCTCCAGCATTTATTATTGTTTGAATTCTTAATGGCTGTCATTAAGACTAGAGTGCGATGAAATCTCAGTGTAGTTTCGATTAACATTTTCCTAATTGCTAAGCATGTGTTGAACATTTTTTCATATGTTCATTGTGTTTCTTCTTTTGAGAAGTTGTCTGTCTAGTTCATTTGCCCATTTATTAATTGGGTTATTTGTGTATGTGTGTAATAAGTTTTTGAGTTCTTTATTTATTCTGGATCTTAATCTTCTGTCAGAAAAGTAGCTAGCAAAAATTTTCTCCCATTCTGTAGATTCTCTCTTCACAATTTTAATTGTTTCCCTTGCTGTACAGAAGCTCTTTAATTTGATGCCATCCCACTTATTAACTCTTGGCAACAAATCCATCTATCTATCTATCTATTTATTTAGTACAAGGGATTGAACTCGGGGGCACTTGACCACTGAGTCACATCCCCAGCCCTATTTTGTATTTTACTTAGAGACAGGGTCTCACTGAGTCTCTTAGCGCGTCACTTTTGCTGAGGCTGGCTTTAAACTCGCGATCCTCTGCTCCCAACTGCTGGAATTATAAGCATGCACTATTGCATCTGGCAAATGCTTCTATTAACAACTTGAAATTTTATACTGGAACTTCTATTTCCTTGAAATATTTTTTCACAATAATTATGCCTTAATGTTATGTATTTTAGTACACAATTCTTCACATCAAAATAAGTAAATATAAATTCTTCTATTTCTGTTACTGCGTGTTTTTAAGACTTAAAACATCCTAGTTCATTACTGTAATTATCAGTTATCAAACTGATCAAAATAAGATATACTAAAATCTAGGGCTAAGGGTATATATGGCTCAGTGATAGAGGGCTTGCATTATGGAGGGAAAAAGATACACTACAATCTTTATTAAAATGTTAATGTGAGAAAATTTAAAGAGGCATTTCTTAATGAGATGGTTAGGGTTTTCAAAATAGTAGTTTATGAATTCATGAATAAAATTACTACAACAATGAGAAGATTCAGCATTAATTTTACTATATTTCTTTTTTATTAGCTCTAACAACAATGAGAAGATTCAGCATTAATTTTACTCCTATTTTTCTTTTTTATTAGCTCTAAGAAATTTTGTTCACATTAACAAAAAGATGATAATGGAAGCAATTTGTTATACCACTATCCCATAATTCTTTAAAGTCCTTCCAAAGTAATGATCCTATCATCAAAAATTACTTTCAATGATATAGCAATTTGGCTGAGAGCAAAAAATTTAAAACCACCTGAAATGTAAATGTATTTGATTTTCTTGTGTTCTCTACATGGATGCTTTCATTTATAATCATAACACTGTTTAGAATCTTGAGGTTTTATTATTTTTTTTAAAGAGAGAGAGAGAGAGAGAGAGAGAGAGAGGGAGAGAGAGAGAGGGAGGGAGAGGGAGAGGGAGAGAGAGAGAATATTTTAATATTTATTTTTTAGCTTTCGGCGGACACAACATCTTTGTTTGTATGTGGTGCTGAGGATCGAACCCTGGCCGCACGCATGCCAGGAGAGCGCGCTACCGCTTGAGCCACATCCCCAGCCCGTAGAATCTTGAGGTTTTATATCTAGCTTTGGTTAACAAGGAGAAGGGTGACTGTGAAAGGGAAGAAGGAAAAGAAAAATGGCTTGAGAAGCTCTGTTTTCAGGCACAGCAGTTTTAAGCTTCAGGGCCTAAGAATGTTTAGGATTTGCAACCTGATTCCCTTGCAACTATCCATGTGCCCAAGTTACTTTTATATAACACAGTCTGTGTGTACCTAGGGATATGGGTAATATAGTCTGAAGACTGCTAAGATAATCAGGGTGGCAAAGACTAACATTTATTAGGCCCCTACTATGTGCCAATTGTGCTACGGTATTTCATTTGATCCTTTTAACAAGTCTTTTGTGGATGAGAAAATAAGCTCCTTGACAAAACTGTCACAGCTATTAAGAACTACCATGGGTTTAGATGCATATTGTCAAGTTTAGTAACTAACTTCTATGGTGAATTCAGTTTGGAAGAAATCTAATTTAGGAAACTGCAGGACACTTGATACTACCATAGGGCTCGGTGCTTTAACTACAGCTCCTTCATCAATCTTTTTAAGCGATTAAAAAATATGTAGTATGAATGGTTGGTAATATGCTAATATCATAAAACTATAATAACTAAATTAACATGTTTCAAATCCGGAGAACAGGATTAATTCCTATACAGTGAAATTCAAAACTGGCAAGTATGTAATAAATATATAGTAAAACTCAAAATTTTCCCATCTAACTTATTTGTGTTCAAGAAACAAATACCACCAGTAAAGAGTGGAAGAGGTGTGGCTCAGCAGCATGGCATGGTGCTTTTAGCTGACAGAAGATTAATGTCTCAAGAATATGGTGTGATGGCCAAACATCTAACATGAGATTTGACTGTATTTAGAAGAAGAAAAAGGGATTATTTATTCTCTGCCTTTTTTGTTGTTGTTTCCTGGTAAGACCACAATTCTGCATATGACACTGAGACTAGTGAATCTTCTAAAGCTGATTATACAAGCAGTTGAGGAGGTCACAGTGAACTATTATTTTCACTAGGCAAAGACAGAGGGAGGAAAGTAGCATGAAAAAACTTTCTTTCTTTACATAGTTAAGGGCCATCATCTTGAGGAAGGATTAGAGCTGTTCTCTATGGTCCAAAGAATCAAAAGTTGACAGATTTGCAGTCATTTGCCAAATGGATGATTCTAAGCATTAACTGACAAGTAGAAAGATATTACATTGAAGGTTTCTAGCAATTCTGCAAATTTCTATATAATATAAATAATTTTCTGGCATAGCTGAGACTTAAAATTGTATACTAACAGTTCAATCTGTTTAGTTAAAATTAAAATTATCTGGAAATGTTTTTCAAGAACACTGGCAGGATCTCTTGGGAAATTACCATATAAAATCTTGAAGAGATTAGATTAGGTTCATAACCAAAGATGTCTACCACTCAATTACCGATCCTGATTCTTTGGCCACTGCTCTTAAAAGTATCCTGACACTTCCTCACAAAGATTAAACATTTCTAAGCTGTTTTGGGGGAACAAAGGTTATTGCCCATTGTTCTAAGATTCCCATTCTGTTTTGTAGTGGGAATTGAACCCAGGCGCACTCTACCACCCAGACCTATTCCCAACTCTTCTTCTTTTTTGTTTTTTGTTTTTTTGTTTTTTAAGACAGGATCTTGCTAAGTTGCCAAGTCTGGCCTTGAATTTGCAATCCTTCTGCCTCAGCCTCTTGAGTAGCTGGGATTACAGGTTGTGCCACCATGCCCAAAATTGTAAGGTCTTTTCAATAAGCTTTACAATATACAAATAAGTATAACAATATCACTTTTGCAGTTATTACAAACTATTATTTAAAACCTTAAAAATAATCTGGAACTTCAATTAGCACAATCATGTTACTTAAAGTAAAAGGTACGTTTCCTCCAATATATTTGATAATGTGAACACAGAGCAATGTGGAACACAGGTACTCTTCTAAAAGACCTAATGCTGTTCACATAGCCCTGTCCTTTTTTATTTCAGGATTTCCAATTAGATCTTACCTTGCACTGAAAATCAGATCCTTCATATTTCATACATCCTGAAGCTAATGTGGTTTCTCCCTGATCATCTTCTTCTATGATGGCAAAGCAATGACCATTAGTTCTAAGAGAAAAACAAAAAAACCATTTAACTCCAAATCATAAAATCCTAATGAAATCTGAGTTTGAATGTGAACAGATACTCTTAGCCCTTAGTATTCTGTTTCTGAATCGGGATTATATTCACATGTGATTTATTAGCAGAACAAAATAGACTTTAAGACAAATGAAAGTTATGTCTGAACTATAATCTAAAGTGGTAAATGAGAACCCTATGTCAAGCAGAAAAGGATTTCTGCCAAACAAGTCCTCTAAATGTGCATTGTCATGTAACTTCTCAGTCATGGGATCACAGAAACCTGATGTATAAAACTCTATACAAGTGTTAATCTTTCAGAAATATACTTAAAATCTCTTTTTTACTGCTAATATTTCAGCATTCTTAAACTATGCATGAAAATAAATAAAAAGCTTTTCTGTAAAACTACAGACTCAAGGACAAAGAAAAGTGTATACAGGAAGAACAGATGTGGACAAAGATTCTGAAAGGCATTTTTCTTACTAAATGTGATAGGAACACTGGAAGAATTTTTGAATAGTTTAATTTTCAAGAAATTTACAGAAATATATTTTTATTTAATGAAAATGTTCTCATTCGAGGCAAACACTCTACCAACTGAGCTACATCCCCAGTGCAGAATTCTTCATTTCTTCCTTTTCTATTGAGAAGATGGTATGTGTGGTGTAAACTTCTGTTAAAACTGATGATCAGTTTTACACTGGGTTACTAAGCCACTAACAAATTATAGCCCATCCTATCAGGGAGGTACCACAGACACAGAGTTTGGCAAAAAAAATTATTTGTTAACATAGAATAGAGCATTCCCTTACAAACAAAATTCCCAAGAAGATGTAAATTGGGAAGTGGTCTACATGTAGATTACTATGATTAAGTCAACTACCACTGGAGAACTGATGGCAAATCTAAAATGAACTATCATATGATTTCAAGATTTCATGGGTCAAGTTTTATGCATTATATCTAGTCTGCTCAAAGAGCATATGATTATTAGGGAAGTACAAAACATGACCTTACTTATTACCTATATAACAGGGAGACCATTAATAAGACTAATGAAACAGTTGTTCAGGACATTTTTACTTTGTCCAGTAAGTCAATTCTTCAATGCTCCCCCAAAAATATGGAATGGAATTACAAGATCATATATAAACATACTGAACAATTAACATAAAATTAAGTAAGAAAGTGATATGGATTGAATATCATTCTTACATATCTATAAAATATTTCAACCAATTAAGAAGCAGGAAGTCATGGGTAAAATTATTTGGTTTCTTTTTGGTAATCTACTAAAAAAGAAACAGTTTTCTACAATGAGTATCATTAATTTTATAATAAAAAAGATCATTAAAATGTTAGACAAATACTATATTTCTTTTATCTCCTTTAAAAAGCTATATTATGGTATAGCTCTAATAAAACAATCATCAATCACTTAATAAGAACAATGTTCCTATATTCAAAACAAGAAAATTTGGCTCTTTGAAAGATATTATATATAAAGAAAAAAGACTCAATTTTAACTATTTTTTAAAACAGCATTAGATGCACTTTTCCAAACTCTTAAGGACAGCACCAAATACTTACATGCATGTGTTATTAATAGCATCATCTGGGCAGTGTCCTGAGCAATAGCACTTTAAAAAAGGCAAGGTATCCTCTGGTGCTAATGTCACTCCATTTTCTGACTTCTTCTGGTCGGAGTCTGATTTCATCCCAGTGCCATGGAGCATACTGTCTAGATTCTGTCCTATATTCAAATATTCAATTTTTAAATAAATCATTTCTGATAGGCTATATTATTACCATTTTCATTGAGGTAAGTTTCTGTACTTTTCTATTACAACAATTGCAATGAATGTATTTCTTTAATTAAAAAATAAATTTCACTCATACAATTAACAGACATTTGTTAATAAACTCATGCACAGAATGTTCCATGTACTGTGACCTATATGAGATGACTATGTTACATGTTTTACACTAATCAAAGACAAACAAGAACAACACAGCATGAATTCAATATGAATTGAATGACAACAGAATTTAGTTTTAACTTGTAAAAAAGGTACAAAATGGGAAGAGACTTTAGGGAAGGCTGAGGTCATTTTCAATCACTAAAAAATAGACAAAGTATGGCCCTTCCTTTTCTTTCAAAACTTGTAATTAAAAAAAAAAGGTTCTTTATTTGTGCCTCTTTGTGAAGGGAGTTACTAAGCATCTTGTTTTGGACTCCATTTGCTTAAGTAAGAAAACTGTGAGAGCTGGGGACCAACTGAGTTATCCGGGGCCTTTCATCTCAAGGCCATTGGTTCAAATCCAGACCAGGCTGCCAGAAACTGAAAATTACTACAGGTCAATAGTCAGCTCATGGAAATAGAACTGGATTCTTGCATTAGAGTCTAGTGGCCTCAAATGACAGATACTGTCATATGTGGTCCTGAATGTTTTAGGCTGGAAGCAGAATAGAAAGCAAACATCTGTTTTAATATTCCTTCCTCCTTCTCAACCAGCTGAAATTACTAAGCCATTTCTTGTGCGTTGTTCTCAAAAGAATGAAAGGTAGAGTCAAACAGATAAGAGAAGTATGTGTGAATTTTGTTATGAATCTTAAATAAGTGATTCAAAATGTGGACCTGACTTTGAATTTAGCCATAATGATAAAATGAATCACTAAAAGATTAAAAAAAAAAAACCCAATAATACACACATACTCAATGAACAATGATAGAAAAGAAAGTGCTGTTAAAATAAGTATTTTTACACTTGAATCAAATGTATGAAATATGATATGTCAAGAGCACTGTAATGTTTTGAACAACCAATAAAAAAAAAAAGTATTTTAGTAGCCAAGGGTGATGGTGCATGTCTACAATCCCAGCTACTTGAAGGGCTGAGGCAAAAGGATCAAGTTCAAAGCCAGTCTGGGAAACTTGGAAAGATCCTGTCTCAATACAAAAAATTAAAATGAGTTGGGGATATACTCAGCAGTAGAGTGCTCACATGCAAGGTTCTGGGATCAATCCCCAGTACCAAAGAAGTAGTGTTTTAGTCTCTTTATACTCTGAATTTGAATAATCTTAACTTTTTATGCTGAAATTTAGTAAAGGAATGCACTACTGAATGAATATTCATAGAAACAAACACCAGGAGAGGAAACTACTTTAACAAAAAAAAAGGAGTTGGAGGTATACACACACACATATACACACACACACACCCTACTCAGCCCCCTCACCACCACTCTCCTTTCAGAAATAAATACTGTAATAAAATGGCAATGCTTCTGTTATTTCTCTTTCCAGTTCATATAAATTAGGAAGCTAATGCCAGATATGTTATTTTATTTGTAAATATTTCAACACATCTCTAGAAGATGAAGACTTAAAAAAAAAAAAAAAAATCATGAAGCCAGTCATGGTGGCACACACCTATAATCCCAGCAGCCTGGGAAGCTCAGACAGGATTGTGAGTTCAAAGCTAGCCTCAGCAACTTAGCAAAGCCCTGAGCAACTCAGTGAGACCCAGTCTCTAAATAAAAATCACAAAAGGCCTGAGGATATGGCTCAGTGGTTAAGCACCCCTGGGTTCAATCCCCAGTACAAACAAAACAAACCAATTATGATACCATTATCACTTCTAAAAAAAATTGACAGTAATTTGATTCTTTGTCCAATATCAAACAACCAGGCAGTATTCAAGTTTTTAATTGTATTGAATATGTTATAACCTGTTTTAAAGTTTATAAAATTCACAATTCACACATCATAACAGATTGTCTCCAAGTCTGTCTGTGCCTCTGTGTATGTGTCTTTCTCTGTGAGCGCCTTGGATGAAACTCTGGACCTTATGCATGCAAAGCAGGTTATCTACCACTGAGCTACTCCCCTACCCTCCAACTCCATGTTTCTTTTAATCTTCAAATTCTTTCTTTCTTTCCTTGAAGAAACTGGATTGTTTGTCCTATAGAATATACCAGAATTTAGATTTTCTATCTGTATCCTTCTTGCCCATAAAATAGGTTTCTGCATGTGGTAGTTAGATCAAGAGCCATGCTATCCAGTATAATAGCCACTAGCCACACATGGCTCCTAAGCACCTGAAATATGGCTACTTGGTAAGTTGTGGAAAAGAGGGACACAAATATCTGCTTATCTCTATTTTCAAGACCTAGATTCATTACTTCAATGGAGATAGTTAAAAAAAAAAAAAAAAAAGAGTAGCCTATCATTTCTTCTTACTTATGACCTATAATACATGTATAATGAAAAGTTTTCCCTCATTTACTAACCTGGGTACAAGCGGTATAGTTCCTATAAGAAAGGCATGATTAGTGCTTGATTTGTCCCTCTATCAGTTTTCAAAGTTAATAAATTTATTAGCATCCTTCAACAGTAACCAGTTGGTTTTGTTTGTTGTTGTTGTTTTTTTAAGTGTCATTATAAAACCATAGATTTAAACCACTGCAGTTACTATCCTTACTAATGCTCATTGTTCCATCTCTGGCCAATTCAAACTGGTCCCCATATCCTCTGAGGTTTCTGTTGGCCAAGATCTTCTAAAATCACCTCATATTTCCCTGACAGACTTAAACAATTTCTCCAAGGACTCCTAGATCTTTCCAGTGGAAAAAGATAATCAGAGACCATACTCTGTTGTTACAGATATTTGTTGCTATTAGGTTGTCAATCACTCTAAAAATAACTGGCTAAAAAAAGAATTCTACAACACCCCCACCCCTGCCCCCACAAACTGCATTCATTTATTAGGTGAAAAATGTCTGAAGTAATTACAATTTTAAGTCCTGTTGACTACAACGGTAAACAAAACCAAAGTCCCTTTTCCATTAGAGTTCATAGTCTTAGATGGAAAATGAGAATAAAAACCAAGATAATAATTAGTACTATTTTAATATTTATTCATAGAAAATGCTATGACACCAAATAAAGTGAACTCACTTTCTAGCATGAGAAAAGAAAAGAGTGATTCAGAATAAGATCATTAAATCAAGGGCCAAGAGAAGAGGTAAGGCAAAGGTAAATGGTTAAGAAGTCAGGAAGTCTCAGAATACCACATCTAGGCAAGATTTAACTGTATTTAATGCAAAGACACAAGATGCAAATGGTGGAAGTACATTGTCAAAGATATCCCAATGGTCAGCTGACTTAGGCTGTGAGTTTTCTATCTGTAAGGCACTTTCTAGCAACTAGATCTCCAAGTTGCAAGAAACTTGGCAGCCAAAGCTATTAACAAGAAACAGGCTGCCAAAGCTATTCACTCTTCATAAAGACCATCCTTCACTAAGTACATCTTAGATATGGCCATGAAGGCAGGAACACTAGTGAAGGAAGACCAGAGACAAGGAAAATTTTCCCAGAAACAAAATCGGAGGTTGTCAGATAGCCTAACAATCATCCTCCATCTATGTACTAGGGAACAATGATTACTTTAGTTGTTTCCAAATTTTCCTTCCTTTGGAAGTTCATCTAGTATTTAAACCTACTTTTCTTCATCAATGCATACTAAGTACATTGCACATAAATAATTTTTTTTTTCAGTCTCACGTTGCTGCACCATGAACAGCACACCTGGATCTGAAGAATTACTGTCCAGAAGTCCTGGGTTAGTGTCTGAGTGCACTAAGTGGGCTAAACTCTGGAGCATATATCCTGTTGAGGAGGAATTAAGCATTTCATATGAACATAAGCATTTTTTAGTATGTGCTATAAAGCCACGTATGACAATAGACAAATCTAGTGCCCTGCAACGTATCTGTAAGTTATTCTTCTCCCTTCTTTTTAAAAATTTGTTCTAATTAGTTATACATGATGGTAGAGTGCATTTTGACACATCATATATAAATGGAGTATAACTTCTCATTCTCGTGGTTGTACAAGATGTAGAATTACATAGGTCATGTAATCATATAGGTACATACAGTAATAATGTCCAATTCGTTCTACTATCATTCCTACCCCATACTCCCTCCTTTCCTCCCCTGCCCTCTTCCAAAGTACCTCTATACTTCTCTAGCACCTCCCCCCATTGTAAATTAGCATCTGCATATCAGAGAAAAAATTCAGCCTTTGGCTGTTTGGGATTGGCTTATTTCACTTACTATGATATTCTCCAGTTCCATCCACTTAGTGGCAAAGGCTATAATTTTATTCTTCCTTAAGGCTGAGTAATATTCCACTGTGTATATATACCAGAGTTTCTTTATCCATTCACCTATTGAAGGGCACCTAGGTTGGTTCTATAGCTTAGCTATTGTGAATTGAGCAGCTATAAACATTGATGTGGCTGTGTCACTATAGTATGCCAATTTTAAGTTCTTTGGGTATAAACTGAGGATCAGGATAACTGGGTCACATGGTGGCTTCATTCCAGGTGTTCTGAGGAATCTCCATACTGCTTTCCAGAGTGGTTGCACCAATTTGCCGTCCTACCAGTAATGTATGAGTTACCTTTTTTCCCACATCCTCACCAACATTTATTGTTGCCTGAATTCTTGAAGACTACCATTCTGACTAGAGTGAGATGAAATCTTAAGTTTTGATTTTCATTTCTCTAATTGCTAGAGATGTTGAACATTTTTTCATATATTTGTTGATCAATTGTATTTCTTCTTCTGAAGTGTCTGTTCATTTCCTAACTCTATTTGTTGACTGGGTCATTTGGGTTTTGCTGATGTTGAGGGGTGTGTGTGTGTGTGTGTGTGTGGTGCTGGGGACTGAATCCAGGGCCTTCTGCATGCAAGGTAAACATACTACCAACTGAGCTACATCCCCAGCCTTTTGAGTTCTTTATATACCCTGGAGATTAATGTTCTGAGATGGATGTGGTAAATATTTTCCCCCATTCTGTAGGCTTTCTTCACATTATTGATTGTTTTCTTTGCTGTGAAGAAGCTTTTTAGTTTGATTCCATCCTATTTACTGATTTTTGATTTTACTTCTTGCACTTTAGGAGTCTTGTTAAGGAAGTTATTTCCTAAGCTGACATGGTGAAGATCTGGGCCTACTTTTTCTTCAATTAGGTGCAGAGTCTCTGTTCTAGTGCCCAAGTCCTTGATCAACTTTGAGTTGAGTTTTGTGCAGGGTGAGAGACAGGGGTTTAATTTCATTTTGCTACCTACGGATTTCCAGTTTTCCCAGCACCATTTGTTGTCGAGGCTATCTTTTTCTCCAATGTATGTTTTTGGCACGTTTATCTAGTATGAATAACTGTATTTATATGGGTTTGTCTGTCTTTTATTCTGTACCACTGGTCTAAGTACCATGCCATTTTTGTTACTATGGCTCTGGTATTATGATGCCTCCTTCACTTCTTTACTAAGAATTGCTTTGCTATTCTGGGTCTCATATTTTTCCAAATGAATTTTATTATTGTTTTTCCTATTTCTGTGAAGAATGTAATTGGGATTTTTTTTTTTTTAAGAGAGAATTTTTTTAATTTTTTTTTTTTAAGTTGTCGGCGGACACAACATCTTTGTTTGTATGTGGTGCTGAGGATCGAACCCAGGCCACACGCATGCCAGGCGAGCGCGCTACTGCTTGAGCCACATCCCCAGCCCCCTGTAATTAGGATTTTAATAGGAATTGCACAAAATGCTTTTGGTAGTATGGCCATTTTGACAGTGTTAATTCTGCCTATCCAAGAGCGTGGGAGATCTTTCTATCTTCTAAGGTCTTCTTCAATTTCTTTCTTTAGTATTCTGTAGTTTTCATTGTAGAGGGTTTTTTTTTTTTTTTTCCACCTCTTTTGTTGAAATGATGCCTGAATTTTTTATTTATTTTTATTTGTTTAGGCTATTGTGAATGGGGTAGTTTTCCTAATTTCTCTTTTAGAGGATTCATCATTGATATATAGCAACACATTTGATTTATGGGTGTTAATTTTATGTCCTGTTACTTTGCTGAAATAATGTTAGTTTCAGAAGTTTTCTGGTGGAATTTTTTGGATCTTCTATAAATATAGAATCATGTCACTGGCAAACAGTGGTAGTTTGAGTTCTTCTTTTTCTACTCATGTCCCTTTAATTTCCTTCTTCTGGCTAGAGTTTCCAAGATGATGAATAAAAGTGGTGAAAGGGGCATCCTCGTCTTATACCAGTTCTTGGAATGTTTTCAATTTTTTGCATTTAGAATAATGTTGGCCTTGGGTTTAGCATGGCTATTTTTCTCCCTTTTATTTTATTAGCAAGATGTGCCGCTCACACAACCCACTTTTTTAAAAAATATTTTGTTTAGTTGTAAATGGACACACAATACCCTATTATGTTTATTTATTTTTATGTGATGCTGAGAATTGAACCAGTGCCTCACATGTGCAAGGCAAGCGCTCTATCACTGAGCCACAATTCCAGCCCCGCAACCCATTTTTTGATTGAAATGTCTGCCTCTCCCTACATGTAATTCAAGGAATCATAGCTCTCCCCTCAGCATCAATAACTGTTGGTTTAATCCAACAATTTCAGTTCTATTCCCCTTGCCAGTTTTTTGTTTATACCAGAGTATGTAATTAATTCTAATCACCTAGATTAGAAAATAGTTTTTTGAGGGAGAGGAATTCCTGGGAAACGATTTCTTTACTACTTGAGGCAAAAGGAAGGGGGCTGGGGTTGTGGCTCAGTGGTAGAGCACTTGCCGAGCACATGTGAGCCACTGGGTTCAATCCTCAGCACCACATGAAAAATAGAGGCATTCTATCCAACTATAACTAAAAATATTTTTAAAAAGAAAGACAGACACAGGAAAGGATACCTATCCCTCTTCTTTCAATAAACACCAGTCAACTCTAACTTGCCACGTCTGAATGTGATACCTGTTCCTCAGATGCTACACTGTGGCTGTCAAATAAGTTAACCCATGGCTAAACTGAGATGTGGTAGATGGTACAAGTGAAATGGGAATTAAACTTGGCTCTTGATGAACCACAGAATTAGCTAAAGGCAATCCACCTATCTCCAAACTTCTTCATGTATGATAATACATTTTCCCCTTTTTTCTAACTAACCAAACTGATTTTGCTCAGTGGGTGAGGGGAGACAGTGTGTCCAGCCTAAGGTAACAAACATAGATTAACCTAAGCTAACTGTAATAATCCTGTTAACCTTGTTTTCTAATATTCCTTGAAATTCGGAAAGATCAACCATCTTAGTTTGAGATTAAAATCTATTGGCAGGGGGTATTTTGACTTTCCTGATATTACAAGTCCCACACTAAAATAGGAGCTCTTTCCCCAGTTTTCTGCCTCAAATGTAGATAACAGCAGCCATTTTCTGGCCATGAAGGAAATGCCAAGAAAATTACAGAGATGGCAACCTCAACTCTACTCAATTATTGACCAAACACCAGCAAATACCTATCACCTATCTTTTTTTTTTCCTGTCACCTATCTTAAATATAAATCCTTACTTATTTATGTCACTGTTAGTTGGGTAATCAATTACTGAACACTAAAATTCATTTCTAACATTTCTGATCAAGTCCAAATATATAAGTAAATAAATGCCTCAGGTATTTATCAGCTGACTCATTTTTCTATTAAAATACAAACAACTATGAATGGAAAACACTTAAATACATATCATAACATCTGATGCTCAAAACATCCTATTTCTATCTAGGATAAGTATTATTATTTCTATTTTATCACAAGGAAATGAAGGTACAGAGAAATTTACTTTCCTCAGACACAATTCAAGATAAAGCCAGAGCTAAAGTCACAGTTTATCAATGAATCTTGTAATCCTTCATAGTTTTCTCTAAGAAGTAACATTTTTTTCTACATTGGTTCTAATTTTTTTTTCAAGAGCAAATTTTTTGTACATGTTATCATGTGAAACAACTATCAAGGTAATTTTCAGAAAGAAAATAGTATAAATTTTGTTCTTTATCAGAGAAATGTAACCCCCCCCCCCATCCCAAGCTCTTTCTCTTGGTAGTAATGTTTGAACAAACCTAGGAGTGCTCTAAAATTGAGCTACACCCCCAGTCCTTATTTTTTATTTTGAGACAGGGCCTTGCTAAGTTATCCAGGCCAGCTTCCCAAGTAGCAGGGGATTACAGGTGTGTACATGGCGTCCATCTAGAAACGTGATTTTTTGCTTATATCTGATAACTAATTAGCAAGTTACTCCACCCAATAATTTTACTTTAGAATTAACTTGAATTGGGATGTAGAATGAGAATTTTATACCTTTTGCCAATATGTGAGCTAAGTAGATTTAAAACTCTTTATAACAAAGTGGAATTTACCTTAGAAGTGAGGCAGTAAATATTAATGATACTATTAATTTGACTCCTTCTCTTTACAACTATGATAGCTTTGGTTGATATCAATCAACAAGGCATATATAACAGATATTCAAATAAAGGTGCTGTATCAAAGTGGCTTTTGCAAGAGGGCTCTATATTCTTAGCATGGTAATAATACCTAAGGCAAAATACAAAGAAGTGCAGATTTCATTTTGTGCTTTAAAACAAAAATATAAAAAGCTTTATGCTGTTAACAATGCTTCTTCTTGTGGGTAGATATTAATCCATGTCCTTGAACAAACATTATGAAAGAGCAATCTGTGAAGTCAAAACCTTAAGAAAATAAAGATGTCAATAAGTTCTATCTAAAATCCTTTTGTAAAGCAGTACTATCTCTTCAGTTTAAAATATTACCCTAATTAAAGCATTCAGGAAAAAAACTCTTGTGCAAATATAGTCTATTTAATCCTAAATCGTCATAATAACTTCCGATTTGGGAATTCTAAGCTATGAGCACACAAAAGTAAAATTACAACACTGGTCATAAATAAAGTTTCAAGACTCTATGAAGAAATTTTAGTATTTAGCATAGGCAAATGACATTTATATTTCTGAAGATTTTTAGTGACAATAAAATAAATTTTTAATTATTATTTACATTTATTCCTTATTGTATTTTAAGGGAGATAAGGTTTTGAACAGTCTTGATTATCTATCACCCTGTGTTTTAGATTCTAAGTTACATGCTTCATATACTTTATCTCATTAAATACTCATAAGACTTAATATTGTATATCATAATGCCTTATATGGACAAGAAAATAGGTTGAGAAAGGCTGAGATTTTAAAATATCTGGACAGCCTTCTATCATAATCAAGCTCAAAAAAATTATTTGGTGTGTTTGTTCTTTGCCTTTTTACTTAAAAACTATGCTAGTATGATGGGCTTAGCTGATCAGAAAGGGACATGGGCTGAGAGAACAGATGAAAGAATTAAGTGCTTTTTAAGTCAGAAATAAAGATCAATTTACCTTGAACATGAGAAATGATGAACAGATAGGTTCCCAATAATCTAATGTAAATATATAGTCGAGTCATTGTTCAATTTTAATGTTTTCTGTTATACTGTCACCTTGAATAACCGGTCCTATTATTTCGCTAACGCAAAAGCCTTTACTCAATGAGATTTCTTGTAGAAGGCCACAACCACTTGACAATGACTCCACCTCTTATTGCTTTTTCCTCACTCCTGAAAGACAAAAAATATTAACAAGGCAATGAATATAACTGAATTTTGAAAAGTTTTCAAAAACTAAGAGAGGAAAACAAATATCCAAACATACTTTTAAATGATAAAATACATTTTAAAAGGTCAACACTATCCATATTTTAAAAAACACAGGCACAGGGCTGGGGTTGTAGCTCAGCAGTAGAGCACTCACCTAGCGCGTGTGAGACTCTAGGTTCAATCCTCAGCACCATATAAAAAAATAAACAAGTGAAATAAAATTTTTTAAAACTAAAAAATAATATTAAAAAAACACAGGCACACACAAAAAAAAAACAAAGCACTATAATTCCATGCTTAAATAACTTAGCAACAGTTTGCAATTTCTCCTGACCACAGATCAGCCATATGTAAAACAAGAGAAATACATTAATTTCAAAAGGTGGAGCAGTGTCATACACCTGCAGTCCAGTCATTTGCGATGCTGAAGCAGGAGGACTGCTTGAGTTCAAGAGTTTGAGGCATATCTGGACAATATAGCAAGATTCCAGCTCTAAAGAAAATGAAAAAAACCTTAACAGTCTATTCTGGCTACTCCAAAGTAATTAAGTTATTTTATTACTACCAAGAAAATTCCTAAATATATTAAGAATAAAACAGAAAATGTTAAAAAGTATAAGATATTCATTAATACTCATTCAAATCCTGTGGAAACAATAAAAAACACTTTGAATCTTTCTATTAATTTATTCCATATAGAAAAGAAAGACTGTCTAGAAAATTACACATAATTAAATAAGCAGCATGCATCATTATGAAAGCAAAAACAAATACATCTTAAATCATTTTCCTAAAAAAACACTGCAAATCTGACTTGATTAGGATAAAAGTGAGCTTTTACTAGGGAAAAGCTAAGATAACCTTTCTGGTTAAGGTCTGGCTATTATTATTATACACAGTGAACTCTTACAGACCTTAAAATAAAATAATTAAATAGAACAGGGGGCTGGGGCTGTAGCTCAGTGGTAGAGTGCTTGCCTAGGGTTCGATCTTTAGCATAAAAGTATTATGAAAAAATGGCTAGTCTACATCATGATAAATACAATTCTAGTTTTGGAGCATTATATTGGTTCAGACAGTTTGAGCCCTATGTGCTACCACATTTAAAAGATGGCACTTTTCTCTCCCTCTCTTCTGTCACCATGCCAAAAAACTCTGGCCTCATTTTTGCCTCCCACTCTTCCATACTTCCACTTACTTATTCATCCATTCACTTATTCACTAACATCTGCTACATACATAGTACAGACCAATGTAAGGTACTAGAAATACAAATATGAGTATGTCAGTTTCTGCTTCAAGGAGCTCATAGTCCTGGGCAGGACATTGATTGCTATGACTTGTTACATCTTTAAGTGTCACTGTGCCTTCACCAGTTTATTTAAGGCCAATATGTAACTCTGGTTCACTAGAGCTAGTAAAACATCCTACAGAGCAGTCTATGAGAGTCTCATGTACTTGCTACACAGTCCCTTTTAGAGAAAAGGATCTGTGTGCAATTCATTCCACATAAATGTCTCTGACCCTCCATACTGCTTTCCAGAGTGGTTGCACCAATTTGCAGTCCCACCAGCAATTTTTGAGTATATCCTCACCAACATCTATAGTTGCTTGTATTCTTGATGAGTTCCATTCTGACTACAGTGAGATGAAATCTTAATTCTGATTTTCATTTCTCTAATTGCTAAAGATGTTGAACATTTTTTCATATGCCCTGACATAATTTCAAATCCTGGATCTGCCTTAAGTAACTAACATAACCTCTCTAATGGGTTTCCTCATCTTTATAACTAAAATGATACTAGGACACAGTTATTTTAAGAATTGAATGAGATAATGGCTTATACATATTCACCACTACGTGTCAAAACCATTATAAATGCTTTGCAAATATCAACTTATAGAATTATCATGACTATCTTATAAGAAAGGTACAATTATTATTTTAACTTTACAGATGAAGAACAGTCAAGTAGATTTTGAGGAATTTACAAAGATCACACAGGCAGGATTAAAATTCAAGAGATCAGATTACTCATTCTACACATTAAGTGTTACCCTGTATTGGCACTGCTCTGTTGGATATTTAATGTATGTAATGTCAAATATACATTATAAAGAATTTAAGATTATGTGGAACAGAGCAGGTAACTCAATAAAAGTTCCTTCCTCTCATATGTATTAGTGACATACTTGCCAACCTACTACAAGGATATACCTGTACTATCCATGTCAATTCCATCTTTGAGAATAAAACACCTGTGATAACTTGTATGGAGAACAGCCATCAAATCTTAGCCAACTATAAGTTCAATACATCTGCACTTACAACTGCTAAGACATGAATGCAATCCTACACCAAGCATCTGTAGAAACATACTGTTAAAGTCAATGATAGTAATCACCTTATTTTATTCTATCTGATTAGCCTCTAAAGAAAAGAATGACAAAGGATACAGAAACTACTCGTTTGAATTATTTTATTCTATCTGATTAGCCTCTAAAGAAAAGAATGACAAAGGATACAGAAACTACTCGTTTGAAATACAACTGAAAGAATCAAGAGTCCTTACAGAGTATAAAAGGAACAAAGTTTGCACACACCTTCATCAAGGCCACAAGGAACATGATAGAAAGGGAGATTAGACTAATTAAATCATTGATTAGAGTATTTCCAATACTAATGTCCTTTGTAAACAGAGTTCTTGCCATTGAATATTTAGTTACACATGACAGTATAATGGATTTTGACACATCATACATAAATGGAATATAACTTCTCATTCTTCTGGTTGTACATGATGTAGAGTTACACAGGTCATGTAATCATATATGCTCGATTCATTCTACTATCATTCCTACCCCCATAGTCCCTTCCTTCCCTCCTTTCACTCCCCTCTGTTTAGTCCAAAATACCACTATTCTGCCCACCCCTCATTGTGAATTAGCATCCTTATATCAGAGAAAACATTCAGCCTTTGGTTTTTGGGGATTGGCTTCTTTCACTTAGCACAATATTCTCCAGTTTCATCCATTTAGTGGCAAATGCCATAATTTCATTCTTCTTTAAGGCGAGTATATTCCATTGTGTATATACACCAGAGTTTCTTTATCTATTCACCTGTTAAAAGGGCACCTAGGTTGGTTCTATAACTTAGCTACTGTAAATTGAACAGCTATAAACATTGATGTGGCTGTGTTATTGTAGTATACCGATTTTAAGTCCTTTGGGTATAAACTGAGGAGTGGGATAACTGGGTCAATTGGTGGTTTCATTCTGAGGAATCTCCATACTGCTTTCCAGAGTGGTTGCACCAATTTGCAGTCCCACCAGCAATGTGTGAGTATATCCTCACCAACATTTATTGTTGCTTGTATTCTTGATGATTTCCATTCTGACTAGAGTGAAATGAAATCTTAGTTCTGATTTTCATTTCTCTAATTGTTAGAGATGTTGAACATTTTTTCATATATTTGTTGATCAATTCTGTGAAGTGTCTATTCAGTTCCTTAGCCTACTTATTGATTGGGTCATTTGGGGGTTTTGTTGGTGTTAAGTTTTTTGAGTTTTTTATATATCCTGGAGATTAATACTCTATCTGAGGTGCATGTGGTAAAGATTTTTCTCCCATTCACTATTGTCATTGAATATTAATTTACTACCTAATTATTAAGTCCCTGTTTTATGCAAGATTCTATATTAAATATCAAGAATATAGTGATGACAGCAAAACTGAGAAGTCTGCATAAATTTCATAGTCATTAAGCAAGTTAATAAAGACATTCTGAATAGAACAAGAAAACTCAAACAAAATGTACTCATAATTTGAGGTAAGTGCAAAAAAAAAAAAAAAAAAAAACTGTCAATCCTAGAGGGTCCTGGTCTAGTCTTGATGAAAGGGCCAGTGGAAGCAATGCTAAGAAATAACATTTAAGTTGCCATCTGAAGAATGAAAAGTTAGCCAAGTGAAGAACTGGAAATAAGGGGATTCTGGGCACAGAGAACAGCCTGTGGAGGAAAGATCTTGGGACAAAGAAAAGCAAAGAGAAAACAATTTTCCTGAAAGATTGAGAATAAGGTATATTGTAGTAAGAGATGAAGTGGAAGAAACAGAAAAGACAAGGACAGGTCAAGAGCCTAATGAAAGGTTTGAGATTTGAACGTAAGTGGGACAGGAGACAACCATCTGATTTCTATGTAATGAAATCAATAAAGAGGGTACAAGTAAATGAAAAAGATCAGTAAGAATACTGTAGAAATTTGAGAGTAACAATAGTGGTTAGGATTAGGGTAGTGGTAGTACAGAAGATGAACTCACAAAAACTTCAAAAACGGACTTGATAGTGCTTGGTAATGGATTAGATGTGGGGGTCAAGAAGAGTAAGGGGTCAAGAATATCTCCACGTTTCTGGCATGAGTAATTACTGAAATGAGAATAAATGGATTCTGAAAGGAGTGAAGCAAAGAAATCAAGGGCTCAGACGTAGACATCAGCAATTACCCAAAGGCAATGTCTAATGGGCATTTGGTTATGAAGTTTAAAAGGGGCTGAAGATGCAAACCCATTATCTTAATAACATAGAGAGAGATATTCAAACCTAAGGCTCTGGATTAGATGGCTTCTAAGAGAAGGCCCAAAACTTCATTCATTTTATTTTATTTTATTTTTTATTTTTTGTGAAAAAGCTTTTTTATTCTAAATCAAATTAGTTCACCAATCTAATCATAACAATGCTCAACATTTCCCATTTTGGCAATTTCTATCACTCTCAATTTTTGGTAAATCTGCCCTGTGTTCCCAACATCATCGCACCCATGGCCCTCAGCAACCATTCCAGAAAACAAAGATGATCTAATTATACTACCTGTTCTTAATTTCATCTAGTAAGTTCAAAATTCTTTCTCTACTAAGAATCATTAATAAAGTGTCCATGCTTCTTATGAAAGGCTTGATATCATA